AGCAATAAAAGATCATCACTTATCATAGCAACACCAAAAGTTATATCTGTCGTGATCAAGAATGGCTGCAAAGCAAAGGCCAAGACAACAAATGATAGAAGATGACTTTTTACAAGAGATAAAGATGATGATTTATTTTAGAATACAACATGTTCTTATATATGTGTGTGGATGTAGATTCTAGAAACGAAGGGAAAGGGAAAGTGTTGGAAGGCTGTGACCGTGTGTGATGTGTAAAGGAATGTTGAGGAAACATGGATGGAAATCATGTGATCTGCCAAAAGGTAAAGAGGTGTGTCCGAAAATGTGTCAAAAGGAATGTCATGGAATCATGGATCAAGATCATGTGATCTCGTCAAAAGGATAAAGAAGTACATCCGACATATCATTGGCCACTGATCTAATCAGCCATACGATAACGACAACAAAAACAAAGTAATCCTTTTTGATCAATGGGAAAAGTTTGGTAACAGTGAGATTCGAACTCACGCCTCTTGCGAGACCAGAACTTGAGTCTGGCGCCTTAGACCAACTCGGCCATGTTACCGTATATTTTACGATGTTTGAGTTACATTTTGTTGCATTAACATACCCAAAACGGAAGGTGATACAGCGTAAAAACCGAATGGTAAACATAACAATATGTATACCATCATACAGCGGAATACCTACGGATTGCAAAAATAAAATCGTTGAATTTGTAGGGAAGGTCAATCAGGAGTAATGGGCGCATAAAGACATTTCAACATTGAGATCTAGCAATTTGCCCTCAAAGATTTCGAGCTCAGATCTGAGAAAGGCCACTTTCCCCACGCCGCCTGCCCTCTGATCTTCATTATGCATACAATGCTTGTTGTATCCAGCTAATGATGATACCATTACAACACGTTAAAGCTGCGACTGCATTTACAGAAGCCCAACCCATATACACCAAGCCATCAATACACGACAACCCGTACACCAATCATGTGTTGCCAATGGCAACTGCATCGCAACCACAATTGCACTCAAGGAAACCAACGTGTTAGCGGTGGATGTTATTCATGCGTAATAACGTGTTTATTTAACAAGTGCGTAAGCAGATACAAAAGTAACAAGAGCGTTGAATGATAATAAAAGCAAAGGCAACTTGGTTCATGTTGTTGTGTACGCGTCTGAGAAGTAGAAAGGATAAAACAAAGAAAGTACAGTGAGACCTAAAGATGGTTGTCTTTATTACCATGTCTGTATTCAGGCTATTTATATGGTGGTGGATTAGGATTAAGGAGTAAAAGATAGATAGGTTGGTATTAATGCATATACATGCATTCCACACATGTTGCTTCTTGAAAGTAGTATAAATTACAACACGGCGCATATGTAGACGTTCCAAATGACTCAATCACGTTGTTGCCACGCACAAAAGACATCTCTTTATTATCGTTCAAGCCAACGTCTACCCTAGTATGTCGCTCTTTGCATAAACAAACACAGGGGCCTCGTCTCCTTGTATTGGTCGAATCGGATTGTTGTAAACTTCTGCGAAGTTGAAGGCATCCAGCATGTTGTATTTCAAGTATGATCCATTTTTTCATTCAATAAGGCCAACAGTACAGATGTCGTGTGGGTGGTGAGTACAATAGATGAACCATGTAGATAATGTTGGGATGAATCTCGATATCGGCTACTGGCCGATGACGACTTGGAATCCATTGTATCGCAGCTGATCAGAATATGAGGTCATTGTTGTTCATTGTTGGTGCTTTCATTGTTGCTTCCCGTCATTCAATCAAGTAGTCATAACTGCTGCCGTGCATTCAATCACCAAATTTGTCGGGCGTGGTTCCTGATGCTCATGACCAATCTCAACGTTTTTGTTCTCTTGAAATGATCCATATCCATTGACAATCAATCATCATCGCTCTCGTCATTTATCCAAAGCGCCATGTACGATCCTCACGTATTCCTTTGCCACAGCCAACAACCTTGTCGATTTAAATCATGTGCCGCGATCCTTCAGGTGGAATCTCGGGTGATGTGGTAGTAGTACGTGAATGCAATGTCGAAGCGGCTCCCCATTTGCCATCATCTGATAACATAGCATCATCCACAATGAATCTCGGCATGTCGTACAGTTTCACTACACACTTTGGCGATTTCAATCAGAATCCGTTTTTAGCGTAACATAGCATCTCGTTCACCATTTACCTTGAAACCCAAGATCAAGAGCGAATGATCATTGCTTGCTGATAATTGATACAATGTGATGCTGTCCACTGTATCCAAACATCGCCTTGCGTAATAGCGAGATAATGGATCAACGTTGAAAGGCGTATAGCTCGTGTAGAAAAGTGAATGTGCTGTTACAAAATCACCCCTGGTTGCCGTTGACTTGAGTATGCATATCATCCGTAGTTGTAAAGTCCTTTGGTCATATAGACGAACCGCCGTATGTAATCCTCATTCGCATATATATGTGGCATGATCCATTCCCCCCTGCTGATGACATGAAAAGTAAGCCGTAGCATTCAATCTTGACATATCCATCCATAACTCCCATACGGAAGGCAAGGAAAGCATAGGCCGTAGGATGATGGAGCCGTACGAAAAAAGGATGCATATTCAAGTCCAAGCAGTATCGTAAGTCGCACCCATTTCAGCTAACACAACAGGGTCGTTTCCTCCCGACGGTACACTAAATTGGTTTCGTTGACGTGCTGCAGTGATAGAAGTAAAAAACCCGCCATCTATTTCTTGCCGTAAGTTCACTTGAATCCAACCAATCCCAGAATGACCCATTTACCTTGAAGTATGTTCCAATTCCTTTATCGGTGCTGTAAATAGCCTTGTATCCAATCCATCCAGCATATGCTGTTGCTTTTTCATTGTAAGACTCGTTAATCAACAAGTCATGCGTTGTAGACCCAATTCCATGCGTACAGTTTCCAGCCAACGTATAGCATTCTTGCTTTGAGATCAAGGCTTTGTTGCTGCCACTGGTATCATCATCCAACATGTTCAAGCTATATAGAAGCAATGTAAGAAGACATGGATAGCATTCGTTTTTGGTGTAGACATACCCAAAGTAACAACCTTGATGACAATCATGGAAAGAACGCACGTAACACACGACATCCCCTGGATCTTGTATGAACATAAGAGCAGCAAACTAAACGTCAATTTTAGTGTCCCAATGTCCAACTTGAATAATAAAAGAACTGTAGCGATGGAACGTACATGTTGTATTACAATCGGAGCTTGAGTCATGGGTAGATCGCACGCGTACTTGTTGTTGAATGTCTGCTACTGGAAGGTGTCGCCATGGACCACATGTCCACCTGATTGACGCTGTCCGTTGAAAGGGATACCAGCGGTTAGTAAGTTGTATTTTGTCAATGCAGACAAGCTTACCTTGCATTGTGAAGTGGGAGGGAAGAAGAAGCAGGTTGTTGTTCCTCCCACTTCCCAATTTGTGCACAACACGCCACCCCTTGGGTCTGGCTCCCTACTTAAACAACCTTTCTTGATTGAGGAAATCATAGCTTCAACACGTGAACAGCATCATCACCATGTGAACCACTCTCAACCAGCTGTGTCCATCATTATAGTCCATCAGTAGGAGCAACCTGCAGGTCAACGGCACTTGTATCGGAATAAAAAAAGGCTTGGTTGCTATCGGATTGCTATCAAGGATAACAATGGTGAGCTTCATGAAGAATCTCGTGGTCACATATACAGTCCTATTGTTTATGAAAGCACTTATAAAACCGAATACGATTACGCAGCGGTGGCAAATTCTAACTGCGTAGGCGTGGTTCATGAGCTGTGTGCATATGTCAAACCATTATGATTATGACTAAACCCAGATACGGGACGAGAATTATGGAGGCATTGAGGCTCACGTTAAGTTGTTGACATTGCGCGGCTAATTAATACGCATTGTTGTGAGGGTTGATGGATCAGCATATGCCACTCGTGACCACAGATGTAGTAAACGGTCATTGCATCTTCCATATCTGTATTATTCCAACATCGTGCCCTGTAAAATGATCGTCCCGTAAAACACACGCATATGGCGCGTTCGTGCGTTTGTTTTACGTGCCTATTTCATCAAAGGTCGAACCTATTCTTGGAGGGTAAAAGAAATTAGAACGGATCAACAACACCAGTATGGAGGTACATCATTATCAAGGGTTAGCGCCTCAGTAAATGAGCCATTATTATTGACTTGCATCGATAACCTAGCTACAACTTCACGTTTATTGTGTATACCGTCAAAAGCATCTGCATCGATAGAATAAAGAGTTTGTAAGGTATCCTATGTTTTGACAAGTGCCATGGAGAATAGATGATTGCACCTTCTTCAGGAGGCTGTTATTGTCGTTGTGATAACTACCCAAGTGATGGCAACATCGTTATGAGCACTTGTAGTGAGTTTTTCTGATTGAAGTTAAGCCTTGATTAGTATAGGATATAGCTTTATTACACCGAAGTGGACGTATTCTGCATAAGTTCGCGTCTCATTCCATTTGTATAATAAAGCTGGATTATCACATGTACACCGCATGCTGATAATAAAAGCGTGATTCACGTGATGTTGTTGCCATGAATCCATCACTCCATGAATCCATCACTGTTTGAAACGTCATGATGCAATCATCGAGCCAAGTTAAACAACTGGCAGACTTGTAGGTTTTACCTTACATCTTCCTTTTTATCACTTCCCCTTTTTTTATCAGTCAACCATGAGTCAGCATCGCAACGCGTACACGCTGGATCACTTACACGAGCTCAACGACTATGTTCAACTTGTACAAATTTTGAGGAATCGTCTTGATGATAGCCAAGTTGATATCAGCTTCGAAGTATTGTATCAGCTTATCGATCGCTTGGTCGTACGTGATACAAGGCATGCAAGCGACAATGTCTTGCGTGGTCTCCTTGATATCGCCAATGAATCGATTATCAGGCCAAATCAAGATGTAATGACGAGTCTTTCAGCATTACCAGCCACGTACAACAACACACCCTTTCCTCAGAATACCACAGTTTACTATGTACGATCATTACCTTTGACAATTGAGCAGCTACACCAGATTATGGAGCGTTATCATCATCATTATGCAGACAACTTGTTTTATGAATCTATGCATGCATTTATCCAAGCACACGTCGACCAGCCTGGTACTCAAGTGTGGATTCGATATGTTGGAGCAACATCGAATACGACACCAGCAACACGGCTACAGGACGACTTGGATGCTGCACGTGTCGTGGGTCGGCGACGCTTTAACAACTTTTATCGTACCATGACCGATATGGATATTCATTCTCAATTTCAAGTTCATGAGATTTTCCCATTACGAGTTCAAGGTCTATTTGGCCAACGAGGCCCCAATCAAGAGGTGTTGGACGCCACCGAGCGATTCTTGATACATCTGCTTGACCGCAATTTCTTACTCAACAGCCAACCTGGTGGCTATTTCATATCATATCAACCGTTGGCTCAGGATCAACAATTCATCCATACAATCAATGCTGCTTATGCCTATGATCATTGTACTGTTCTGCGTCAAGTGCAGGTGGCGCGTCGGGAATTCAATCAAGATGTTGTAGCCGCTTTCGATCAGTATACAGCACAACTTACACAGCATGACGAAGCTCTTGCAAATTCCATAACGCAACAATATCTACAATCAGTATATCAGCAAACCACTCCACATGCAGCACAACAATTCCAGCACGATCGCACCGGCATTATTTTTACCCCGCTGATCCTCTTTGGGAAAGACGTGACCAGACACGATTTTTCGACTGCTTCAGGCTTCTACGACTCCAGATCAGGAACTGTGACCAGAGACTTTATTGATTCCATTCTATCGGCTACATTACATGGAGAGGGAGTAGAAGGTGGTGATGAAGAACGACAACTTTTGCAGCCTGCAATGATCAATCTATGGCCTATACCACGACACCGTTTTTTGTGGGAGTTACACATCAACCATGCAGCAACATTGCTTGATATTTTGAGACCACTTGTCTTAGTCACGTTCAGTTTCGAGGTAGCAAGGGTAGCTCGCTCGAATTTTCATGGAAGGTATGGCTTGTCTTGTGAATTTGTTCTTCATGCCTCATACGCTATCATTATAGACACTCTTTGTCAAGGGAAGGTTACAGACAGCTGGCAGGAGAGGCACGCATATGCAACTATGACATGACTTTCAACTACGACACCGAACCCGAGAATGCTGAACCTGCACAACATTGGTGCGTTGTCGTTTACCATAACGATCCAGGGAATGCAAACTATGGTAGCGTTAATCCAATAATCACAAGATTCATGCATTTATGCTGGGTGCGAACCATCATCTTGCTCAACACATGCCTTGATTTCTTGCAAAATCCAAACCTTGTTACTGCTGCACCGGGAAGCCGAATGTTTTCTGAACAATTGCTTCAAGCATCCCAGGATCGTGAACCAGCGGAGTTGACAGCATCATTGGAACAAGCACGTGATGCATTGAATGAATATCGAACTAATGACGCTCGAGGTATGTATTTTGATTTTATTTCATCACTCGATTCACGTTGAATGATCACTAACTATTACATTCCAGATAAACATATGGCATTTGCGATACGTAACGAAGGGGTGGTGGATTTCAGAAACCGTGGCGACATTGGTGAAATAAGCCAAGCGACATTGCGTAGCCGTATTGACATGTGGGGTGTGTCAGCTGCTCGTGGTAGCCAAGAGCGTATACAACAATATGCAGCACTTATTCGACATGATTACCCGGACTTGTATTCCAGCCCATCTTTTACACACAATCGAGCTGCATTCCGTAATTGGTTTATCTACGTCATGAACGACAATATCAATATATTACAATCCTTTTTGAGACGTGTACAGGAAGAAACGACACCCACTTCCGAAGGCCTACCGCCTGGATTAGTACGGTACCTGTTGCAAGTCTGTCAACGTCCTCCCGAATGGCCACTGGGTGATGATACGTGGATAAATGTGAAAGAGCTGAGAGATATCGCCATGGAAGGGGCACGACAAAGATTTGTTGATAGAAATGGAGCACCGACCGGAAGACGGCAGGATCCTGCAGCAGCACGGGACCTTCGCAATCGTTATCTGCAATCCATCGGCAACGTGCCTTATCATCTATTCAATATGTGTGAACTGCATGTAGGGAGCCGAAAAGCAAGGTTCCGTGTCATCGTTGATGGACAAGAGCGTTATGAGACAAATGGTATTTACGTTGGCCAAGCCATCCAAAATGTTGGTCCCACTGTATACATCGACTACGATCCCCAAGTCACACGTCATGGATTGGTGTTCAAGGATGAACATGGAGACTTGCTACCTACACGTCAAAATCCCACTATAATATATGATCATAGCCTAGTGTGGCATTCCAAGGACTCTTATTTTCGTACGTTCATTAATACTTTGCATCACCACAATATCCAGCCAAGACAGCAAGTATTGGAGGAAGCAGATTTCAATGAAGGATTTACTTTGGAACGTGTACTCAAGCCGTATTGGATGGATGTTTGCAGAACAAACCACCATGATGTATACTTGCATGCGGCTGATTCTTTTGACAACGCAGCGGATTTTGAGACGGAGATTCTGGATTACATTGACAACCATGGTCGTGGTATTGATTTCCTTGTTTGGCATGAACTTCTTTCAAATCGGAGACATGGCATGTAAGTGGCATGATGGATAAATTAGGTTTCCTCAGTGTACTCATGTCTATGAAACAGGGTGACAATAAGCTGCGCTTGGCGCGATATGTTGCGAAAGTATGGCCTTGAGATTGAACAGTTGCAAGATGATAGAGGTGTAAAGCAGTGGAGATTACCAAGATATCCTGGTGAAGGAGGAGGGATGCAAGAAGAAGTAGCGGGTCGTGGCGGTGGTCGTCAATTACGTGCTAGGGATTATAGTAGGAGCTCACGTAGATATAGTCAACCACCTGGAACTCGACCACGAGGTAGCAGACGAGGAACCGAAGATTGAACGCTGGATACTTTCATCATCTCTTGTCAAAATAGTGTAGCACTTTTGGTATATGTAAAAGAAACGATAACGAGCTGCTCATTATTTATTGTTTCTTACATAATCCCATTTCATGTAATACATTCGTCATATTCGAAGTCTAATCCAATGTTATTGCATTTACTTGTCATGTTCTCTCTTACACAGCAACATGCTCTTGACAGTCTTTTAACAATAACTGCATCATATTGATGGGAGCATATTAACATCAGGAGGTAAACCAATCAATCAATCAATTTAATACGCGCGAAGATGACAGTATGATGTATTGATGGGTCCTCCATCCTGAAACTCAATGCACGGATCACTTCACTTTTTCTCTTCTCAAGGTCGTCCCACTACTCCTTATTGTATCACAAAAGCCATATACTTCTTGCATGACCGATAACCGGACCACCTTTATTATTCTATCTTCGAAGCTACATTATGTAATCCACAGTCAAGCAAAGTCCGTACGTAATAAACAATGCTTTATTGCATCTAGCTACATTGCCACCATCCTCGTCTTCGTCGTCTTCGTCGCCCCTCATCATTCGTACTCAATCTCATCGTCGCCCAATATCAAAAACACGCAAAGAGGTCGAATGGGATCTTGCAGGCTTCTTCTCTTTGAATCTCATTGTTGTTATTATTGTCATTGCTGTGAACATGGTAATCATCGTAATAGTCGTCATCTCTATAAAAAAAAACAGGCAAGTTATGCAACCTGATATCCACAGAAGATGGTAAGGGCAACATTGTCTCCCCAAGAAGACAGTGTACAGTACAATAACATTCCTGAGATACCAGTGATATAACCGAGGAAAGCCTTCTTGATCCTGTCATTACATACCTTCCACCGTAAGTGCACTTGCATGCGACGCATCCCATAATGAATACTCTTACCTGTGGTACTTCTCAATAGCATCCTTCCTTCAAATAAGAACCCTGTCTCCATGCCAACCACTCTCATGACAACCATACCATGCCGTGGTGTTCCATTGTAAAGCTCGTTAATTGATAGCACTTGTATTGTAGATCCAATGCTATGCATACCAATGAATCTCCAAAGGAAAGGAGATATACTTGACGACAAATGCCTTGAGCGATGGATAAACCTTGATAGCACCAAAAAGACATGTCTCAATGTTGCTTGTTGCTGATGTGACACCCATAAGAGACATGCGCTGCCGAATGTTCTTGAACGCAATTGGCAATAACGAGAATCACCAGAGAATTGAGTAAATGTGGCTGGCACTAAATGTATAGGCTTGATTGCTGGTTGTTGCTTTTTGGTGATTGTGCTGATATGATCTGCCGATAATAGGGATATCCATCGAAAGGACTGCTGAGAACCAGAACCACCAGAAGATGAAAAGCTTGCAGACACCAAAGCTATACAAGTTGTTCCTTGCTGCTGATGTGATCATCGATAAGAGAACTTCATTTCAGGACGCCCACCAAATTGCCGATAACGAGAAAACCAGATCATGGGATAAAGCTTGATGTGGAACCAACGATATGGATGCTGTTGCTAGTTGCTGATACAATCCACTCATAAAGACGTTCATTGGCTGACATTCTCCAAAGAAATCGCCCGTTGCTTGGTAACCAACCACCCGAGACGCAATAAAGGTTGACACCACCAAAGACATAAACACTTCCCCATGGCTGACATGATTCACCTATAAAAGATGCACCATAAACAATTGTCCAAACTCATCCAACAATACTTAGCAATCATAGCTGTGATCTTGTAAACTCCAAAGCACCAAAAGACAAGCAGCTCTCTGCAATAATCCCTCTAAATAATGGTAGGCGTTTCAGCAAAGGTCTCCAAAAAGCATGAGAGTCATACATACCTGAATCACGCAATCATCACCCGCAGACTTGGGAACCAAATAGGCCATCAGGATGTAAAGTAATAATCAAAGCGCACAGCCAAAGGAACATCATTGTACCGGTACCCTCCTGTGGATCGACGCGATGAAGTGCATCTATAGAGATACCATCTTCTCTCTAAAGGCAAGGAGATCAATAGCCGTAAAACGATGGAGCCGTGCGAACAGAGGATGCATTTTTAAATCCCTGAGGCCGCAACATGAGTCGCACTGTCCCCGAGCACAACATGTAGAGCTCCACAGGAAAGTGTAGTACAACGACGTCCTTGACGTGCAGCCTTGATAATAATAATAGTATCGCCGAAAGAGGCTCTGCCACTGTATGATGTTTGTAAGTTCACTTGAATCCAACCAATCCCACAATGATGCACTGTACCTTGTGGTATTCCCAATACCATTCCATTGATGCTTGTAAATAACCTTGTATCCATCCGATCCACTATGTGCTGCTGCTGTTTCACTGTAAGTGTCGTTAATTAACAGGTTTCGTTTTGTAGATCCAACACCATGCATACCATTGAGCCAACCATACAGCATTCTTGTTTTGAGATCCGTATCCTGTTGCTGCCAGAGGTACCATCATCTAACATGTTCAACCTACCATAAACGCAATGTGAGATAACGAGTAAAACCAACCCACACGCTTTTGTTGTCAGCATACCCAAAAGAGGCAATGTAAAGACGTCTTGAGAACTCTCATTGTGGACGACTCGATAAGGAAGGCACACGACGCCCTGAACCATGGTGATCACAAGGAATTGCAACCAAATACACCATCCGAAGGCAATACAATAATCAACCTGCAGCGCCAAGGTATGCCGCCATATGTACCATACTCTCATTGGATCCTGAAATTGGCATCATAAGAGATATCCACCTTCTCTCTGTAGGCAAGGAAATCAATAGCCGTACCTGGATGGAGGCCGTGCGAACAGAGGATGCATTTTTAAATTGGCCTTGCCATCGCATCTTGAGTCACACTGTTTCCGGGCCAAAATTCCCCAGGAGAGCACAGTACAATACAATGACATCCTTGACGTGCAGCCTTGATAATAACAGTATTGCCGAAAGAGGCTCTGCCACTGTATGGTGTATGGTAAGTCCACTTGAATCCAACCAATCCCACAATGAACACTCTTACCTTGTGGTATTTCTCAATAGCGTCTTTGCCTCAAATAAAACCGTATATCCATGCCATCCAGTAGATGCTGCTGCTGTTTCATTGTAAGGCTCGTTAATTAACAGGTTTTGCTTTGTACATCCAATGCCATCCATGCATACCATTGAGCCAACGTACAGCGTTCTTCCTTTGATATCAATGTCTTGTTGCGACCACAGGTACCATCATCCAACGTATTCAAGCTGCAGTAAATGCAATGTAAGGTAACAAGGATAGCATTTGCTTTTCATGTCGACATACCCAAAGTAACAATGTGCTGGGACGTCTCCTTGATGACTACCATGAAAAGAACACACACGACACACGACGCCCCCTTTGGAACTTGTATAACGAGAGAACAGCAAACTACACGTGAACTTTAGAACCACAATGTCCAACTTGAATAATAAAGTAATGCAGCGATTGGACGTACATGTTGTATTGCAATGGAAGCTTGAGTCATGGGCAGATCGCGCGCGTACTTGCTGTTAAATGTCTGCAGCTGGAAAGTGTCGCCATTGACCACATGTTCAACCCAATGAGCGCTGTACAATGTAAGGAATGCCAGCAATTAACGCGTTGTAGTTTGTAAATGGAGACAAGCTTACCTTTTTTTGTGAAGCGGGAGTGAAGAAAGGATTCTACTTCTATATTTTTTAATGTTTGAGTGCATATATAAACCACAAAATTTCCTAATTGAGAAAGCCAAAATGACATGAACGACATACCTTTCGTGGTATCAATGTGTAGCGGAGGCATGTGTGAATGCGATGGTACACTTCATGGAAGTCAATGGGAAGATGCGCAGGACCAATTTTGATCAAAAGAGATTTCGTTGCTGTATTTGAATCCATCACGGTGGTCAAGGGACGCACCAATGCATCTCCGACGCATGATTTATATCCACCAACTCAAAAACCTTATATCAAAGAGATCTTTTTAAACTAGGCATTGCATTAAAAGTGTCATTTTAAACATCATCCTTGGATACTAGTTTATGATCCTATGTTTTATTGCTCCTTAATTCTTGCTATCTTGCACATATATAGATGACCCACATACATCTAACTACATTTAAGTGATAAAGCATTGGTTGTTCCTTGATCTAGTTGTCTCATAGCCCACATCTCTAACCTTGTTGAATCCATCTAACACGTGTGTACATCTTCGCATTCATCAACATCATCATCCCAGTAGTGCAACTTGTACCTCAAAACCAATGCCCGTTTGTTTCATGTGTACCATCCACCCATCCAATAAAACAATGTTCAAATGTACATGGTATAAGACTTTCTTGTTGTAAAAGCGAAAAGTTAAATTCAATCTGATACTAGGAATGCTATTGTAAAGGGCGGTGTGCTGTAACAAAGTCAATGGATATAGAAGAGATTCAACCTTCTACATAGGCAGTATTCCAAATCACCCACGGCAGTAAACCATCTCCATCAAAGATAAAGCCATCTCAACCATGCCATTCCAATCCACCACCATCTTCAGCGGTATCCACATAACATGATCCATCCTTCCTGCTGACGACGCGATAACCAAAGCAACATTCGAGGATTCTTTCTCATCCCTGCACTTGATCGCATCCTTCCATCCATAACCATTGCAAGTACAATAAGAAGCTCTCCAACGCTGCCGGTATGCTTCCTTTCCCATCCTGCTGTTGGACTATCTCTTTCTTGGTCATGTTCCATCGTAGCTCAACCGTGTAAAGAGTCATTGTATTGAAGTGTACTTGATAGCTGATATGGCATCATCCATAGGAAGTCGTATGTAATAAAAACAAGAGGCAACACCTGAATAAGGCTGCTTCGATACAATGGCTATCTGTTGTTCGCGTAGAAAAAGGCTGGAAAGCAAGTTGCTGCAAGTAAAGAAAGTGTTCGAGGGAATGCATAAAGATTTCGCTAATAGCAACAGCTGCAGCGTTTGATCGTGGCAAGAGCGTGTGTTGTAGTAGAATGACAAGGTTGTGAACACTGTTTGAGACAATGGAGTAAAGACATCGCTAATAGCAGCTGCTGCAATGAATGCTGTTGCGTTTGATTGTAGCAGAGGAGTATGCAAGAGAGTGTGTAGTGTCAAGAGATGAGTGTGTTGTAGTGGGGTGCATACGCCATGGAGCTTGCCATTCAGTCGAAAGCATTCGGATCAAGAGAGTTGTAGGATTGACATGATGGGTCGAAGCAGGACAATCGTTTGCAGGTGGTAGTTGTGCTTGAATGGGTCAACAGTTAAGATTGGGAGGAAAAGGCAATACGCTAGGAGTGGAAGAAGTGGAAATTAAATAGGTCGGATACCTCTTGTATAAATGCATGAACACTGTACATCAATCCTTGATATTGAGATTGCCCCTCTGAAACATGAAACTTTCACACAAGGTGCTCTTTAGCATGCTGATCAACTCCATTCAAATAAAATTCGCAGACTTCATTGTGAAGATTTAAAATGCGGGGAGGTCCAAATGGTGGATGATGGGACAAAAAGAGCGGACGGCCCACCGCCCCGAAGTTGCCCACCTCCAACTTGAAAATTGGTCAGCAGGGTGCTCTCGAACATGCTGATCAATATTTTCTAATAACTACTTCACGCTTCATTAGAAAATTTGGAATGGGAGCGTCCATAAGTTTGAAAGACGGAGACATTCGCAGGGTCTGTCTTTCAAGAATTGACACATTCTTTGTTTGAGCGTAGTTCAGCCAAATCATCTCGGATCAAGAAAGTTGAAAGATGGGAATGATGGGCTGGAGCAGGAGAATCGTTCACATGAAGTGGATTTTGCAACAACGCTGATTGTGAAGAAATGGCTGCTAGCGGGCAGTATATGGGCTATTGTCAATAGTATACAGTATCATCCTTCCATCCTTCCAGTCATGCAAACGTAGCTGTGTTACACAACACGACCCTCTGCATCTTTTGCTCTGTCAGGGTCTAGCCACTTCACAATGAACAAAGACCACTTGTCATATAGCATCACGCTTACAAACATAAAGGTGCCTGTATCTCCAAACTTTACAATGAAGTGTGGTGTTTTTATTAGAGCAATGTGCTCGGCTTGGCCAACAGCACCTTGTGTGAAAGTTTCGCGTTCAATGTCGCAACTAGCCCAAAAAAATATTTTTTGGTCGTCGTCGTCGAAGAGGTCGACCCCCAGATCCAGTTTGGCTGGTAGCGACATTGCGAAATCTGGGATTGGCCACGATCAACTTGAAACTTTCACACAAGGTGCTGTTGGCCAAGCCGAGCACACTGCTCTAATAAAAACCCCACGTTTCATTGTAAAGTTTAGAGATACAGGCACCTTTATGTTTGTAAGCGTGATGCTATATGACAAGTGGTCTTTGTTCATTGTGAAGTGGCTAGACCCTGACAGAGCAAAAGATGCAGAGGGTCGTGTTGTGTAACACAGCTACGTTTGCATGACTGGAAGGGTCGATGCATGATACTTGCAACAGCCCATATATTGCGAGCTAACAGCCCATTCCTCCCATATACTATTGTTACCAATACAATGCATGTGAACGATTGTCCTGCTCCAGCCCATCATCTCCATCATTCAACTTTCTTGATCCAAGTGGATTTGATTGAGCAACGCTCAAACACAGAAGTATCATCCAACACCGAATCAACTCATTTAATTTCCACCTCTTCCACTCTCAGCGTATTTCCCTCTTCCTCCCATTCTCAACTGTTGACCCCATTCAAGTACAACTACCACCTGCGAACGATTGTCTTGCTTCAGCCTATCGATGTCAATCTTACAATTGTCTTGATCCGAAAGCCTGCAACTGAATGGCAAGTCCATGGCGTATACACAGCTCACTACAACACCCGCATTTCTTGACACTGCACCTTCCCTTGAACACTCCTCTACCACGGCCAAGCGTAACGACGTTCATTCCAGCAGTTGCTACGAGTGAGGTCTTTACTCCATCGTCTCAAGTTACGTGCAGCAACTAGCCTTGCAGCCTTTTTTACGTGAACAGCAGATAGAACGTAGCCTTATTTACGTATAGCAACTTACTTCAATACATACAACTTCTTATTGATATGAATATGAATATGGATATTGGGTTGGTGAATGAGATGGAAGGATTTGGGTATACGTATACATCACGTGGGAAAAGAGTGTATCCATTGGCAACTTGATCATTATGCTTGATGCTATCATCCTGAACGAGCGGTGCATCCAATTATCGTACTTTGCACGTTATATCATCACAGCAACAATCATCATCCTTTATGCAGCCTGTCAACCATGTATAACCATCATCATCCAACTACATATTTTGACACGTCATGCATATAGTTTTTATAATAAATATCTATCTGGTACATGGAGGAGAAAGAGGATGGGAGGGTGGAAGAAAAGAAATGGAACGAGTCAACAAGTGCCTTAGATTTTTCTGTTGGGCATCAATGATTGAGGGAGCTTTTCTGGAAGTTCAACACCGTTTTGGACCGCTCGAATAAGATGCATAGCAACACTGAATTCATCCACATCCATATATCCATCAGCATCCCAATCAGATAATCGCCAAATTTGTGCCAATTGATCGTTGGGTACACCGGATTCCATCAATACTGGCCTAATGCTTGCTCCCGGTACTACACCTTCACGGGGATGGAGCGATTGGAAAATGGGTGCATAGGCTTTCTTGTCAACAGCAGTGAATGACCAAAAGTTGGAAGGTAGTTGGCCATATCCAGTATTCTCTTGCTCAAGCATCTCATCGAAAGGATTCCGTTCATTCTCAGGAAGCTCGGCATTACCAGTAGGAAACATGGACATGAGTTTTGGTAAATCCACAGCAAGAGCCTAATCCATGGATTAGTCACCAACTCCCTTCGTTCCCTTTCTTGTCCTAATCCTTTACCTGATCCACTTTGGCAAGCAAATCTTCCTTGATCGTCTTGAATTTATCCATGTCATAAAGCTCAAGATTGCGTTTGAACTTTTCTGGGTTGGGGAAATCACCGGCTGGAAGATGATATCGTTGTTGGATCTTCATAAACTCTTGGTCCAAGTTGTTCAAAAGTGCGTTGCGTTTCTTCTTTTTACCAAACATGGATGGCATCTCCTTCTTCAGATGGCCGATAATAAGAGCATGTACCTATACAAGTAGCCATGGGTTAAAAACCATTCCCAGGGATAGTTTCAATACCAATTCACATACTCTTGCCAACCGAGCACGCTTGACAATCTCATTGATCTTTCGAATAGCAGCATTGCGTCGAAGTTCCTTAAGGTCCCGTAATAAATCCTTGGATTCGGCTTCAATAAGTTCACGGCAATCCTCAAAACAATTGGGAGGCTTCTCGACCCAGAATGAACCAAGATAAACGCGCATTACTTCAGGTGTTTGCACCACCTTGCCCAAAGACCACATCATGGCACCGTATCTATAACCAATACCCCATGTTAATTTCCTTGACCCAAATAAAGCAATCCTTTTTTTACTTACACACGCATCAATTGTTGCTGGCTGACCATATCACTCTTGTTAAGTACAACCCGTACTTTTTCTTCTTGGCCACGGAGACTGTGGATAGCCATCTTGAACTCGTTGGAGATATCAAGTTTGTGCGAGTCAAACAGTAGCAAGATCAGATCAGCTCGTTGAGAAAACCATTCGATCACTTGAGTAAAGTCGTAGCCACGTTCAATGCGTTGCTTATCGCCAGCCAAGATACCAGGCGTATCAACGATAGTCATGTTTTCCAAGACTGGTGATGGGGTTTGAGAAACCTAGCAATAATCATTGAGTATCCTCCCTCAAAGCTTTGCTATCCATGTTTACCTGAAAACGAGAAAGAAATGCTTGACCAAAACGATTAAGACCACGAAAAGGAAGTTCCTGATTGACAGCAGCAGCATTGCCTGGGATAACCCGATCTTCAGCACCATGCATGACTGAAACGAACTTGTCGGTGGTAGGCTCCACACCAATGTGTTCACCAGGATATCGCTTGTCCAACAAGTAACGGATAAATGTCGTTTTACCCTATGATGCCCTTTTAGTTCACCATCCACACCATCCTCCTTTAGGTTTCCATGGTTACCGTTGAATACTGGCCGATCAAGAGGACAATAGGCTTGGCTTCAATATCCGAGTCGGTAAGTGGTGCGGAATGAAATCCTATATCATGCCTTTAGTATTGAGCTTTTTCTATTGCATTCACAAGGAGAGCATGCTATCCACCATCATCCCAACATCCACTAGGAATATAAGCCATATAAAGTAGACGCACCTTCAAAGTTGTATGTCACCTCCAATGGGCGAATCCTTGACTTGTAAATCTTCTTGACTCCTTCAATGATTTGAGCATACTCGTCGTCCTCCCAACTCTGAGTAGTGTGTGGCGATGGAGGTTTGGGTGACCCGTTCGATTTCTTCACTGAAGTCGGCATTGAGAGAAAATGGGAGTGTGAGGACAAGAGAGGAAAAAAGAAGCGACCCAAGAGAGCAAGCTTATGCTGATTCAAAACGACGCGAGACTCTCCGAAATCCCCTGCAGCAGCAGCTATCCCATATCGCGTTTGGCACCAAAAAAGTTCTCTGTATCATCATCACTTTCTTTGTTTTCTCCCACATGCGTGATTGAATCATTCTTGCTCTATATGCAAAGATAGGGATCGACACTTCATGTAACACAAAACATGCCAATAGAGTTTCTGCAAATAAAACATCAGTGTCCTTGTTCATACAAATGGGTAGCTAACTCCATGTAAAAATCTGTAGGATCAAAGTTGCTATTGCTAGTTTTTTCTCTAGATGTGGATCGCCAGCGATACCTACAAAGAAAAATTCCGTGATAGATTAGTACATCTCTATCGTCTCTTGTTGTTGCAAGGGTGCATGTGATGGGTGTGTGTGTATATGTGTAATGTATATATACCCGCTTGTACGGGGAGATTGGTCCATGATCATACAAAAGAAGAAAAGACACCCATTTGATTCAAAGTACACGGATACAAACCTTTGCCCATTGAGGTTCCAGTGGTGGGCGTCGAGCGTTTTGATATACTTGCCCCATTTAGCGCTCTCCACTGATACGATGCCGTCATTGTCTCCTTCACGTTCATTCACAACTTGCCAAGTCATTCCTAGGAATGTCCATGGTGGAATGGCAGTGTTGGCTCCATACGAGTAATAGGCAACGGATGGATCATCAGGGGTATTGGGATTAAAATGATTCTTGCAGTAGTCGGTAGTTAGATTGGCATAGGCTGGAGTATCAAGTACTTGGATTACGGGATCGAAGAAATTGGCCATGCTCTTTTGCTTTTGTTGTTGATGGCATGGTGAGGTAGCATTGGCAGCAGCATCCATGATAGCGTACGTTACACCCACACCCACATGATCTCGAAACCAATCCATTACAGGTGATCCTTGGTGTGGTGTTGATATAGTGGTGAGTGATTGAACATGATAAGGTCGATTTCGGATATGTGACAAGAGACATCGACAATCCAATCCACCCTGTTGTTCGAGTACAAATTGTGATTAGCACTAAGCATCCTCAATGTGATACAAAGTATGCTGCTTGCCCTGAAGAAATAAATAGAACACTTACCATCGAATGGGCAACGAAATTAACTTGCCCACCAGAAAGGATACCTTTGAGAATATCATGCAAAGCTTGTGCACGCTCCCATACGCTACCAGTGCGAGGGACCTTGGTTACAATCACTTTGGCACCGAGCTTGGCAAGTGCTTCCTCAACTCCACCCCAGTAGCGTATTTGAAACATGGGTAATGATTCAGGGCCACGTCTGTCAAATCCATATAGCCCATGGCAAAGAACAATAGGAGCACGAGGTGGGCGGTATTGTGGAGTAACCGGTATATCAAGACCGTTACATAGGTTATTTTGCCGAGATGCTGTCGAGGGAAAGGTGAATGTAGAGTTGGAAAAGAATTGGGCAGCTGCAAGTGTATCGAACACCATGCTGTTTTTGCTATCTCGTCGTTTCATCAACAAGCGAGGATATAGTACAGCGAGTGTGTTTTCGTGTGCATTGTGTTTCTTGTTGGCTTTCGAGCGTCGTATCGGGAGAGAGTTGTGGAGGACATGTCGTATATTATTGATGAGCATAGATAATGTGATGGATACCATAGTGTGTAAATGAAAAGCAAGAAAAAGAGAATAGCAAGGTACCATTATCATGTGTTCTTTAACAAGCGTCATTACAATCGGTTGAAACCCAGAATCTTATTAGTGGTTCTCACAGTCCCCTTTGTTTGGGGGTTCCAAGAAACGACGATGGGGTCATTATTGGATGGTGTTGTGATTGAAAACATCGAACGACCATGGTCGAAGATGGATGGTTCTAGAAGAAAAATACTCTCAGTGGTAGGTGGTATGCCAAGCTTTTACTTATGATTGGTCGAATTTGTTTCTGGTAGAGGAGCCTTTCAAGTCCATCTTTGAATTATCATTTTCTTTTTTGAAATGGGGGTCGGCGTCACACAGCTGACAGTGTCAGGCCGCGGACACCTGTGGTCCTCTTGATGGCAAGCCAGAGCAAAAGGACCGGGCGTAAAAAATTAGATTAACAACGAGTGGATCGGAATCCACATTATAGTTGTTAAACTATAAAGAACAGATACTACACTTGATCTTAGCCAAAAGGCCTGAGAGGATGCCGTTCATCGAGTTGCAAGATGGGTGCCTTTTTATAGTTTTTGGGGACCAAAATCCCTTGGTGACACAACACATTCATTGGTTGAATTTGATCTGGGACCCCATCATATGTTCGGGTAACCCTTGTCCCTTACATTGCCTTTCTCTCCTCTCCTTTTTCCCTTTCCCTTGCCTACCGCAGTCTTATATGATCAAGAGCATTGAAACATTCGTATGAGAAAAGAAAATGATGAACATTTCAATAATGGATCCTTTGTTGTTCAATGATGCTACCCATATAGAAAATAAATCATGCATAAATGATACTCTCTCAACCTCATTTTCCTTCCCAGTATCATCATCATCATCATCTGGTGAACGAAGAACGATGCTCAATTGCCTATTTCTCTTATGGAAGATGTATAAAACGTTGAAGATGATAAAAGAAGAGGATTGGTTTTATGGATGGTTGATATTGGAGTGTGTCGGTATTCACGATGGCTACCATAAGCAGCGGGGGAGTAAAACTCTGAGCGCTCTTTCTTTATCCAAGCCTCTTTCTACAAAAGACCAACCCATTCATACATGCCAGAATCGTCAGTGTACGTCGATCTACAACACCATTGAAAGCGTCAATGCAACGAGGATACGTATTGACTCACATTGTGCTTATGCGATTGCGCCGATCGTAACAGAATACCAAGTGGCTTCGAAGAATACAAAGGCCAACCTCCCTTTGATATCGACGACGACGACAAGGAGCTCTGGCTTATTCGTGTTCCAGACAACGTAAGCATTGGGGATGACAAGTTTGATATGGAATGAGTATCTCAAGGTGTAATGGTGATAGGTCTCAGTTGAACAGCTATCAGGCATGAAGATCCAAGTGCCATCAGAAAAGAACCAGGCAAAGTCACTTGGCAAGCTCAACCTTGGTGATGAAGGATCATTTGGATTATATCAAGTGCCCAACGAGGATCAGGATACTGGTATCAGTGGACAAGAAATGAGTGGATTTACGATTATGATGCCCACCAAAGATGGCAAGCTGAAAATTGGTAATGAGAGAGTGATGCATGGCGGTTTAATCAATATTGTAAAAGGGAGAAGGTCACTAACGTAACATCCTTCACAGCATCCAAGGAGGTCAAGCACAAGTTGATCCTTGATGAACAAGTCGCTATCCCTGATTCCACAGAAGTTGCAAAGGAGATCTTGTCTCGACCAGTGGAGCCGCGACCACAACCTGATGGGCTCAAGATGCGATTTAAACCTTATGGCTTTGATACAGGTAACTAGGGTGATGATGGAGAGGAAGGAGCCAGCTACTCGCATATAGATCATCTTTGTACTAATGTGTCATGTGCATTCACACAAACAGGTGCACCCATCACAACCGAATCCACCAAGACATCCAACAAAGGGGCTGTGAGCAAAGAGGAAAAGAAAAGGAAACGATCAACCGAAGAAGCCAAGGAAAAGAAGAAGAAGAAATCCAAAAAGTCATCAGCATAAATCAACTAGGCAACCATTTACCTACATAGTCAATCTCTCAACAGCACATTTACACACACACACACACACATTATACACGCACATCCTACACTTGCAATCCCGAATGTAAAATCAACATGTTATTTTCGTCTATCATACATCATGTTTGAGTCAATAAGACGTCAGCGAGCATTTTGGAAATGGGTTGATAAGGAGTCTATTACTGCAATGGGGTATCAAAAAAGAAGTTTCTTGTGCATAGATAACTAGATGCACATCATTTGCCTTGTTCGGGATGTAAACAAGCGAGGGACAAAAGATGGAGTGTTGCTGCTGCTGCATATCCTGTGCGATGAATGGACCGGACGACGACTTGTTAATCCCGCGGTATTTGCATTCATCATAGTACAGCAATATCACACATCCATCCACGGCTCAAGCACGGACATGGTTACTTGTCTGGTCGATAAGGTTTACCAGTGGTGTGTTTTATCTGGTGAAACATTGATGATCTTGTAATGTTGCTATATTGTAATGCATTCGAAATGCGGGAATACAGCGGAGGATGTATTGATTATTGTGTTTACGCGGAAATAAAGGATGATGGTTTATAGCATGTGTGTTAGGTTGAACAGCAATCGTCCCTTGTAAAAATAGTTGGATGATGGTGGTGGTGGTGTGGAGGAGTTATTACAAACGAGTTGAGTTTCCATTCGTGCATGCGCTTTTCTTGATGCCCCAAAAAGAAGCTTTGTGTATGAATGTTTCACCAGCCAAGCGGCTAAAGGTTGGTAAGATCTTGGCGCAAACTCATAGTTGGACCATCATCACATTGTGTGTGCATGTTTAGCCTCTTCATCTGCCACACTTAATAAAGGTACCCAGTCCACATGTTGTGTATTGGCTAATCACACACACACACACACCACGTACGTAACCCACTACCTTGGCGCCCTTTTTTTTCCACATGAATCTTGATATCAGCACTTGCCAAAAAGAAAAAAGGAACTCATGACGATCTCACGCCCACGCAGCAGCAAGTTTGCATTTGGTAAAAGGCAACTTTGCTCCCTTGGGTGCTGACAAAAGAGAGGAGATGACGGTATGTGGTGGTTTGGCTGTTGTTCATGATAAGGCAAATCTTGCCTAAATTGAGCAAATATCTCCTTGATATAGTTGGATCGTGAGAGACGGATTGCTCGTGGAGCCAAAAAAAGGGGGGGGGTGTGAAAGAGAGCGAGAGCGAGAGCAAATGATAGATCAGTTTATCCATGTGGGGGTGTTTGACGTTGAACGTTCTCCGTTCAACTAGGCCAGGGACAACACAGGCATGAATGAACAGGTTTGTGGATGTGTGGATGTATATGCGTATGTAAATGCAGATATTTGTGGATCGCATATATACAATACCAATCCCTTTATTAGCATGTTGACCCCTTGTTATTAACAAAAAAGAAAAACTTGGCTGCAAAGACTGCAGGAACAAAACCAGCAGCAGGGCGCTAACTTTTGACAGTGGTGCGAGCATTGCATTTTTTTAATTGCTTGATTTAGTTTTTGGTGTACCCTACTATTCTCAGCCCAATTGCTTTCTTGCTCTCTCTCCTTCGAGTCTGTTCATCTCCTCAAGGTGCATGGTGCATATTAGACGCATCCACACGCATATAACATTGCTTACGCAATAACTGTAGGCGGAGTGCTAGCCTAGGTTTGTTGGGCGGGACCATCAACCAAAGGGATATCAACGCCATTTTGCCGATTCAAAGATAGGATAGATGGATTAGTTTAGAAATCCCCAATCATGGTATTACTATTATATGGCATGATGTTGTGCCTCGGTTGGGGTCATGCCAAGTGATCCATTTATGAAGGAGAAAAGAAAAAAGAAAACTGCAACCATGAATGGTGATGATGATGATGATGACACATGCTGCCCAATGGGACCACATCCCCATTTGTTACTGTTAACCGGTTCCGATAAAGTTCAAACAACAACAAAGCACACGAGGCGCTGCATGCAGGAAAGAGTGATCCTGATGCGTAAGCCTTTTTTGTCATTTGCCTGAAACACCACATTTGCACATGCCGATCAAACAAATCAGCCGGTTGATGATCTACCAAAAGGGCTTCGTACCAAAATGTTTTATCAAAAAAGGGGGAGAATTCTCAAGCACCAGGAACATAAGAGATCGATATTTCAATAGAGGGCAATATCATATTACACAGGGCAGGGGAGGAGCAAGAGGCTGTGTATGGTTGTACGTAACACCTCCCTTGTTTCTGTCTCTTTTTTTCTCAGCCAAGATGATGCATGAGGATACGCATGTACCAAAAAAAGGTAAACAGATGTATATCTTGAATCATCGGTAACACCTCAGGTGCAACAATGGTGTTGTTGGTCAAGGTCGGGTGTCGTTTGTTGATGGAGTCGGCACGTGGGATCTCACACAGGGACCATCATCATATCCAAAATAGTGCTCAGCTGTGGTTGTGGTGAAGAAACGTTTATACAATGAATAAATGCCAACTACCTCCTCAACGATCCTTGCAGCAAGGGAATTTCCATCAAGACGGCAGGATTGTTTAACCATCAAATCGAATTGGTAGGATGGAGGAGACTTTTTTAGCTGCGAGATCATTCTTTGTTCCATGTACACCAAGGTATCATCATACCTGTGGCAAAAGAGAATTCAAGGAGCACACGTTGATGGGGGACAAGAGCAGTTGCAAATAAATGGGGGGGGGTGATGTTGAAAGTGGAAACAAAGATCCAACAAGAGCAACCAACACAATCAAGCGTGTGTGTATGTATTGTGTGTGTGTGTGTGTGAGTGTGAGGATAAAGATGAGGGAGAATAAAGGGCGCGCATCATCCAATCACCCCCTTGCAATGCGTGTGCAAGTACCTTGTGTGTGCGTTTATGTATATGCGCCTTGCAAGCAGCAGCCCCGTTGTCATGGCATATGCCGAACAAGAGGGGATGAGAGTGAAGGAGTCAATTGCTTTGCTTGCTTGCTGCTGCTGCTGCTGCTGCTGTTGGCTTTCCTTCCGGTTACATCCCGCGCCCCTTTGCTCTCCATATTCCCGATGACACAAAGAAAATGAATGTGAGAGCGAACAAGGAGACCTGCAAATCTTAAACTTGCATAACAAGTAAGCCATGTTGAGTTGGTCAAGTTGTTATTTTGGTGATGGGATGGCAATCGTGGCGTTATGACGGCAATGGTTGTGGTTGTGGTAATGGTAAACTAGAAAATGCATGACTTGGTCATGCATATATGAAAGTGTTCAATAACAACATATGGGTCACGGCTAACGGCGGGATTGGGGAATGATCAGCATAACGATACTTTTGACATAGGCTGCAGCATGCTTTGATTGCGAGTGAATTGAGGGGGTACAAGGAGAAAGGGTCATACGCCGTGGCCCGAGATGTTGTCAAGTGTGTGTGCAACCAAAAGCTGGGCATCATTTCAGTCATCAGCGGGATGAATTGAGAATGGGCGATTGAAGATGTGCGTTTTTTTTTTTGTTTAGTTGGGGGGAGAATAAAGAGAAGGCTACTTTTTTTTGGGGGGGGGTGCATAAGAGGAGGGGAGAAAGGGACACACGGCTGTGTCACCATAGGGATTGTTATGGAAGGTAATGAAAATGCAGTGTGGTTGTGTGTGCTTCTCCCCCTTGCACACCCACACACAAGCGGTACATGGTGAGCCGAGCATGCACAAAAGCAGCGGAGGAGATAAAGTGGAACAATGGACAGACTCAAACTATAAATCCTCCGACTCTTTTTGGCAGATCGCCTTGTAAATAAAATTGATCCGGTTGTTGTGCACATCTTTCATTTCTCTTTCATTCCTTTTGCCAAACAACACACATGGCACCCTGCAACCAATACGCACAACCATCAACTTTTCTACTCGCTTGCTTATCTTCAATGCAACTTGCAGACTTGTGCGCTCTTGTTGTCCCTTCCATTTGGGCCGGTGCATTCACAACTCCACACCAACAACATCAATGGTCATCTACATCCACCAAACGGCATGAATCCTTTAAGGTCTTTTGCCATAAAGTGCTAAAGGCCACCCAAATCTCTTCTGCTTGCGTTTTGCTATCACTCTACTACATCCATCGTTTACGATCAGCTTACCCAGCCATTCATGCATCGATCGGCTCCGAGGTGCGTCTCTTTACCACAGCTCTTATTCTTGCCAACAAGTTCCTTGATGACAATACTTTCACCAACAAGGTAAAGACATCAATTTCATACACTTTTACAACATTTATATGCTCACCAATAATCTCATTATAGACCTGGTCCGATGTATCAGGCATCCCTGTACGCGAGCTTAACATCATGGAAGTGGAATTTTTGTCAGCTCTCAACTACAACATTTACATCTCCCATCACGAGTATTTTGCTTGGGCTAATCGATGCCAACAACACTATACCAATAGCCAGCAACAACAACATCATAATCGACCCATCAAAGTACCAGCACGATTATCTGTCAAGCCAACCTTGTCGATGCCATCCTCCATATCAATGCCTTCAATGTTACCATCACCTGCTGTCAAACGACCTGCATCACATCCACAGCAACGAGCAGCTAAGCGACGCTATCATGTACCTTGCACACCTCCAGATGAAAGTATACAGCATCAACCAGTGGTTGTTCATAGCAATCCACCACCACCATCATCCATGCCTTATACATCCTCGTATCCACGGACGCCATTGTACACACCATTGCTGCAATCAGAAATGCACTTGTATCCAACGACCCCAGCAACATCTACCTCATCTTGCAGCATCAGCTCTTCATCATCAGCATCCTCCACCACCTCTTTTTGTACTTCTACACCATCCATTTGCCAGCCTGTCTTAAGCTGGTCATCATCATCATCTGCTTTAGCGTCTTCACGCCATAATACAGTACTTGCTTCATCGATTGCTTCAGCTGCAGCAGCTGCCGCAAACGTATCCGCTAGCACCTCATCATTCTTGGCATCGCGTGTACGATGTCTAGAAATTGAGTAAATACAACACCAAAAACAAGCCTATACAACATCCATCGTAATTAGAAGCATTATTCCCATTTCCCCGATTCCCTGCACTTGTAAATACAAATCACGCATATACACAATCCAAATACATATACACACACGTTCTGATACTTGTACAAATGACAAACAATATCATAGCTGTCATATCACGCGGATCCCCAAATGTGGAATGTATACGTGCCGTAGGACAAAAGATGCCGCGGTGTTCTTTACAATAGGCCTAAAAAAAAGAAACGCCCCTATCCATCATTATTATTATTGTATCGCCGTGTGATATCTGTTTTGGGGGGCTGTGTTGATATGTTTATTAGAATAGCTCTCTAAACTCGTCAGCCGATCTCCTCTTGAAATCGGCATCTCCTCAAAAGAACCGAATGGATTTATTTTCAAGATCGACGTATACGCAGCACGGTGAATCTCCTATGCCGTGAATGGTTTAGCAAAGTCATCCGACAAAGGGGGAAAGGATTGTGTATATGCATGTGTGGCGATGCGGATACACAAAGGCACTAGAACCGCATATCTATAAAGAATATGGAGATAGCGTGTGAGAGATGAGGTATACAGCGTATAGAATGGGTATTAGTACAGCAGCTCCACGTGTGTTGCTCTCGCACAAACGTCATGATCGCATCGACGCTGTGTCACCATACGCTTTTCGGTCCAACTTGCAGATCGTTACATTGCAATAGGATTTGTCCAACAACGACCAAACGCATGTAAATTTGCAGAGGCAATGTATCATGGTGATGGGGGTCAAATATCATGGTTTGCCTTTTGGGGGGTATCATTGGTGTTAGACGTGGGGACCTTTAGAGCGGGCCGCTCCGCCTGAAATGGATAGCTGGAAACAATTCTTTTTCTCATCTCATGATTGGAAATCGGCCGGGCAAATGGTTACCCTCATTTCCGGTATAGCGGAGGAGCCAACTTGGTAGTGCTTCAAAATGCTCTAAACCACTGACATAATATAGTAACACTCATCTTCATTATCCCCAAGCCCAAACAGATGATCATATCCTTGTTCCATTTTACTAATATTATACCAGCTAGAGTTAACAAGAAACAAGCCAGGTAAATTCTCATCAAACTCTATTCCAGATCCGCTCCTTAAGCGGACGACGACGTGATGGCTTGTTTTTTAGCTTTCTCTTGCAGCAACGTATGTTTTCGGGCATGTGACACAAAAGTACAAACACACACAGATGCTTGCATAAGCTGTGAATGGATGTTGTGGTTTGATATGTATGGTGATGTTGGGCTGTGTGTGTGCGTTTTCGTGTCACCCGAGCCAAAACAGCTGTCTTAGTGCAAATCAGCTGAACGATACCGCACATAATAAATAATCGCTTTGGCTAATTAAATGGGCTTGAAAGGAATGAGTCTCCACAACTGAGTTGATTGTTCTCCTCTTGTGCGCGCAGCAAGATATCGTCATTTGATCTGCAGCAGATATCAGGATGACTTGGTCCACTCCCTCCCTTCCTCAAATGTTTCCCCCCTTGCTTTGATATAAACAGACATATCACTCTTTTTGCTTGATCAATGATGCATACAATAAAAGCTAATGTATAACATCACGGCATGTGACTAATTGCAAGAAGGGGGCTGGAATAAAAAAAAACGATGAGATCCTGCATGAAATCTCCGTTATCCTTGTGGGAGAGAAAGAGAGAGACAAAGGACCACGTCGTACACATACATCAACGCATAACAAATGACAAAAGGGGGGAGAGAGCTGATTTGCTTTGGCTCCGCCCATCGTAGTTAGGCGTTGCTTATTGAATTGAAACATGGTACGGGTTCATGATTCTTGTTGACGGCACCAGATGACTCGCGCTCTTGTCCAAACAATGCACACACGCAAAAACAAAAAGTATCCACCCACTTTTAGAACATTCTCACCCGTCAACTCACACTCGACAATGTGCATCATCATCACTTTTGCTGTATCACGGGGAACTACCATTTGCCGCGCCTTTGTTTTGGTTTGCTCGTGTCTCGGCCTTTTTGCTCATATTCAGAAAACCAGCATACGTTTCAACTGTGAGACAACCCTGTCAGCCTTTACATAATGAGTCAAAGTCGTCATCATCTTTACACCGCACAACCCCCACCACCCCATTACCCAATGTCACATGCCATGCTGCTCATGGTGATGATAATATTCATACGTACACGCTGACTCCGTATTTTTAGTCCATAATGCGACATAGGTTGCCTAGACTCTTATCGATCATCTCTTTTAGGCGCACTTGTATATGTGTATGTTTAGAAGAGGTCCCAAGTTTCAAAGGAACCTTATCACAAACGAAGGCTGTAATCCTCTGAGCCATTAGGATTGCCATTTTTGTCGGCAGGCCGTGCAAAAAAGGGAGACGAGTCGAGAACGTATGAATTGCTTTTATTTACCCAAAGCAACAAAAAACAAAGAAGCTCCTGTTCTTGCACCAAAAGGGCTCCTTCGCAAGGTTAGCCATCTCAAATAGTCATCAGCACCCAACATTTGAATCATGCAACATACCATGTTTTATTGATGTTGCATGCGACAAACCATTTGTCACATTGTTGGCGTTGTCTTTTTCATCCCCCAACTCAATCACGGCTGAAAGGGAGATGCAAAGGGCTGTTGTTGCTGTCCCATCCCTGGGTTTCTTCAATACGGTACTTGTGTCAGCCATAGATTACAACCACCGATTCGAATGAAGCCTTTGGCTTATTGCATCTTACAGAAACCCCTTTTTCTTTCGGCAGCTTCGCTCCGTACAAGATTTTTTGATTTCCTCTCGGCGGCATTTATCCTACAAGCATCTTCATTTGCTCTCTCATGACCCATTTATCATAGTAGTGCCAAGTCATACATGGGATCGGGATCATTTTGTTGAGCGTTGGATTGTACTATATACCGCTGTTCCCCGCGACAGAGACATTGCATTCATGTTTTTCTTTCGAAGTGTTATCCATTGTATGTTGTATTGCAGTAAAAAGGCATCTGAGCCCAAATCCAGAAAATAAGGTGACAAGGGGACATCTACAGTACTTCCTGGTTTTCCATGGTATGCGATTAAGACTAAAAATGGGCGGAAGGCACGAGAAAGGCAAAAGCAAAAAACGCCTTTCACCTTGCCATTGTTTCATTTTCGATGTTCATAAGACTACGTCAATGGGTATATGATTAAATGGTGTTCATGTAATAAAAAAAGACAAGGCTTAGTGGAATGTGTTGCTGCTGCTATGTTATTGGTAGCTCCTGTGATTCGATCGTTGTCAATGCACAAGCCCATATTATTATACCTGACTTTAGATTTCCTAAGAAGGCACAACTCTATTCACATATCAATGGTGCTTCAATGGGGCTAAAAATGGATGCAGCAAAACGAATTTGCATATGGTATACCTGCTGCGCCCTTAGTTGCTGATGAAAAACAGCCATTGCGGCTCTTTTTGTTGCTTTCACCAACCAATTGAATCCATAGGTAAGCATCACCATATGATAGGCTACATGTATCATAGGCACTTTTAGCACTTGAGACTTGGATGGATACAAATGAGCAACGAAGCAATGTCCCTCTCTTATGGCTGGAGGCTCGTGCAACTCGACTCCGTGGATTCCTAGAATTCATTGTGTTACACAAACGTAACGTGTAGAGATCAAAAATAAACTCGCATTATGATTATTTAAGAGGTTTCCTTTACCTTTTTCTTTGTCCATTACCTCGACAGTCTTTAACTTTCCTTGATCATTCCTTTCTCTCCCGCGTCACGTCACGATCTCCTTTCCTTATGTTGTCTAATAAGCTCTTTCTCATCGCCTCTCTCGGTCTTGTCGCCTTGACCAACGCCCAAGAAACATCCACATTCCAATTCAAGGATACCTACCCTGAACCTTACAAGGTGCCCCAACCAAAGAAGGAATGGCTTGATCTCATTGCCAATGCCAGCATTGCCGATGCACCCTTGTTGAAGACCGATGCCAATGGTGGTAAGCATCATTACAACCACTTTCAATGATCACGATTGGCTGACATGGTCTTTTTTTGTTTCGAATTGCAGGTCTTGTATTGCCTGAGAATCCTGAAAACGATCCTCATTGCTTGTGGACTACTACTCAATGCTTGGATAAGGAAGATGTTTATACTTGCCCTACCACTGGTGAATGGGGTGTCACCTTTGATGATGGCCCATCCGAATTCAGCCCTGCATTGTACGATTACCTCGATAAGAAAAACGAAAAGGTCACCTTTTACATGGTGGGTGGTCAAGTGAAGCAATTCCCTGAGTTGCTCAAGCGTGCCTATGATGCCGGCCATGAAATCGCCATGCACACTTGGTCTCATAGCTACATGACCACCCTCACCAATGAAGAGTTGGTGGCCGAACTCAAGTGGACTGAGCAAATTATCAAGGAAGTCATTGGCGTTTCACCAAAGTATTACAGACCTGTACGTAATCATTGATGCCTTATAAGCAATATCCATATCCACTCAAATTGCCCATATTAGCCATTCGGTAACATTGATAACCGTGTCCGTGACATTGGCAAGGCCCTTGGTTTTACTCGTAAGCATTAGTATACCACTATTAAGTAGCATGGAATCACTCATGTTTTTATGTATGTACTATAGCTGTTATTTGGTCTGTGGATACCAATGATTGGTACTTGCCTAGTGATCCCACCTTCCAAGCTCAATGGATCACCAACAATGTCACTGAATGGGCATCCAAGAACACCACCCAAGGCGGCGTATCATTGGCACATGACTTGTACAAGGAAACTGTTGATGCTGCTCTCAACTACTTGCCTATCCTCGAGGATGCTTATGATCTCAAGACCGTTGCTCAGTGCAATAGCCAAAACGCCTATAAAGAAGGCAAGGGTACTGCTGCTGGTGGCAACAATACTACCCAACCCTCCGCCTCATCATCCGCTGGAGCAAGTGGCAGTGCTAGTGAATCATCCAAGCCCTCTTCTGAAGCTGGTGGTGACAAGAAGGAAAATGCTGAAAAGGATTCTGCTACCAAGGGTCAAGAAGATGATGAAAGCGCTGCCTCCACCTTGGTCATGTCCGCTACTAGCATGCTCCTTGTATTGGCTGCTGCCGCCTTGTCCGCTTAAAGGCCCTTTCTCCCATCCCAATGGACCATCCCAATTACCCACATATAAACACACACACACACGACCATGCATGACCCACGACTATTACCTGTAATATCATGTTGTACCATTTTCTCTCCTCCATATTAAAAGATTTCCAATGATCGATGCCTAATTTGATCTTCTTTGTCCTCTTTAAACAATGCTCTTTATACATAGATCTCATGAATTATGCTTTTTGTTCCAAACTAGCTACCAAATCGTCACATCGGTTGAGTTGGCGCAAGAACCAATCACCCACACGACGGCCAACCTTGCTCTCAGCAATGTGAAGGACATCTTGCTTCAGGCAGAAATCGAGATCAGAGGTAGGGACATAATCACCATCCAACAAGTTGCCGTTTTCCACCTTTTTGATTTGACGGGACTTTTGCTTGTACATGAGAAGTTGCATGGTAAGTTGTTCAGGGGTCATTTCAAGGAACTTGGCCAACTTGTCAACACCCATGGTTGTGTAGAGCTTCATGAAGGATCGAAGAGTAGGGAGCATGATCTGGTTGCGGACATCAGCAGTGAACAACTTGACCTGAGTGGAATGGGGGTCCTGGATAGCATTACATTATTAGTTGTTGCTTTCCTATACACACATTACATTAAAGAAAGCCACTTACAGGGCGCTTGCCATCCAATTGAGGGGATGCAGAAATAAACTTGGGGCATGCGTGTTGGAACATGTCTTCAAAGACTTGAATGCCTTCCTCACTATATACACGCTTGAGTACATTGGTATTCCTTTTACATAGTCATTTTACTTACCCCTTTTGCATTTTTGAGATTTGTTCACCATATCGCTCACGGAGTTGAGAATGGACCGATTCATCGAGACGGGTGGGGCAAAGGGAAACGCACATGGCCAAGAGAGCATACATTTGATCCATCTTTTTGCCAACTTGCTCAGATTGGTAAGAGCGACCATATTGCTTGAAGCGTTGGATATAAATAATGGCATCAGAGAAGGTCTTGATAGCATCAGCGTAACGGCGCATCATCATATAAGCAAAACCGACGTAGTAATAAGTGGTCAAAGTGCAACCAGTGACACGAGCCATAAGAGACTAAGTGAATAGAAGATAGTTATTATCGATTCAACGCTCCTCCAATTGTTACTTTGATGCTTACCTTCCTGCTCAATGCAACATTATCCATCATCTTGAGGGCAAGCATGTAATCACCCATCAAGCAGTTGACACGAACGAGACCAATAATTGAAAAGTAACCGAGGGTCTTGTACAAAGGACGAGTACCATATTCACCAGCAGCCTCCCTAATCACACAAAGGTGAGCCACCTCGTTTGTCAAAATCCGTTTCTGATACTTACATCATATCACCGCCATTCTTGCTGACCAACATTTGTTCAATGATGCGTGACTTGGAGATGAAAGAATACAAGACGTTGAGGACACTGTAAGTGCTCCAGATTTGAGGATTGTCACGAAGCAAAGCGATTTCTTCTTCGGTCTTGCTCTTGAGACGGTCGCGATAGTTGCTGAAAGATTGGAATTGGTAGATGAATTCATCAATGATATCCCAAAGCCATTGGTTAGGCAATTCAAGGTTGACAGGGCCATCCGAGTCTAATGATGATATAGTAAGTGAGTCAAAGAATTGGATTGGAGATCAAGGGTTGGGATACTAACTCAAGATGTAGTTGAAGAGATCACAGTAGTTTTCATAAGAGCGGAAGCGGTGCTCAAGAGTGGGAACCATGCGGCGGTAAATGTGACGGTAGTAGAGCTCACGATAGAGGGTCAAGATAACCTCGTCTTTAAAGATACCTCTGTCAATGACATTGCTCATAGTTTACCCCCTCCATTTCCTTATACACCATTTACCATTGTTGACGAGCGGAGCAATCAACTCGGCTTCGGGCCATGGCTGCTTCGAATAGTGCTTGTCAGATAACTTGTTGAAGGTGTTGTCATACGCGTTGTGCAGATCCAAGACGTTGTTTTCCAAGATATAGCGGTTGAAGCAAAGGATAAAGTTACGGACGCCATCAGGAATCTGGGCAGGCGATGGTTGCTGGGTCGAAACGACTAGATTGTTGCAACGCGAATAGTATCAGATGAGATAAGGGTCTCTTCCAAACACAAATGTATATAATGTACCCTCGGCTTCAAAGTCGTCATCGAAATCAGCATGTTCAGAGTAGCGTGCCTGGGCAACAAGCTCGACCTCGGCCACCAAGTCGTCCTCTTCAAATGTGTCTTGGTACATGATTGCTCGATCAGAAAAGTGGAACTGGGCTATGCCTCACAAAAAAAATCTGGAGGTGCTGAGGACTGTTAACGGACGTCCAATCACGTTCCTAGACAACCCTCCATTTGACGACATTCATGCCAGGTCAACGCATCCATAGATCCCCCATCTTTTACTATGCTTCAATCAAATACAACACAATAAATCCTCCATGATCATCATATGAGTTCATCAGTTAACGAGGTCTTTCTTTGTTTAATCAAGCATGTCCCTTGACAATGAAAATAGTAGGCAACAATGGATACAATGAGCCATCTGAAGGGGTTGCTAATACGTACATGCAATAATGACATTACTCACATGTAGACTACTGAAAAAGATACAACCCATCCTCCCATAGACCTGTTTGTTATTCATAAGATGCATTAATGGACGTTGGATACGATCCTCTCAACCACTGATCTCCATGGAAACGGTATCCCTACGACTACGACGTTGCAAAGAGAGAGAGAGATGTAGGGTGAATTGGAATTACGGATACAATTTATTATAGTATGAGATGGATGAATGGGGATCACACAGTATTGGAATTTGACTTGTATCAAGATAAGGATTGGGCGGAAATGCAGCAGCAGCAGGCGTGTGAGTTACAAAATCGCCATTGATTTCTCTTGGCAAGAAGAGGGTTTACCTTTGGTCCTACTTTTCCTTCTCCCCCAACCTGCTTGTTTCAACATGGTGAATATCCCTTAGCCCTTCATTGCGCCGTGTCAGGTTCTAGTGCTTACGTTGATGGTTATGCTATGTTCAGGATTTCTTATTCGGACGTAAAAAGACGCCTGCCGAGATGTTGCGTCAACATCAGCGCACCATTACCAAAGCTCAACGAGAACTGGATCGAGAACGAGAGCGATTGGAACGACAAGAAAAGAAACTTATTGCCGATATCAAAAAGTCTGCCAAAGCAAATCAAATGGTAAGAGACAAAAGGATATGGTCGTGTAAACGCACCCTATGCAAGGTGCTGACATTGGAGTATTACAGAGTGCTTGCAAAGTGATGGCCAAGGATCTCGTACGTACAAGGAGATATGTTCAAAAGTTTTATCAGATGAAGACACAATTACAAGCCGTTGGATTGCGTATTCAGGTACATACAAAAGGCAATGTTCGTGATGCATTAATGTCTAACGTATGATTCATTAGACCCTACGATCCAATCAACAAATGGCTGATGCTATGAAAGGTGCCAGCAAAGCCATGTCTTCGATGAATCGACAAATGAATCTACCAAAGATCCAGCAGATCATGATGGAATTTGAAAAGGAAAGCGAAGTCATGGATATGAAGGAAGAAATGATGGGTGATGCCATTGACGATGTCATGGAAGATGAGGATGATGAGGTGGAAAGCGAAGAGATCGTCAACAAGGTCCTAGATGAAATTGGTATCAGCTTGAATCAAGAGGTAAAAAAGAGTTGGGATGGGGTGGTGATAGGCAACATTCGACTGACAACATAAATTTAGTTGGCAGAAGCACCCACGGGTATCAAGCAACCAGCAGCAGCAGCACCTGCTGCCGAAAGAGTCCCACAAGCTGAAGGCCTATCTGCGGATGATGCTGCATTGCAAGCGCGTTTGGATAACTTGCGACGAGAGTAGATAAACATCAGAATGATACCCTCGTTAACTGTGGACTATATATATATCGGGAAGGAATACAGCAACTAATATTGGTGCCAGCAGGGGAACATTACTACTATAAAATGTCTTTTTTTTGCCCTTCTTTTACACTATGTAGTGGTGTTACCCTTTCCATGATGATAAATCACAGTTCGACCTGCAACATAATAAAGGAATCAAAAGCTGTTGATTGATGCTAGCTCGATGCGATAGGCAATGGTCTCAGTGTTAGATGTTGAATTGTTGCATGAATTTCCTGTGGTCAGCGGCTGCTGATTCAACAATGTGACACGGCGATCTTAAGCATTCGAAGTAAAGCTTGTGTACTCAGCCATGGATACGCTCAATGGACACTATTTCTTGGTATTCACAAAAAAAGTTTCATCCTTTATACAGTATTTATATGTATTGATGTTACATTGCAGTCTATGTCAATTTGGTGTAGCTAGGTGGAGCGTAACGTCGCTTGATCAATTTCGCAACATATAGGGGTAAGCTGCTTACAGCCGTAATCACTGCAACCTTCCATACAAATCGCGTGGTAAGAATGAAGGACATGTCTATAACACAACCAATGCGTTAGATATACGTTTCAAATATCATGCATTCGTCGACTCACCGAAATAGGTAGGTAAGAGCCACATGGAACCAATATAAATAAGCATCGTCACTATTTCGGCAATCACCATGAGGCGGTGCCTGTGATGCATGTATTAGCATACAATTCCACACGATCCCTACGAAACCCAATCTTACCAAGTATTGATTTCCAAAGCGACCATCAGTAATTCATTGAAGATTAATGCTGTAAATGATATGGACACGATGTGGATGAATTCGTTCTCGAAAAGGATGATGGATAAGACCATGATCGCGCCTCCTTGGTATACACTGATCAAAAGCCACGTGAAGAATGTGCGGTATGATAATGAACGACCCTATAGAAACGGTCAGCAGCTTACTCAAATAATGGAAGGGGGCATTGAAGACTCGCCTTGGTTAAATCCTTATAGAGCTCTGGGTACAGTAATGCAATCTCTTCGCTCACATCTTGATCCAATACCAGTGAAAAGACAGGTGCCATAGTGTAGACCGTTGCATAACTAGAAATCTTTCATCAATGATCTGCAAAGATCGTATGTGTAGTTGGCTTTTTATCCTTACCCGACAATCAGCATGCCTTGGTAAATTGCGATGGGTGCAAAGTAAAATAGCGCTGAGAAAACAGCTTGCATGACCGATATGATTAAACCGCGATGAATGACGAATTGTGAAAGCTTTGCTGATCGTTTATAACTGTTTCGACCATGCCAAACTATATGCTTGAATTAGCACTTGTAATCCATGTCCCTCCAATATGAGATCTAGCACTTACGCATAAGCTTGGTGATATGGCTAAATTGGGTCACTGAGAAATCCGCTGCGAGAGACGCTTGTCGTCCTTCCTTTCCAACGATACCAATACCTAGAATTTTGCAATGGATAAGTATCCTACCCAAACGAAGGGTCAACATGTTCAACTTACCAACATTAGCTGCTTGAATCATACTCACGTCATTTCCACCATCGCCTATACAAAGGACGCGCTTTTGTGTATGATGTCGAATGATACGAGTGATCTCGGCCTATCATGGTGATGATCAATATTTGGTATCGAGACGATTAGGCTATGTATTCCATTACCTTTTGTGTTGGGGAGCATCGGCAACAAACCACGGCAGGTAGTAGGGTTGCAACGTCAACAAATTCATCTTGGAAATGATCCAGGCATAACTAATTGCACTTGGCGTAAGCGATCACCTACGCTACACCAGCCATCCATTCATCCATCATACCTGTAATGATTCACCATCGATGACTAGGCAGCAATCGACCTTAGATCTGAGATTATCCAGCTCGTTCAATACATCCACAGGATTTTTGACTGGGAAGATATGGTGAGCAAGAATAATGGAGTATGCATACGCTGCTTTCTACTTACGTTTAGCGATTTGGTGGATATTTTGATTACGAGAAACAAGCTTGGAAGAGACTGCGATACAAGTGGCGGTTTCGATCTTATCACCTGTAGCACCCATACATTAATGATCATCCTCACAAAGACATGTATCACATTCATTTACCTGTTAACATCCAAATCCTAAGACCAGCATTTCGCAATTGTTCGAGCGTATTCTTGACGCCATCTTGCAGCTTATCTTCCACACCAGTAACACCCAAAAGTTCCAAATCCGTTTCAAGCACTTCTTCAATAACAGCTTGCTTCCTTGCATTGCGATCATGAAGAGAGAGTTCAGCTTCTTGAAACCTACAAGCTTGATTATTAACAAGGTCCCGGTGTTATATAAAGGCGTAACTTACTTTGTCCTGAATTCCTCGTAAATGTCGACTGATAAACGTTTTTTGGCGACAACAAGCGTACGTAAACCTTCACGAGCCATGTTTCCACATTCTTCATCCAACCTATCATATATGTAAGAGAAAATACTACCTACCAATAACTGCCACCACCCCTCGATACATACCAGTCGTTGTATTGGACGATAGTGCTCATCACCACATCCGCACCCTTCTCATAAAAGGTGACTTCGTTGGTTTGTCTGTCACGAATAATGATGCCCATACGCTTAGTCTCGCTCGTGAAGGGGAAAATATGCAAGACGTCATAATCCAAAAGCGCTCCAGTTGCTTCTACACGTAGCTGGATCTTGCTGACATCACGTGCAACCAAAGCCAAACCCATTTGCTCCGTCCACTTGACAATAGCCACTTCATCGGGGCTGGATGCTTGATAAGTAAGCTCGCCATGGTCGCCAGTGACAGGAGTAACCTGTAAACAAGATGTCAATGGTTGATGGATCGATTTCGTTTATCACCTCTTACATTGTGACATAGTGCAAGCGCCTGAACGATATCCTTGATTCGGAACGAAATATTGCGACGACCTTTGCCAGAGATACCAACAACACCAGTGCTAGTTTGGATTAAACCTATATGGTCTTTTCATAAATCTCCTTTGCCTTACGCAGTGCATGTGTGGGTGTTTGGACCACTTACCCGGTTCTTGATCTTCAAATGCTGATGCGAGATGGGACATGATTTCATCCATAGTATCCAAGCTGTAAGACATGGTTCCCATATGTAACTTCTTCAATTCCATATCTATAATCCAATGTCAACAACATAGCCTCCAGATATCCCACATTCACTTACCATTCTTTGTCAAGGTGCCAGTTTTGTCAGATAATAAGTAGCCAATTCGACCAAGTTCTTCAGGAAGTGTGCTGGTTCGGACAATGGTGCCTTCAATGTCTTCATCATTCTCAATTTGGCGTGCATACACCGTTTTGCCCATATCCAGATTCACTCTCAAACTAATCATATCATGGTAAGTAATGATAGGCCTCAAGATAATTGGATGTTCTTTTACCTGATAGGAATGATGGATGAAAAAAGAATCAGAAATCGGAAAACGTAAATGTACCACAGGCCATGGAATCCATTGAATCCCACCATGGTCACTGAAAGTGCCAATGTGACAATAAAGAGAATCTAAGACTTGTATCAATACGCATGTCTTTTTTCAATCTCGGTATACAAACCTTTGCCAAACGATTGATTTCGGTATCAAGCAATCCCACTTTGGTCTTTGGATGATTGGTATTCATGACAGCTCGAGTATCCTTGCCAGTGTAAATCACAAATCCAATAGCTGATCCGGAAGCAAGCACAGTATTGGTCCACAATGTGTTCTCCACGCTCAATGGTTCCCGTTGTTCAATGCCTGTTTCCTCGTCGACATGGGTAAAAGTACCAATGAATGAATGGATATCCTTGTGAGGTGCATCGGCTATGATTTCATTAGTATAAATGAGAATAAAGGGTAAGCATAACCTACCATAGATTTCACCCCGTACTTGGATAAGGGAGTCATCAGCTGGTAATCGTTGCAAAGAAGGTACTGCCAATCGAAGCTTCCAATCCGTTTCACCATCAAGTTGATCCGTGCGAATAAAGCAAGAGCCATTGTCTTCAGTTGTACGCAATAAGATCATATCAGCAGGTATCTATTTATCACTTGAGTCAACTCATGTATGCATCTTCCTACCCCACATGACTTACTCTTTGATCCTTTTGTAAAATAACCATATCGCCCACGCGGATCTTTGAACTTGGAACATGTCGTAATCCACTCGGTGTCAATGTTTGATATAGCTGAGAATTGGCTTCCTTGTCGCGCTTATATCGCTGAAGATCATCCATGGCTTCTTTGCTGATGGTCACGAGTAACACGAAACATAGCGGTCCAAAGTAGGTGAAGATGTATCCTTAACAAGAAAAGTGTATTAGGATGTGGGTTGTTGCATGCATCATGGTCAATGCTTGGTGTTACCGATTTTGAGTGCTGGAACGAATTGTGATAATGCGACAAGTAAAAAGTAGAGGTTGAAAAAGACGACAAACTACAACATTGGATCAGCCTTCAAGTACACTTTAACGATTCCATTGTTCCATGCAATACCTGTTCAAAGAGAACCAAGGGGATAAAGGTAAAGATGTTGTACTTTTGGTTGACGATGATATTGGGCGTGTACTTCTTTTGCTTGTCTGACAACAACTGCCGATGAGCTCCTTGATAGTTCTCTCACACTCTCTCACGAGCGAACTTACCATTGGCGTGGAAAGGAATGGTCCTTGGGTTTTGTTTGCGTGGTGAACGAACGAATGGCCAGTAATTCAGTTTGAACGGTTTGCGTTTCCTCGTTGTCGGTCGACGCGTTCCTGTGAGTGGCGAAGATTCCTGCATCGAGCATCATGTGAATAAAAGGGTGGGTTGAGAAGAAGAGTGTCGCTTACAGCCAATTCCTCGTCGATAAGAGGATCTTCATCGCTGTGTATCGAATCAGACGTTCTGTACTTTTTGCTGCTTCCGGCACGATCAGAAAAAGGCATGAGCTTTCGAAGTTCAATGGATCGGGATTCTCTACGCATCACTTTGCCGTAAAATGGTATTGCTGGCTATACACCAGTCTTTTGTCTTTTGGAGAAAGAAAAGAGGACAAGAACAAGAGTGCAGGGTTGAATGTCAAGCGAAGAAGCAACAGCAGCAGTACAAGGCGCATGGATTCTTGGCAACCAATGACCTGGATTTTGAAATTCAGCTTGTATGATGCCCAACAACGCTTATTATCATGATCCCCAGAATAAAGGACCGTTCTTTCTTAACCGTCATACACTTTTATCATGGCTATTCCATGCATGTCTCTTTATGTAAATGCAACCTGATGCACTCTAATAATCAATTGGCTCTTTGAAGGTAAAGGGGAGGGGGGACTGCTGCTTCAATAACAGCAGGGCATTGCATGTTGAGGAGGTATGGTGGGGTATATATAATACTTTTGCAAGCAATGTCCATCTTTCATTCTTACACCCTTATTTATTATCACCTATGCTGTTTTATTATTGTAAGCCCATTCACATCATATCCATGATGATGTCTGATGCCTTAATGTAGTTGTTAGCTTCCTTGCCTTTTTCGCATTACCCATCTTGGCACAAGGAACCAAGTACAACGTGATTTCATTATTGACAAACAATGAGCATGGCATGGTTGTTATCGTTGATGGCCGACCCTACCCAATGGATACCACACCTTCTTCAAAGCTCCTATTCTCCGGATTAGCACCAGCAGCCAACAATGGATATTACTACGCCAAGATCGATTCATCTTCCAATATCATCGATCATGAGCCATTTATACGAGAACCATTTGAAGCAGATAGGTCACCCAACGAACATTATAATCGCTCTCGCAACAAGTGGGAAATTGCACAGTTACCCCAAGTACTCGAACCCCTACCCCTTATCCAACGCATCGATAGCAAACTGCACAAGGATGGGGAAATACCTACAATCCATATCACCGGCGACGCAAATGGTATCAACAACATGCATAAAAAGGCAGACGATGATATTCAAGTGAATACTACAATGACTTGGATCAGGTAAAACATCGATCAATAGGGAGGCCTTTGGTTTTGACACGAGGAGAATGGAAAGGGGTACCTACACTCATGCATTTGGCAATGTAGCCTTGATGATGTACAATCATTTTCTGGTGTCGAATTTGAAGTATCAGGCCGCCAAGCCCGTGAGAGCGCCAAATTATCCTACAACATCAAACTACCTAAGAAATCGTATCTTTATGGGTATCGTCGTCTCAAGCTGCGTGCCTTGGATACCGATCCATCCTACATCCGTGAAGCTCTTGGATTCAAAATGTTGCGTTCAGCTGGTGTACCTACAACTGATTTTAGCTTTGTCAGGTAGTACTATTCTCATTGTTGTTGATGATGAGTGGAAAATGGTCTCACATAGCGATTTATTCTTACAAAGGCTTTATATCAATGATCAAGCAATTGGGTTATTTGGACTGATCGAAAAATTCAAAGACCCTTGGCTGAGAAACGAGTTTGCTGATGGAGACAAGGATTATCAACAAGGGACATTGTATCAAGGCAAATACACCAATGTCAAAGCTGAGCTCTTGGGGGATCGTGTATCTGATCTCAGCTATTATGGCGACAATCCTTGGCCGTACAAGCTCGGCGAATATAAGATTGCAGAAGACCCATCCTCGGGTGAATCTAATTACAAGGCTCTTATCGAATTAACCAAGTTCCTTGCTTCTGCACCGGCCACGGTGGATGCATGGGAGGCTCGTTGGGATATGGAAAGCGTTCTAAGAGCGTATGTAAAAACTCCGATCCATGAGATTCATGCAGCAAAAGACTCACTTTTATGTATTCAGGATGGCTCTCGAGATGCTAATGGGCTTTGCTGATGGGTATCTCACGGTGGCAGATAACTTTTTTGTTTATCAAATGGCTCCCAACGGCACTAAGTTTGTGTTTATTTTGTGGGACATTGATCTCATTCTCGGTTCAACGGCACTCGTCAAGCTTTCACAAATGGAAACGGGTGATTGGAGAGAACTTGCAAGTACCCTTACCAAGCGTCCATTGATGCAATTCTTACATGTGCCTGAATACGCAAAGCGATTCGATGATTTGATCCGTGAACTTAATGATAAGCTCTTGAGCTTAGATGTACTCGGCCAATACATCGATGACACGGTTGCCATGATACAACAAGATGTTGCCTGGGACCTGAGTTGTCCTCGTGTCAGCCATATACCACTTTTACGTTCCCATGATTTTGCGGTGCTTGCTCATTTACTAGGCTTGATTGGTCAAACGGATGTCGACATACGTACTGTAAACGATTTTGGACGGCGCCAGCGTCGAAACGATGTTGGGCTTATGCAAGCTGTGAATGGGCCTACAGGTTACAGCTCCCTAGCTGGTGTCAAGGAGTTCATCAAAGTAAAGCATCAGAATGTCAAAAATCACTATGACGGTGTAAAAAGCGATAATGATAATAGACACAAGAGCAACCTGCTTGACATTCTTCCGATATAATAAACGAAGATTCATTATCAATAACAGCAGCAAGATTTTAGTGAATTGAGAATAGATGTATATATATATATGTTATTGTTGATGTGAGTGTTGAGATATAAAAAGAGGAGAATGATGGTACATGCTTTTGTCTCGATATAATGAAATGATGGTGGTGGATATCCTTTCTAACTACACAGTGACCTTCCAAAAGACCACGCGATGAACCAAGTACTTGGTAGCCTCTCGTATACGGGGAGCCATGTAGTGAGCAATGGCAAGTGCGATAGGCGACTTTCGTTTCAGTAACACCAAAAAGATAAGTAATAGGACAAATGAATTGATGAGGGTATGCTTGATCACCGCCTTGACGAGTCGTAACCATGACCAACGCACCATATCACGATCACGCTTTTCTCGATCCGCCAAACTTTTGCGCATCATATCCAATTGCTCTGAAAGGGCTGTGATATCGGTTTGTAATCCTTCAATTGCACGTTCGGATGGCGCTGGTTTGTAAGGATGGTAACTAGGTGAGCTGATGCCGAGCGAAGCTGTTGCTGCAGCTACTTCACGGTCAATGGTATCGGTATCAGAAATAACGCTGCGAGTTGCTAAAAAGTCGTTGGGTCGAACGTATTTGCTACGATGTTTGCGATAGGTGGGTGGAGATAAATCAGGTGTTTCTGGAAAGTTCTGATGCGTACTTCCATTGGAAGTAAAGGTCGCAAGGGATGGTGTTGGGAAATCTCGATAGCGATGTTGTTGTTCAGGCGATAACTCGAGCTGATGTGGTCCCAAATGAGCGAGGTAATATTCTTCTTTTTCTGCTTCCTCAGGATCCCAAGCATCCACAAATGTTTCTATTGGTAATAAGATAAGTCATTTCATCTTCTTGTCATAGCATCAAATAGGTTACCTGCTCCTTCTTCGTCAACCTCCTTCATATCAATGTATTGAAGGGCATCGCTCAAAGTAGATGTTTGTTCATGATCAGGGTATCTGTTAATAAACTTGAAGGGGGTAAAATGAGCATCACGTAAATGAATCACATGCATGAGAGAAAGAGAGAGTCTGACACTACCTCGACAAGTAATTCAACCAAAGAGTTAACATAAAGACGTTGTGCATCCACAGGGCTCAATCCTCGTCTACGCTCCCATGATTTCCTATTCGACCCCTAGTTACAACTACTTGTATCATAATAAAAGTCATTGGCTATTACCATTTGGCATAGCGGCTCATTTGCCTTGATGAAGGACGTGAAATGCTGCAGTCTCCTTGTGTTGCTTGCTTGTACAATCCATAGAGGTTGAGTTTCTCTGTCGAAGTCGGTTGTAATGCACCCTTGTCAGGTAGCGATCGTACGACGTTTAGTGCTCTGCAGAAACGTATTTGTGTTGTGTATGAGGCTGTCGATGCTGTCATTGGGTTGTGAAAAGGACAAGAGGAAGCTGCATTTACGATGAGTCAGTAAAAGAAGCGGTGAATTCTTTTTATGGAAGGGTAGATCCATGCTGTTTTCCCACCCACTCAGTCAAGGTATCTTTCGCTTACAAGGCCTAAATGAATAATCACGTTACTTGTGTGGGGTTGGTTGCTATGATACTTTTACATTTCCTTGGTGCTCTTATTACATGATGAGCTGCAATAGTAACATGTCGGCATTGTGAAAGAGGGGGCCCCTGAATTGATAATCGGTGGTTTTGCTGTTGCATAAAGTGATCAGGGTATTGGGCATATAATGGGTATGGTTGATGCAGCTTTAATCAGCGAGAGCCCAATGTGCATCGAAGGTTTATTGTATTAGATGACAATAAAATATGTGCTGAGGAGGATATGATGGTAAGTAGCCCATTCAATCAAGACTTTCCAAAAATGGTGATAGAAAACAACATCCAAGATTAACAGCTTCACAAGCATTCTTTCACCTGGTTCCTCTTTTCTCCTCCCTTGTTTATTATTCGACGCATGGATTACTTTCAACCACCAAAAGTTATTCATACAAGGCATCAATCCCTTCGAAAATGTTGTGGATGTGTGCATCTCCGTGTCGGTGCTGGGATCACATGTGCATTCTGGGCGGTAAAGGAATATAGAGAGATAGTCACTAATAGGAAGGTTCATACGCTGACCAAGTTTACAAGTAGGGGATATCGCTATACTTTGCCGTTTTATCATTTCAAAACAATAGTCGTGGGTGGAATTCCAATTGCTTTGATGATTATTGTAGTGGTACCTAACATGCATGCTTTTCTGCAGCCTTCTATTCATACATGGAGTCAGCGGCGTTAGTGGTGTATGGAGTAGTGAACTTGACCTTGGCCATGATTGGGATGCTGGGTTTAGGAGCCGTATATCTGGTCAGTAAGCGATACTACCTAAAAGTGATTGCTAGTGATTAACGACAACGTAGGATGTGTATAGCTATGTTCGTACAACATCTCACGTGATCATGGTGGGGGTAGCAGCTGTGCTTGCCGACAGCCTTATCAATGCCATCATCTTTATGACGTTACGGAGTAGCTATAATACATGGTGTATCGATAATGCTTCAAATCGTTTTCATACGGCAGTCAATGATACAGCAGCAGCCGACATGTTGGACCAAGACTTTTACAACTGCGATCGAGCATGGCAGGATGAACTTAAATTTGGACTACTATCATTCATGATGATGACAGCCTTTTATGCAAGTATTACTTCTTTTATGTAAAATTTAGGTCTCTATTTTAACATAGGGATGGATTTACATTACATAGGTTTATTGGGCTGCATGTTTCCGATCTTATCGTATCAAGAAAGCAATTCGATTATCACAGATCATGGGTATACCGATTGACCACCACGTGCCCTTACCGCAACATCAGATGTCCCAAATTCAAGGCGGGCCTTTACTCGATGATCCCAATATGATAATGGCACGAGGGGGTGGTGGTGGGGGTGGAGCTCCACCACCTCCTCCACCTCCACCTCCCACTAATAATGCTAATGTTGCTGGAATGAATGCTCCTCCACCACCATTACCACACGCACCCCCTGGAGGAAATCGTCCTAATATCATTGTACTAAATAATCAACGGCCCAGTAAGAATAAAGAGGTAGAAACATAAGAGAGTGGAGTGCGCATGATTCTATTTTTTGACCCGCATGTAACAATGTACGACATAACAGAAATGTCGCACTGTTTCCGGGATGTAAATCATCCCAACTTTTTTCTTTTTTTCTTTCTCTTTCTTATAAAGAACACACTTCTTTTACCCTTGTTTGCCATGTCGCAACGCCAGCCGTTTGCCCATTATAATAATGGTGGCAACAAGCGTAAATACACCTCACAAAACCTTGATCGTCTCCTCTCTCGGGCACCACCACAAGCAAACTTTAATATCAACTATGAGGCGTATACTATTCTGATACCAAACTACTCCTTTGGGAAGCCTACATTGCTCCCAGGTTCTGGAGGACTCATGGCCATTGCCATTGGGAAACGGTACGTATCGCGCGGAGGCGTGTATGTGTGTGTGGGGGAGGATAAAAAAGTGGGGTCTATGCAGGTCACCACCACCACCACCCTTTCTTCCCTTCTTTCGTGTTGACCCCTTCTTGTGCAGATTGAGCGATGAGTTGCCAGTATTAGCGAAATTGTCACCCTACACCATTCGACTTGAACGAGAGTACTACATTGCACGACGATTGTATTCACAGCCTGATGGCAAGCGGTACATTCCTCAGGTGGTCGAACTAGTTACCTTGTCACAAGACGGCTTGACCGCCCTTATTTATGCCGACAAGGGTGCCAACGATGACCTTGTCTATTTGGAACAACGTTTCTTTTCACATTATCGCCTTTCTGTCAGTTCACCTCCATTGCAACAATACGAAGGCAAATCATCATCATCACCATCATCACCACCACCCATCAATACCAGCCCGATACCTTCCTCTTCTTCTTGTTCTTACAACCCGTTAATCGATATCAACACGTTCCTCAAATTCGCCATTGAATGCTGTTCTTGTCTTCAATTATTACACTCAAACGGCATCATTCATGGTGAATTACGCCCTTCAGCATTCCATTGGCATACAACAGAAGATGATGGCATCACCGTCAAGATATGGAATTTTGGTGCTGGTCTCAAGTCTTACGAGGACATGCTATTGACAAGTTCAGGATGGCGACGTGCTGTCATGGCAGCAGCTACGCATGATGACCTATTGGACGACCCAACGATTTTAGATCCATCCAGCCGATTTCTTCCAACATCTTCAACACGTGGTTTCCAACATGCTCTTGCTTATGTTAGCCCTGTAAGATCACTCTTCAGAGTCATGTAAACAAGTCAAACTTACTTTATGTGGGACATGTTAGGAACAAACGGGTCGTACCTCAAATGTTCTCGACCATCGCACCGATCTTTATTCATTGGGCATCATGTTCTTTGTGATACTTACCGGACAAACGCCATTCGAAGGATCTCCCATGTCAGTCATTCAAGCTGCCTTATCACAAAATGTGCCTCTTGTTCATACCATACGATCCGATGTACCAACAGCATTAAGCTTGATTATTGATAAAATGACAAGGAAGGTGAGGTTGCAATACGTATCAGCAATGCAAATACCCGCGCTAATATAAACATACAACAAGGCAGTTGATGAAAGATACAATAGTGCCTATGGTGTACGGGAAGATCTGATCGAATGTTTGAGACGATTACAAGGAGAAGGAGATGAAGTGAGTAGTAGTCTTGTACATGGGAAACATGTTCATGTGTGTGACCAACCTTAAATCTATCCTAGTCATTGCTCTTTTTCCCTCTGGCGCTGCATGATATTAATTCTGTTTTCCAATTTCCAAGCGCAATCTTTGGTCGAGAACATGAGATTGAGTTGCTGCGAGCTGCCATTTTAAGATCAGCACAACGAGAATACGATCAAGTGTCATCGACATCCACTCCCACACGCATATCGTCACCTTTGGACAAGCCTTTATCCGAAGTCATCGTGATCACTGGTCCAGGCGGTATAGGTATGATAACATGGGGCAAATCATCATTGCATGCTGTGTAACCAATCCATCCTTTTTCTGCATTTAGGGAAATCCACCCTTGTATCCGCCATTCACAATTACGCACGACAATATGGTTATTTGGGAACAGCAAAATTTGATTCGAATCAACAACGTCCTTACAATGGCTTGCTACGATGCCTATCATCCATTCTACGCCAATTACTCACCGAGTCCGAGACCGTCATTCAAGACTTTTATTGCGATCTCAAACAGCAGCTGGGACCTCATTTTAGTAACGTGCGGCTCATGGTTGGAATGGTGCCTGAACTCAAGCCGATTCTCAGCGACCATGATCACAATGATTTGGATGAGGATATGATTCCCAATGCTGAAAGTCGTTTTCATGCGGTAAAAAAAGCAATCATGTATCTCAAATCGCCGTATGGTGTTTAATCTCATTTTACTATCCAGGTGTTCTTGAATGTATTACGCACGATCACCCAAAAGAAGCCCATCACACTGGTAAGAATACATGATAATGCATATATATAGATACTCATCCCTGATTTGCTAGTTCCTAGATGATTTATTGGAAGCTGGTAGATATCATCATGCTAATACATATCTGGCAGACGCAACGTGTTAATATGGGGTCGTGTTTTATCTAGATGAAGCATCTCTATACCTTATTTCAAGCTTGATTGACGCCCGAATCAAGATGCTTATCATCCTCACATGCCGAGATGTCGAACGATTACCCGATTGTATTCGAGATGAGCTGGTACCTGATAACGAAATGCCCGACGCTCACGTGACGACCATTAAGTTGGCACCTTTGGGTATTGACGCGATCCATCAACTTGTCAACCATACATTGCATCGTACACTTGACGCCGTTCGACCTCTTGGGGAAATCGTTTATCATCGCACCCACGGCAATCCTTTTTATGCAAAGCAATTTCTGTTGATGATGAAACGAAAGGGGGATTTATGGTTCGATTGGGATGATAAGCAGTGGAAATTTCGATTGGACAATATTGCACAGATTCTATATCCACCCAAACCATCCAACAACCGAGGAGGATCCAATAACAGCAACAACAGCAACGATCCTGGTTTCACAGGCGCTGTGCTTGACGTTCAACATCTTGTATCGTACCTCAAAGAGATGGATCAGCATACGCAAGCCTTTCTCATGTGGGCGAGCCTTATCGGTAGTGCGTTTGATTTTCGGCAGATAAAGTGGCTCATGGTTGCTACTGATTTGTCTACAATGGATGATTCGGCCACAGATCCTGCGTGCAGCGACTTTAGCGATTCTGTCAGTGTCAGCAGCTGTACGAGTGAACAACTACAACAACGGACCTCCTTTGTCGAGCAACTTGAACACGCTCCGATGGACGCTTATCATTCACCAACGCATGAGGATACGAAGCGAGGCAACCAAATCATGGCAGCTCTACAAATGGCTTTACATGAGGGTATCATTCAGACCACGGTTGGCAACAATCATTACCAATTTACACATGACCGCTATTATCAGGCTGCAGCCATGTTGATTGATGAAAAGGATCGAGAAAGGATGCATCTACGTATTGGACAAATGTTTATGGTGGATAGCGACAGCGATGATGTTTTCATGATGGCGGATCATTTTGTCAAAAGTGTGGATCTTATCAAACGCTTCCGTAATCGCACAAAGTATCGGCAAGTGCTGTGCAAAGCAGGTGAAGAAGCTGTCAACTCGGGTGCTTCAAGAATTGGACATACCTATTACTCGCATGCAATGGCACTGTTGCCTCCCAATCCATGGGTTGAAGATGAAGATATTTTCTCACGTGACAGCTCCTATCGTGAAACGCTCGACTTGTATTTGCGCATGGCGGAATTGGAGTGGTGGAGCAATCGTCGCACCGAGGCTGATCATTTACTCGATGAGATTATGGCACATACGGCGAATCGACCTGTTGAACGTGCAAGAGCATGGCGGGTTCAAGCACGCATGTATTTCCAACTTCAGCAAAATGATCGTGGCATCGAAGCTATTATTGACGCATTGAGAGAACTCGGCATGAATGATGTCTTTTTAAAGGATGAACCTGTACCTCTTCCTGCTGATAACAGCAATCCAGCCCATATTTTACTATTGTATACCCAAGTGAAGCAACAAATCATGGATATCGGATTTGAAGCCTTGAGAGATCGTGAGCGATGCAAGGATAGGCGTATTTTAGCCATCATGACCTTGCTGAATGAAGCGTGCACGGGTGCCTATTGGCTCAGCCCCCATCTCGTGGACTTGGTTGCTATCAAGCTCGTACAGTTATCTTTGAAGCATGGATACGGTGTTACCAGCGGCAGTGGTTTCACATGGTTGGGATGCACAGCAGCACGATTGAAAGAATATGAATTCGGTGCCAAACTTGGTGAGCTCGGCTTGGATATCAATGGAAAGTATGGAGGAAATCCAGAGATCGCACAAGCCATTGTCGTCTATCATGGCATGCTTTCACAATGGTCTGGGTGCCATTTTCGCAATTGCATTGCCCATTTCGAACGAGCATACAAGTATGCTGTGGCAGGCGGTGACAAGATATTCTCCTCCATGGCATTATTCCACATTTCCACAACACTCTTTTATACGGGATGCAACCTTTCTGAATTGCAAAGTTATCTGGATGAGCGCATCGATGAATCAGCAGACGACGAAAAAGATGTGGTGTTGACCCTCAATGTCTCTTTATGGCGTACCGTATTGGCTCTTCAAGGGAAGACGACAGTGGATAAGGATATGCAACAAGTGTTGGATGACTATGGCATTGCCGATTCCAGTTTCAAGGAACGCTTGTTTTTGGATGAAGTACATCGACAAAGCTCTAATGCAGGCAGCATTTTCAATTGGTGAGTCATCAATGGAGCAGAGTATCCCGAATGACATAGGCATTGACAACAAAATACAGGCATTGGAGTCTCAAGATCATTGTATTGGTGCATTTTGATCGCCACCACGAAGCAGCACAACTTGGATTTAAGATACTTGATACAGCCATTCATCATCCTGGACATCGACACATTGGCATTGCCATCTTTTATCACACGATTGCTTTGATTGCATGTCTTCGAGACGACCAATTGGATGACGCGACTCGCAATACGTATCATGGACAAATCGATCAGAACCGAGAAATGCTTCAAGAATGGGCGACACATGCAACAACAAACTACCAAATGTATAAAGTATTGGTGGTAAGCATCATGGTTTAATTCTTCCCGTTTTACGCCTTTATTCATAAACGATGTTGTTATCCACGTAGGATGCGGAGATGGCTACTTTGACGGATGATCCCAAGGCTGCACAATTATACAATGACGCACTTGAATTGGGCACCCAAGGCAAATGGTATCCCTTCTTGGCGTTGGCCTATCAATTGATTGCTGAGCAATACATTCGACGCAACATGCGAATGCTGGCGATGCCTATGCTACAAGAAGCGCTTGGCATGTACAATGCCGTGGATGCTTGGGGAGTCGCCCATCACTTGACTGAAAAGCATGACAGCGTCCTCAACAACAATGATGCAAAAATGGTACAACCTGTGGATGTTGCGGTCCAAACAGATGAGCAAGATGTATATCAATCGGTTGAACATGGTGCGGTTTGGGATGAGATTTTACCTACACCAACCATCAGCGAATTGAGTGGCAGTGACTCTTTGACTTCAGAGGCAGCTATTCTTTCTCTTGATATTGTGGATCTCACTTCTATCATCAAAAGCTCGCAAGGTAAAGGAAGAAAAAGGGATGTTGTCAATAACACGTATTAACTAGCTATTATGTTGTAGTTATTTCCAATGAGATGAATTCCTTTGATGAGCTACTAAAGAAGATGATGGGTATTATTATGACCAATTCTGCCGCTGAATCGGGTGCCATCATTATCAAAGAAGGCTCATTTGGTGTTGCGGCACATTCCAACCAATCTGGATGCGAGACGTACGACCCACCCATGCCATTGAATGACGACAAAGGCCTTATTTCGACATTGGTGGTGCACTATGTCATCCACACGCAAACGATCCTCTTTATACCCAACATACGCGAAGATACCCGATTCGCCACCGGGAATTGGTTTGCACACACCGGGCCAAAATCTGTCATTTGTATACCCTGCATACACAAGAACACGCTTGTGGGCGTATTATACCTTCAAGCCAACCTCAACACGTTCACTCCCAAACACGTGACCGTTCTACATATCCTTTGTCACCAAATTGGCATCTCTATCACCAACGCATTATTGTTCAAATCGGTTCAAAAGGCTACACAAGCCAATGCACGCATGATTGAAAAGCAACGGGAGGCTCTTGAGGAAGCTCGATCAAGTCGCGAACAAGCTCTCAAAGCAACCAAGCTAAAGTCCAATTTCCTTGCAAACATGTGTAAGTAAATAATGCCACTTTTGACACCATTTGCTCATTTACCTTTTCAGCACACGAACTTCGGACACCATTTTCTGGTTTTTATGGAATGATTGATCTTTTGACCGAGACACAATTGGATCCCGAGCAACGTGAATTTGTATTTATCGCAAAGCAAAGTTGTGAAATGCTTTTACAGATCATTGGTAGGTCGTTGTTATTTGCAAGATGAGTTATAGGAGGAGAGGGACTGATTGAACGTTGCTATATAGATGATCTATTGGATTTCTCAAAGTTGGAAGCTCGCAAAGTCAAATTGCACTGTGGACTATTCTATATCGAAGATTTGATCGAAGATCGCGTGGAGCTTTTGATCACCCTTGCGAGTAACAAGAAATTGGAATTGACGTGTTTTACCGATCCTGATGTGCCACCTATGATATATGGTGATGGAAATCGCATTGGCCAGTAAGTTTTTTCTCTTTATGGATGTGATGGCTGGTTTCATGCTAATCAGATTTATTGGCTCCTTGATAGGATTTTGATGAATCTTATTGGTAAGAACAAGCAATGGACTATAGGGTGGGAAATGATGAAGCTAACATTGGCTCATGTGCATATAGGAAATGCCATCAAATTTACGCAACAAGGAGAAGTTGTGGTGCGATGCAGCGTTGAGAAAGATCCACCAGGGCCACCGTTGAAAGAGGATGAGCTGATGCTCAAATTCTCTGTCCAAGACACAGGCATTGGAATGAGTATGGAATCTATCAAGAGCCTCTTTGTACCTTTTAGCCAAGTGGATGGATCGACGACAAGGAATTTTGGAGGAACAGGTCTTGGACTTTCCATTTGTTTGGAGCTTGTGCGGTTAATGGGTGGCGATATTTGGGTTGATTCAGAAATCAATCAAGGATCCACTTTCCATTTCCGAGTACGAGTGATGAAGCCATCCTCTGTGGCCGAGCCTGGTGTTGATTCGGATCGGCGTCATCGAGAGATTGAAGAATTGATTCAACTGGTGGGACCACGGCGTTTATTGCTTAGCACTTCGGCACGTCAAGCGGATATGATTAAGGGATTATTGCCAACATTGGATGTGGTTCGTGTCGATACGCCTCAACAAGGTCTTGAAGTAGCCCGTGTTCATGCCAAAGAGGGACAACCTTTTGATTGTTTCTTGGTGGATGCTCCACCCTCTGAAGCCATGCGAGAGATTATCGATGCGACTGAGATGGATCCAATATTACGTGGTCTCCATATCTTGTTACTATACGCACCAGCCATGGATAGTATCCGCCGCCAAATTGTAGCTGGAAAGGCAGTTCGTAGTGAACTTCAGCAACATGCATATGATGCCAGAGTCACACGCATCACCAAACCTGTACGTCGAGGCAAGCTTCTCAAGACATTTATTCAAGTGTTTGATCTCAAGGTGCCATCCTATTTATCCAATCATCACGAATCTCTGGAAACTGAACGCATAACACCACCCACGCCTTTGGTATCCACCATTGCTCGAGGTGCAGCAGCAGCATTGACACGACGTGTGCATGAGACGGAGGATGATACGATCCCAACCAATACCATTTCTGCCGAGAATGAACCACATGATATCAAGCCTTCGTTTTCATCTCCTTACATGAAGCAACGGAGCAATGAAGCATTTACACCCGAGGAGTTGGCCATTTTCCAAGGACAGCGTATCTTGGTTGCAGAGGATAATCCAGTCGCCCAAAAGCTGCTTGTCAAACAATTGGCCCGATTAGGCTTTGTAGTAGAAACATGTAATAATGGTTTCGAGTGTATCAAGACGTGGACAAAGCGAGGACCTGAGTACTTTTTACTTGCATGGATCGATCACCATATGCCTGGATGTGATGGTATTGAAGCAACAAAAAAGATTAGACAATTGGAAGCTGAAATGCATGTGGCAGAGCCAATGCCTATCATTGCTCTCACAGGTACGTACATATATAACATTCCCTCTCCCCCCACCCCCCACCTTAAGCATATCATTGACTCAATCTCTTTTAGCTGATGTTCAAAAAACAGCCCAACAAAAATGTCTCGATGCAGGAATGACGGATTATTTGGTCAAACCATTAATGCAAAAGGATCTCGCAGCTGTACTTCGTCGATATTGTAGTCCCCAACATTTATATACGCCATCATCATAAAAAAGCTAGATATTTGTACATATGATTTATCGCAAGGTAAAGAGAATAAAACGGCGTAATAGTATCGTTGTAACATATGCAAAGAAGACGATGAATGGTGTTGTTGCTAATGAGAATGGGATGGTTGTTGTTGTTGTTGTAAATCGGTATATGCAAGGTCTATCCCTATCGTTTTGTTGTGCGTCTAATAGGAATACGAGTAGTGGTGGAGGAGCGTGGTAGACTGGATCGCGATGATTCATGCTGCTTTCGTATCGTTGAATATCGATGCTGAGGCTGTTGTGGTTGGTTTGATGATGTTGATGATGATGATGCTGGTGAAGAAGATGGTTGTAATCTTGGTGCAAGTGGTGGTGTGCTTGTTCCTTGCCATCGTTCATTTTCTAACAGGAGTCTCGTATGCTCTGATTGTGATAAGATCGATGCCCACAAGTCTAATAGCTGTTCTGTTCGATCCACGGTTTGGGAGAAATTCTAGATATAGCAATCCCTCGTTATTACATTGTAACACACACGCACACACACACACGCACACTTTATTCAATCGTCGTCTTTCATACCTGAATGCTCTCTCGTGTCTGGTTGAAGTTGTCAATGACGGCTTCCATTGCTTCGTTCAGCTTGCAGATATTTTCATACTCGCGTTGTAGTTGGGTGTTGACTTCAGGTGGATTGTTCGGATTGGCGACGGGTGGTTGTGAATGGTCCAAGGTACGGAACAGAATGGTTGCACGTCGACCAGCAGTCAATGGCAAGCTTTGTCGATGTGTTGGCGTCTTGGCTTGATCACGGTCATGGCGGGGTTCCATAACAAAAGGTATGTACACGAAAAAGAAGTAGGAGCGTTCCTCTAAAACAAAGGCGGCGTGTTCTTTCTCTCAGATCCCACGTAGCACATAGCCTTCGATTGTTCACCCAAACCACCCCTTAGAATATATATACATAGACATGTCATCATTAAATACATTGAGGGAGATAGCTAAAGTACACGTGTTTATTCCATCTGCTGCGTGGTCTATGTATGTAGGAGGAGTGGAGTGTATTATGAGGTGAATAGCCGAAGCAAAAGATACATGACCGATCCCATAAATCGAAAAACGGCAAGCCCTGCATTAGCCCACAAGATAAAGGCCATGTAGGCGGTACCTGTCGAGCCCTTATATAAGGTATCGTATTGTGTAGATGTAACGAGTGCGATCAATAGAGCATTACATGCAATCCATGCAAGCACAAGATAGGTGCGGAATGATCGATAATAATCCTCCTTGCCATGCTTCTTAGGTGGCTGCACAAACACAAGCAAATGTAAGTGTATCTTCTAGAATATGAATAAACTCTACGAACCTCTTTTTCCACTTGTTTCTTCTCCAAATCTTGTAACGCTTCTTGATATTGTGTGTTGGCATCAAGCATATCGGCTGGCAGTACTTCCTCAAATGAATCGTCATCAGCTTGCCCATCCTTTGTCTTCTTTTTCTTGACAACGCCAAGATCCTTGGATATACTATTGTCGCCTTTGGTTCCCCAACTATAAAGGATATGATTCATCAACCAAACAGCGATCATGTGTACAGCCGAATAAGAAACTTACCTGACGTCATGGGTATTACAGAAGGCATAAATGTTGAGGATGTTGGTAAACCCAGGTAGCAGAATCAGGTACGGCAGGAAGCTGAGTATGATGGTAATAGGTTGGCGATACAACAGGCTTGATACGAGGTATAATCCATAGGTAGCAAGAACAGAGACAATCATATTTCGTAATCCAGGATTTTCAAGAGCAAGGACTATGTTGGTGCCACTATCGTCGGTCCATGCGATATCCTCTTTAGCGAGCTCAATGCCTTTATAAATCAGCCATGCCGAAGCAAATAGCATGTATGCCATCAAAAGTGAAAATACGGTCAAACATCCAATGAATAGCCACTTGGTGCTAGAAACGTTATCATTAGCAATGATCCAACCAATAGGGGCAATGATGACTTACACTTGTGGCCTGTTCCCCATGGAGCAGATGAACACCACCACGATGACAAATAAATAAATGTATCGAAAAGCATCGAATAATCTGCTACCCCATCCATTCCCAAAAGGATCCACCGTATCATCTGCAAGGCTCTTGGTGATAAAGTAGAATGCGATGTAAAAGTTGCCCTATAGGGAAAAAAATCCCCGCTTAGCAAGAGTTCCAATACTAGTGATAACATCCAGCACTTACCAATGCAATCCAATTAAATATTAAGCTGATAATGTTGTATAAGGTCTCAATCGTAAGCAGCACCAAGCGAGTAAAGGAGTGTCGACTACGCCACATGGATCGAAAGTGCCATAGGCTGTATACTCCAGCAAAAAAGCTACCATTCAGCCATCGACGTCGTTGTGAAATAAACTCTGGCAATCCATCCGGGACATCCGTTTCTGCAAAGGCACTGTTGCAATATTGTAGTAACCATCGTTCGCCCTTTTTGGCCACCAATTCGAAACACAAGATACGATCCTCGGCAAGATACATGTTGGCTTCGAATAATCCACCATCGGTATGCAATGTTTCACCCTTAAAGTACTTTTCCAGTGGTCCACGACCATTGACATCATTTTGCAATGCGGCATATCGATATGCTGAAAATGCACCAGGCAATACAGAAATGTATCCAAAGACGCTCTCCATAGGCTTGTCAAGAATGTTGGACATTTTGTATTCGAAATTTTGCGCAGCCACCAGTGGATTGATTAGATGTTGACAGCCGGGACCCAACATGGCTCGAATTTCACCACACGCACCACCAACATTTGGATGCATATCAAACGTTTTCCATAGTTGATGTATGCTGACATTGCCTGGTCGAGTACCAACATCGAGCAAAACGCAAACATTGGGCTTGAGTAAAGGGCCAAATGCATTAAAGAACCACCGATGAGAATTGATCTTTTTGGCGTTCTTTTCCTTGAGACAAAATAACATTTGGACGGGTACAAGGCCTTTGTCTGCACCTTTACGCACCATGTTCTCATCGAATGAGATTTGTGTTGTATACTAAGTAAATAAAGATGAGTACAAAAGGCAATAAGTTGAATGGTGGTGTTGTATTATATACCTCGTAGAGATGTGCTGTCACAGGCCTATCATCGACCTCGCTCTTTGCTACGCCTGATTGATATATCCCCATAGCGGCTAGCATGTTGAGTACACGCTTGTTGATCACTTTGCGACCATCGGCGACAATAGCGACGACCACCTTCTTCCATCCATCGGTATTCCATGTATTGCATCTCTTTTGCTTGCATAAATGTGCAATGTTTTTCATAACCCCGTGCATTGTGCGAGCAAATAGAATTTCATCTTCCTAAATGATGATAGATATAAGTCTTTTTGACCACATTCATCATCAAGAAGGTATACGTACATTGTACATTGTAATGACAATAAAGAGCTCCGTATCTCTCCCATAATGCTGTTGCCGGAGTGTATAGTTTTTGTATGGGAAATCATCTGGATCACATGTCACTGCCGTGTATCGCATCCTCGTGAATTCTTCACCTTTGCGTGGCAAATGCTGTTGCAAATCATCAGGGACATCTCTTTGGATGACAAAGTTTCCTTTTGTCAAGCGCACATGCTGGGTGGCATACCGCCTTGCAGTGTGAGAAGGTGCTCTTCCATAATGCATACGGGTGCTCGTGATATCATCGTTTGGATCCGTGTCGTCAACAAGAGTACTTGTCGTAGAGACACGATTGACATGTTGTTGATATCGAGGAAATAAAGTCGAATTTGGACGAGGAGCGGTTGATGTAGCTGACATGGGTGATTGGATGATAGGTGGAACAGATGATGAAGGACTTGTAGTAGTACATGCCATTTGTTGACGACGATGATGATTTCTACGTGGAGGTGGTACTGGTGGAGGACTTTCTGTTAATGGAGGAAGATTGGAAACAGCTTCTGTTGGTGGACGAAAAGGACTTGTCAAGACTGATGATGATGATTGTTGTTGTTGTGCTGGTGGTTGTGGTATTGGTGATGGTGTGGTTTCTGGTTTGCCAAAGAGAGTATCACACAACCAACTGGTGAAGCCTTGGTTACGACCTCCACTGTCATTGCTTTGCTGTATAGAATCATCTTCTTTTGTTGTCGTATGTTGTGATGAAGAAGCAGCCATTGAAAACAACAAGAGAAAGCTGTAAACGAGAACAACATTGAGAATCAAAGGAAAGGGAAAGGGTCCTTGATTTACTTACCCAAAATGGATCTTTGTTTTCACGCCCATATCGGTTCCTGTACAGCCAAATACTCATGACAGATACGCGTCATTTGAATATCCTCATTGCTTGTTCTCTTCAATGCAACTGCTTGATCGCCTTGAGCTTGTCGATTCGCCCGGTTGTTGATTGACCATCATGGCATTGCCATGGCGACGCATCGTTCAAGCCATGCTCCATTGTTGTCATTGTCGTCAATAACCTTGAAGGCTGCCAAGTATTATTAGAGTCAGAAGAGTACCAAGTGGATGATAAGTATGTACTATACACACACACACAATGGACTATGTATCTTGTAGTCAACATCCTTTTGCATGGATTCAACATCACGTGGAAGACCCAGACGCCAATTATGGAAAGACATTTCCAAGGCAGCAGCGACACCCAGATCCCCCATCCTCCTCCTCAGCTTTGCTTGGCATTCGGTTTCCTGCATCTATAGAACACATAGGCAATCCCTGAGCCTGTTACACGATTATTTGTATCTTGAAACAAGAGCAACGTATTTATTTGACACTCGTTGTTCATAAAAAAGCTAAAGCCGTGAGCGGAATAGGTTGATTCAATGGCATGATATCATCATGCAATTCATGGGCTGAAAGTGGTTGCTATATGCAGGGGCAATGTACAATATAGATAGCACATGCAGAGAGTTTATACATAAAATATAAAATACCGGCCGTATATATACCCTGGATACTGTAACGTTTTCTTTCCCATGAAGCTAAACAGTGTATGGTGTCTTCTTAACCATCAAATAGATGAATGAGCAGCAAACCATGGCCAAATCGATTTCTCTGTTTTATTTGGTAGCTGGAGCTTTGCAGATCATGGGTGCTGCTTCGACTACCATTACAACACCATATCCAGCGTCTCTTACTGTTGACGATGATGATCTCAAGGCAAATTCATTGGCAAACATCTACCTTGATTATGGCAACCGAGACATCCAAGGCACCTTGACACTTACCTTTGGGGACTGTGTGGATGATTTAGATACACCATACACCACGTTCATAGGATCCACTGATATATCCGACAAGTTTAAGCCCACCAAATTCGTATGGGCCACTCCTGGGTATACCAAATCAGGTTGCATTTTTGCCATCGACGATGAGGGCAAAGTCTTTGCCAAGAGTGAAAGATACACTATATCATCCAAAATGAGCAAACGTGGCCTTCCTGAGTTTGATAATATGCATTTTGATGCAGTCAATTTTCACAAGACCCAAACATCAAATCATGGCAATATGATTGCTGCAAGTGACAAATCAGAGAGTAAGTACTACTACTTGTATGCATGATGCTAGCTGATCCCCTATCCACGGGGTAAACTCGTATTTACTACTATAATAGAGATTGGTATCATTGGAGCTGGGATGTCAGGGATGTTCAGTGCTCTCTTGTTGGAACAAGCTGGCTTTCACAACTACGAGATCCTTGAAGCTAACAACAGACTAGGGGGGTAATTACTAATGCGACACTCACCAATCATTATCTTACACCATTCTCATCTCACATTTATCTAGGCGCGTGCATACAACCTACTTTAAAGGAAATACCCATTCCTTACATGGGGACGAAAATTCCATCACGTATCAAGAAATGGGTGAGCAGAAGCAATTGTGATGGATAATCATCATGTAGAATTACTGATACACAAATTTATAGGCCCCATGCGGATTCCTATCAGCGTCAAGTACAAAAACAAGACACTTCCAATTACCGATCATGATATCGTTTTTCAGATGGCTGATGAACTTAACAAGCTGAACAACAACAACCAGAAATACAAGATTGACTTCATCGATTGGATCCAAAGCACTGAAAAGTAAGTGACAATACGATTTCTACATGTCCATTTTAAGCTCAGCTATGCCGTATACGTAGCAACCTATACTACAAGCATGGCATACGCCTTCCTAATGGCAAGGTACCCACTGTTGGTCAGGTTGCTGCTAATGCCAGCTTATTCGCTGGTATAAGTAGTAGTGCCCGTATGGTCGACCGCATTGCTGCTAAAGTGGACGAAGCGACCAAAAAAATTTACGATGATAGTTGGTTCGAGTTGATGATCAAAGACTTGTATGCTGCACATGATGTAAGTGCAAATGTAAAAACAATTAATGTATCATGAATAGGACCTGATAAGTGTATAGAAAGCGATCAAGGAAGGCTATGATGATTGGTCCGAATGGGGATGGCTACACCACAAGATGGGTTTAGACCTTTATGTATCTGAATATGCCGCGAACCATCATCATAGACAAATGTGGAAGTCTATGTACACGAAGTTCGCAGAAAGTGCCGTGGATGTACGCACTGTTCAAGGAGGCATGTCGCGTTTAGCGAAAGCATACGAGCCCATTATTGGTGACAAGTCAAGTTTGGTGTGCGAGTAACCAAAATTGATCATGAGGGTGGCAAAGTTACAGTACAATGGAAGGATGATCCATTTAATACCACGTACAACAAGAAGTCTTTTGACAATGTAATTATATCCGTGCCCTTTTCGATTGTTCGCACATGGCATTTACCAGGTAAAGAAAAAGAGCTGTATCATAAGCTGGCATACCAATAATAATATAGAGCTGCCATACACACTTAGGAGTGCCATTGACAATCTCGGGTATGATTCCGCATGCAAGGTAGCTATGGAATTCAGGTCACGCTTCTGGGAACACTACGAACCACCCATCCTTGGTGGCTGCGACACTACTGATTTGTACGCTGGAGAAATATGCTATCCATCCAACAACTTGACGGATGAAGGACCTGGTGTGATGCTTGCTAGCTATGTCTCGCATGATGCTAGTCTTCGTTTGGCATCCATGACCGAAAAACAGCACGTTGCCCGTGTCCTTGAGGACATTGTTGAGCTACATGGCGATATTGCCAGAGAGCAGTACACAGGCAATTACGATCGTGTGTGCTGGATCTTGGATGAGTTTCAATCAGGTTCATGGGCTTCACCGGAACCTGGTCAACATAAGCTACACATGCAATCCTATTTCGAGATGAACAATGGCATTGTTTTCGTAGAAGAGCATACCGATATTAAGCATGCATGGATCAGTGGCGCTCTTGAATCCGCTATACGTGGCGTAGTTATGGTACTCATAGAACATGGCCACGTCAAGGAAGCTAAATCCTTGGTCAAAAAGTGGGATGCCAAGTGGATGAAGATCTAAATTTAGACATTTACAATGTAAAATCACAAAGAAAGTGGAAGTAGTTTATATTATTGAATACAGCCTTTGTTCAAGATACAATAATGGATCAATCAGACCCTTCCTCTTTCTCTCGTTTTCCTTATTAACAGCATTTGCAAGTGGATACAGTATACTCTTCTATAACACAGTGCATCGTGTGCACACTCACAATGAAATCAACTCAAGAAGGAAGGTGTCTTACACTATGCAAACTTAAGAAATGGTTGACCAATGCAATCATGTATTCGCCGCACTAACCCTTCAATCCAACATCATTCACAAGAGATAGATATGGGCACGAGATTCCTTTCCAATGCGAGGGATACGTCGTTATATGCCTTAGGGCATGCATTGTGCAAAAGTGGATGGATCAGCAGGAGGTGGCATGGCGTGTCTAAACACGCAGTTGGATGATGATGTTGTACATGCATGATGATCATTGTTGCTGCCATGGATTAACTTGCAAAGCATGGTAGTTGGATGCACCCCTCGCTCACGATGATAGCATCAAGCATGATGATCAAGTTGACAAGGGATACACTTATTTCCCACCTATTGTATACGTACTCCCAAATCCTTCCATCTCATTCACCAAACCAATATCCATATCCATATTCATATCAATAAGAAGTCGTATGTATTGAAGCAAGTTGCTACACGTAAATAAGGCTACGTTCTATCTGCTGTTCACGTAGAAAAGGCTGCAAGGCTAGTTGCTGCACGAAACTTGAGACGATGGAGTAAAGATCTCACTCGTAGCAACCGCTGGAATGAACGCTGTTGTGATTGGTCATTGTAGAGGAGTGTAGAAGAGAAGCGAACGAAACACGGGTGTTGTGGTGTGGTGCACACGCTCATGAGCTTGCCATTCAGTCAATGACAATCGAATCAAGACAATCGTAAGATTGACATCGATAGGCTGAAGCAGGACAATCGTTCGCAGGTGGTAATCGTATTTGAATGGGGCAACAGTTGGGAATGGGGAGGAAGAGACAATGAACTGGGAGCGGAAGACCAGGAAATTAAATGAGTTGAGCTGATACTTGAATGGTATTTCTTTGTTTGAGCGTTGTTCAATCACATTCCCCTGGATCAAGAAAGTTGAAGGATGGCCATGATGTGCTGGAGCAGGGCAATCGTTCACATGTATTGGGTTGGGTAAAAAAGGTGAATGGGTGGAATGCGCTATTAGCTGGCAGGTTACAAATAACTTCTGTGTATGAGCGTTTTTCAGTTAAACCCCTCGGATCAAGAAAGTTGAATGATGGACATGATGGGCTGGAGTAGAGCAATCGTTCGTATGCATTGGATTGGGCAATAAAGGTGAATGGAAGGAATGGGCTATTACCTTGCAGTTTACAAATAACTTTGCAAAATGATTGTTCTCAAATGGGATGATACTTCTGTGTTTGAGCGTTTTTCAGTCAAATCCCCTCGGATCAAGAAAGTTGAAGGATGGACATGCTGGGCTGGAGCAGGACAATCGTTCGTATGCATTGAGTTGGGGAACAATGGAGAATGGGAGGACTAGGTTATTAGCTGACATTTTGAACTATTCCTAAATAGTGTACAAGAATCATGCATCGCCTGTGCTGAATGACTCAAGTTACACAAACACTCCTCTGCATCTTTGCTCTATTATAGTCATACTACTTTACATTAAACAAAGACCACTCTTCATATAGCATCACGCTTACAACATAAAGGTGCCTGTATCTCCAAACTTTACAATGAAACGTGGGGTTTTTATTAGAGCAATGTGCTCGGCTTGGCCAACAGCATCTTGTGTGAAAGTTTCAAGTTGATCGTGGCCAATCCCAGATTTCGCAATGTCGCTACCAGCCAAACTGGATCCGGGGGTCGACCTCTTCAACGACGACGACCAAAAAATATTTTTTGGGCTGTTTGCGACATTGAACGCGAAACTTTCACACAAGGTGCTGTTGGCCAGGCCGAGCACATTGCTCTAATAAAAACCCCACGTTTCATTGTAAAGTTTGGAGATACAGGCACCTTTATGTTGTAAGCGTGATGCTATATGAGAAGTGGTCTTTGTTCATAGTCAAATAGCTAGAGCCAATAGACTCAGAGATGCAGACGGACTTCTTTGTGTAACTCGATCGCTTATGCAGGAATTGAAGATTCAATGCTGCAGGTGGATAAATGCATGATGGATCCTTCCCCTCCTGTCTATACTAAGGTACGTCTATTATAGCCAGTATGGACCATGGCTCATTCTTATATAAGGCTCCATAGGATAGCGTTAGCTGTCAGCTGTCATAGGTAAGCATTGTATGCTCTTGCACTTATGCCCCATTGTTGTATCACAGCTCACTGCTGTTCTTTGAAAATAAGGGATTAAGCTTACAATGAACCATGTTTATGTAACAAACATGCGCTATGTTGAGCATCATCGATCTTAGATTTATTATCTTTGTAAATCAAGCGTTTGAGAACCACCGCTGCCTTTCGTCGTTATGCAGGTGAACTAGGAAGCTTTAGGAAGTATAGTAATAATGTTGTGGCCAAAGAACAAAAGCATGTCGATACGATGAGTAAGTGATCCAACCCCTCCTTTCAATCCCAAGTGATCCACACCTTGCACGTATGAGCTGATAGCACGATACCCTTCTAAATGTTATGGTGAATACAATCTTCATTCAATGAAAAAGTAAAAGAATAGTACATGGCAGCGTGGGTGTTCACTAAGTAAATACGATCAAGGAACAGCATTGCATATAGAATAAGATACGAGTGAATCGCATAGAGGCAACAGGGGATAACTTTGTCATTGTGTTCTCGGTTGCTGCCCATCATAAACATCCTCCTTCCTCCATGTTTGAAAAGTAGCTGCTGCATGCATTGACGCGAGTGACCTAGTATGATCCATGGTAGAAAACTCCTCGTCAATGGCCATCTCAATCCATGATCATCCTCAGCCGTATCCACGTGGCATGATCCATCCTTCCTGCTGACGACGTACCAAGTAACCAGAACAACATTTCAGGATCACCTTTCACCATGCTTGGTTGCATCCATCCATCAAAACCGTTGCAAATTCAATATGTTGGTTGAAAGAAGCACCAGAGATCGCTGCTGATACGCTTCCTTTTCCATCCGGCTGTTGTCTATCTCTTTCTTGGTCATTTCAATGCTGCTCAACCAGGCGAAGAATACTTGTACTGCTTAATAGCTGATATGGCATCATCCATTGGAATCCGTACGTATCAAAGTATGCTGCTGTCCACGTGAAAAGGCTGTGAGGCAAGTTGCTGCAACTAAAGAACGCTGTTGGAGACAATGGTGTAAAGACCTTGCTAATAGCAGCTGCTGCAATGAATGCTGTTACCATTCGCCGTGGTAGAAGAGTGTACAAGAGAGCGCGTTGCCAAGAGACTCGTGTGTTGTAGAAAAGTGACAAGAAGGCTGTGTGCACGCCATGGACTTGCCATTCAGGCAAAGGCAATCGGATCAAGATAGTTGTAGGATTGACATGATGGGCTGAAGCAGTACAATAGTTCGCATGGTGGTAGTTGTTACTTGAATGAGGGAAGAGTAAAGAATGGGAGAAAGAGGAAATAAGGCGGGAGTGGAAGACCTGGAAATTAAACAGGGTATACTCTCAGACACTTTTACTAGCACTATAAAATCACATCAATGATCTTAGATTGCTCATTTCGATGGACACGTTGATCAACCTTGTTCTATTAAAGACCTCATGCTTCATTTTAAAATTTGAATGGGAGGGTGTAGTGTGGGAGAGGCTGTAAACGAACTCGTATGTTCGCTGCCCTGAACATTGTTTCATGGTAGCTTAATACAGAGATAGACCCCTATTTCGAACCTGGATAAAGCAAAAGGTGGCAGGGTGATGAAAGATGAATACTACGAGACCACGTAGACGTGTAAAATAATCACTCCATAGGTAGTGGTAAGAAGCCATTCAAACGAGAAACCAAAAGTAGATGAGTGAAGCAAGCAACCTGGACTGCTAGTCATTATTACTATTAGCCATATTATTCAATCGTATCCTTGTGCATTAAAGAGGAGCATGTAATAATTGACACGTATGCTATTGCAATCGCTTGTTGTCTCAGTAGCAGGGGGATAAGAACGATGTGAGGATTATGTAGTAAACAAGACGTGTGCAATGCATGATGGCTGCAGGTGGGCAGAACATCTAAAGGAAAGCACGCCGAATAGTGCATGCAAGAATTGCAAATGCGGCCAAGTGGACAACAGTAGCCACATTACACACAATCACGGTTTAATTTGTTTGACTCAACAAGCCCATTTAATCTAACAAAGAAATGATGATAGTGGCTAGGTATGGTAGAAGAAGTAGATGGGCGTTGGAAGATTAATAGTGGCTGCATGATAATGGTAGTAGTATTCCTTTGCATGTAGCAGCAGCAGCAGCAAGAGGAGCTGTTGAGCTACATACTCAGTCGTGTATGCAAATACGCTGCAACATCCCCCCTGACAACAAAAATTGGTTTCAACGTTTTCTAATACAATACCCAGCAGCATAGTGGTAAGCTGAAACAATGTGCCCAGCAATACCAGCCATGATGGTCTACGACATGCGATAAAGAAATTCTGTATTGTCGGTCGTGATTGTGATGATATACGGGAATGTCTAGCTTGGCTGAAAAGTCATTTAGGATTACCCATAACGCAAGGATGGTAGTGAAAGAGCAATCGAAACGGCAAATGCAAGCTCCAAAAGCTAATTTACATCCACTGTAACGATAAGGCATATCCTTTTCAATTCTATGTAGCATACAACAACAATAACAAAAACAAGAGAACGGTGATCATTGGCAATGGATATGAGCTGGGGGTGGGAGGAAATGGCACACCAAGCAACCTCTTGATTCGGACCACATTCTCTTCTAGCATGCGAGGCCAACGACTTGTAGCAAAAAATCCGTGTTTAAGGAATGGATGGATAGGAATCTTGACCATGATTGAAACGTATACACATACACACAAGCACACGCAGCGTAAATGAATGCTGTGCACTGATATCAATTTGCTCCGATCATTCCATACAACAATGCTTTGATGGCTACATACCAAATTTTCGCCGATACAATGCTTTTGAGTTCCCAGTTTGGTTGTGAATAAGCAACGTGGTGAATGGATCATCAAATCTATAAAATGAAGGTGATAAGAGCGGCGGTGAGAATGGAGTAAAACCTTGTAGATTTCCTTTTCCCGTTCCATCTCTTTCATATACCTATAGATTGTTCACTTACACATATACTATGCGCTTTACATTGACATACGTTGCCGCTGCCATGTTGGCCTCTGCAGTCATGGCTGCTCCCACTGGTCAACAAGAAAACAACAACCTCGAAGCTGATGCCAACATCAATGGTATCCAAAAGGTCACTCTTGACATGGGTGAGGAATTCCAACAATTCCACTGGCAATCTTCTGGTGACGAAAAGACCGTTGATCGCACCTTTTCCTTGAACCTTGCTGAGCCTGCTCAACTTCAAATCACCGATTACAAGCTTGGTATGTGTATTTGTTATGCATGATTTGTAGCACCGACCCCACTCACATGATAATTGATTATCCATATTAGGTGGTGACAGCTTTGAAGTCCTTGACAATGGTGAAGTTTTGGGCTCCACCAGTGAGGCTGCCAATGAGCAAGACACCTTTGTTGCTACTCCTGAGGAAGCTATGCAGGATGAGCGTTTCAGCCATGGCACTTTTGAATTGGCTGCTGGTGAACACGAGATCACTGTTAAGGTTGCCAACTCTCCCTATGCTGATGGCACTGGTGCTCTTCGTGTTGTTCAACAACTCCAAGCCTTGCACAAGAAGAAGGGTGGTGACTGGGACGATGGCAAGAAGAAGAAGAAGGGTGGCGATTGGGATGACGATGATGATGAAGACTGGGATGATGATGATGATGACAAGTGGGATGATGACGATGATGAAGACTGGGATGACAAGAAAGGTGGCAAAGGCGGCAAGTGGGATGACAAGGATGACGAAAAGTGGGGTGGCAAGGACGACAAGTGGGGTGGCAAGGACGACAAGTGGGATGGCAAGGATGACAAGTGGGGCAAGGATGACAAGTGGGGCAAGGACGACAAGTGGGATGGTGGCAAGAAGAAGTGGGATGGCAAGAAGAAGAAGACCGTCTACGTCTATTACACCGTTCCTGGTGACAACGAAGTGACCACTGTCAAGACCGGCACCAGCACTTCCACTGAATACACCACCACCACGCCTTCCACCGTCAAGGAGTCCCTTGAAACAATCACCACCACCTCCATCACTGGCCAAGGCAATGGTGTTTACACTGAATGGGAGACTGAGTATGTATCATCAATGTTGGCTTTAAGTGAATACCAATTACTAATATTATTGCATCAATAGGACTTCCACTTCCACTGAGATTCGCCCTGTTTTGTTCACTCTTCCCTGGCTTACTCTCTAAAAGCACAAGCATTAAACGTGCCTGATAATAATGACGTCTATCACTTTATTTAATTGTCAACTGGAAGTTGTCTGCATTACTTGTGTTTCTTTTTACTTATTGTGTTATGTAACGCACCATTGAAAAGGAATGGCTAAAAATATATTACTTTTTTATATTTTACATTGGGATTGATGTGAGGATGATTGGGTAAAAGGGCAATGTCCCAGTGGCAGTATACGCCTCCCGATTTTGTTGATTGGTAGCCCGACGGCAGTGTGGGTGGAAAGCGAAATTGAGCACCATTGCTGAATCTTCCTCTTCTTCAATCGTCTGACCAAAGGTGAGACATCCAAAGACAAGCAAGCATCCATCGATTCATCCATCGTATTCATCCATCATCTTCCATGTAACATAGATGCCTCCCAAGTTCGATCCCAACGAGGTCAAGATTATCTACCTCCGTGCCACCGGTATGTTGTTTTATCATTGTTGAACATTGCATTGGTTCTTATGTACTCTTCTTCTAGGTGGTGAATTGGCTGCTTCTTCCGCTTTGGGTAAACGATCGCAACAACATGGCCTCTCAAAACTTGACAGCATGAGCTGAATGTCCTTTTGTTTTATAGCTCCCAAGATTGGTCCTCTTGGTTTGTCGCCCAAGAAGGTTGGCGAAGACATCATGAAGAACACCAAGGACTGGAAGGGTCTTCGTGTCACCATTCAGTTGACCATCCAAAACCGTCAGGCTCAAGTTGCTGTTGTTCCTTCTGCCTCCTCTTTGGTCATCAAGGCTTTGAAGGAGCCCCCACGTGATCGCAAGAAAGACAAGAACAGTAAGTTTTGGATGGTATCCATGGAGACCGTAACTCACACACACATGTGTCATCTTAATAGTCAAGCACACTGGTAACATCCCTCTTGATGAGATCATTGAGATTGCTCGCACCATGCGTTACAAGTCTTTCGCTCGTGAGCTCAAGGGTACTGTCAAGGAGATTCTTGGTACTGCCAACTCTGTCGGTTGCACTGTTGACGGCCAAAGCCCCAAGGATCTTTGCGATGCCATTGATGCTGGTGAGGTCGAGATCCCTGTAAGTGTTTATTTTGCCATTTAGCAACAATATCTTTACATCAACTCACACGCTATTGTGTTATGTAGGAGAAATAGATTTGACGGGTATCTACAGCAGAATAAAAAATGTCTTTTGTACAAAGCCAAGCAATGGTGATGACGATTTGAAAACAACCTTGACTGAATATAATGTTGCATGATTTCACCAGCTTTATCATTCGTTGGGAGGGATTTTATTGGACTTTTAAAGGGGATATGGTTATATTGTAGAGGGTTGATGTATATAGATGGGTGCGTTATAGCTACAGTACAGCATGGAGGAGAAAGAGACAGGATGATGGATATGGGTGCTCTATTATTGATGACTATGATTTCGAGCTGGATGCCTTCTTTTCTTCTGTGCCACTGGGTATGCCATCTCCATAGGCGACTTGGCCTTTGGCTTGTCGTTCCTTGAGCTCCTTTTCAGCTTTGTATACCAATATTGACTTTGTAGAAAATACAACATCAAGCTCCTCCAATCGCTTGTTGCTTGTTTCAGGATAGAATGCCCATACAATAGGAATGGTTAAAAAGTTAAGCCCGGCGAATACCAAAAAGGATGCCCATCCCAATGATGAAAGCATAGGCGGTGTGATTTCCATGATAAGGGCGTTACCAATCGACCATCCAACTACGCTCCAAGCACCACCCCTTGCCCTGACATTGGTGGGATAGATCTCAACCTGTTATACATGCATTATGCACAAAAGTCAATAAAACTCAGCCAACGATAATACCATTTTGATGCTATTTCCCCTATGCAAAGCCGACTTCTCCTCTTACCACCCCAACACCTTCCCCTCCAAATCAAAGATAGAATTACACTTACAGGGTACAACCATGGTACGCAAAGCCATGTCATTCCAAATACGCCGGTGTATCCAAACGTAAAGACTGTGGCACCAATACCAAAAGCTTCAGGATTCATACCCATAATGTCGGGTTTCGTAAGGACGGCAACAAGGATCAAGCAAATGCCTTGTAGCACCGCTCCGTAGAATAAAGTGAATCTTCGTCCTAAGCGGTCAACCGTAAAAACCGGAACAATGGTGCAAACCATATAAAACATGTTGTTGAATCCTGATAGCAATTGCGAGACACGTTCCGAGAAGCCTGCATTGATAAACACAGTGGGTGCATATACCGTGATCTATATTTTGTATCGTTAGATGGTCGTTTTTATTCCTCTTTCATTTATACTTACCACCTATTTGTCATGTTTACATGCGCATAATCGATAATCGATATGATTGTGAGTGCTGAAACCACATGATCTAGTATGTATTGCACATGACGCTTACCCCGATGCCTGCTAATTCTTGAAGGATTTGTAGCCATATGCTAAGATGCACACGTCGTGGGATGTTGAACTCATCATACTTAAACAGCATGTCCCAATAGGTGGGATCACCTTCTGCAGCTTCAGCTTGGGTAGCTTCAACGATTTGATGGTATTCCTTTTGGACGTCTGGATGATCCGGATCACCATTGCCTCTTAAAGAGCTAAGGATATCGATGGCTTCTTGGTGGCGACCCACACGAGCAAGCCATCGAGGGGATTCTGGAAAGAAGTTTATACCAATAGCAAGGAATACCAAGGGCACCAATTGAAAAGCAATAGGAAACCGCCATCGAATGCCTCCCTCGGTATAGCTCATACCATAATCCAACCAGTACTATAAACACCATGCATTAGCTATCTCTTTCCAATTAGGGTGGTTTCTCCTCCACCCCCTTTTTTCCTTCTTTATCAGCACACTTACAGCCACAACGACGCCAAAAATATTGAGCGAGAACTCCATGGCGATAAACATACCACGACCTGCATATTACATTAGCCTAGTGATCCAAGCATGATGTAAAAGGAGACACGTACTAGTATGATGGCTTGTTTCAGCACTCCACACTGGCACAATGGCATTTCTAAACATGGTGTGTGTGTGTATGAGTTGCATGTGGGAGCATAAATGAGATAATCATGACTTACAAATGGCCTGTCCCAATGCCTGTAATGATACGAGAAGCCATCATCCAAGCGACGTTTTGGGCAGCTGTTTGTAAAACGGCACCGAGAATGGCAATAAGAGAGCCAACCACCACTGTGCGAATACGACCGATCTTATCACCTATCCATCCACCGATCAAGGCTCCAATAAGGGTTCCAAAGTAATAGACTGCTACAATGCCGCCTAACAATGCATCCCTTCCTCGGAGTCCCATAACATTGATATAGTCGGGTGATATATTGACACCGCTCATCACGCCTTGATCATACTATGTATTGGTGGTGTTAGTAGTGAAACTTTAAAGTGCACCGTAGATGATCTAGAAAGAAGGGAGGAGGATACATTACGCCAAAAAAGAAGATGCTGAGGCCAGCAGCAAGGTTAATGATGAGTACGAGGTCACCGTTGTGGAAGCGGTTATGAAAATTCCACATGTGAGTATATATGTATGTGAGGGTTGCAGATTAAAAGTACACAATCAATGCTATACAACTCGTCCATGGCTTTTATAGTGTTTCTGACATTGACATTGACCGACACCTTTACTCCTTATTTGTTTATACACATGATTTACAGAGCATGGCTTTTGATACATTGGAATAGATGCGTCTTATCCTCAGCAATATTACTCTCCTCCCCCATTGCCATGGCAACCATTGTTGCCCTTTGATACGATTGATGTTGTTTTATTCCATATGATGATGTATACTACTACGCGCGTATAAAAAAAAGAATGATGATAATCCTTTTTTGCTCATTGTTCCCTTGCATGAACAAGAGGAGTATGTCAAGGAGACTGCAATGGTGGTGATGGTGATGATGGCGGCGAAGATAAGAGAAGGGACTGGGTTGAGCTGCATGCTGCATGCGGGTGCAGCCAACGGGTTACCATTTAACGATAATGGGCTACATCTAACGAAATGCGTCGACGAATCGGAGGATTTTTGTTGCCAAAGCTGCATGACCGTGCCCCAATATTCAATGAGGGTGTGATTAAGATTGATACAGTGAGTTATTCCACGTGTTCTTTCCATTCAATGCATGGTTAGCTCAGCATCGACATCATCATAAGCATCATTTACCGACATCAGTACGCATGATCCTTTATTTCATATTGTTTCAATCATATTCTAAGATGCCTCCCCCAACACGAAATGGAAGATGAAACAACCATGAGATGTATGTGTGATGTCGTATTTTCATCATCGTTCATATCAGTGGAGTTGACAGGTTGACTTTTTGCAGTGAATTTGGGACTTTGGGTCAAGTCACAGCTTCTTGGTTGGTTGGACCCCAGCACACTTCCTCCTTTGCTTTCCTTTTGCATACATACATACAATGTCCACATTCCTGCGACGCTTAGTTCGCCCTCAACTTGCAACCTCTTCTCCATGGCGTCGAGCATTCTACTCCACATCAGCCTCCGATGGTGAATCGTCACCTGTATTTCGTCCCAAGCGTCGCTTTGGCTTTGGCACCATTCTTTTATGCACCGTTCCTTTTGTCGCGTTTGGTCTCGGCACATGGCAAGTTCAACGACTACGCTGGAAGGTCAATCTCATTCAAGAATTGCACGATCGTATGGCTATGCGTGCTATTCCATTGCCTCGTCGTATCAAGTAGGTTACATTCTATATCAGCTGATTATCGAGATATTCATTCACCTTTTCATTTATCATCCAGCAAAGATGCCCTTCCTGATTACGAATACCGCAAAGTAGCAGTGGATGGTGTATTTCAACATGACAAAGAGATCCTTTTGGGGCCAAGAACTCGTGGTGATGGTCAAGTTGGATACTTCATTATTACCCCTCTTGTTCGCGAAAATGGGACCACTATCCTTGTCAAGCGTGGTTGGGTTTCCATGGCAAAGAAGGAACGACATACACGACCCGATAGTTTGACACAAGGCGTTGTTCACGTTGAAGGTTTACTTCGTACCTCTGAAAAGGTAAACAATGGGATTTACTTTGTGGATAAGGGGGGAGTGAATTGACTCATTCATCTATTGTAGACCAACACATTTACACCCGACAATGATCCTGTACGCAACCAATGGTATTGGGCTGATGTGGATGCCATGGCAGATCTTACAGGTGCAGAGCCTATGCTTGTAGAGCGCGTTACAGGTAAGTAGTAGCTTATCATGTATAAAGTTGCATGAATCTAACATGTCGTTTGTTTAGATAAATCCCCTAGCACTGAATTTTCTCTCATTGATTGTGGGATCCCAGTGGGCCGACTTCCTAGTGTTGAGATACGCAACAACCATCTGCAATACATCATCACATGGTACTCGCTTTCTATTGCCACCTCCATCATGCTTTGGCGTTTGTTGCGACGACCTGTCAATCGACCCGTCAAAGTCAAAAAGCTCTAGGATCCCATTTGTATGTATATAATTTAGATAAAAGGATGATAACTCTACAAACAAAACGAAATGGGGTATATGCCAATGGGATGAGGGAAGTTCTTGATGGTGGATAACTCGTTCAATGCGGCCTAATATGCATTAGGATCATGACCAGATTTTGCAGCGACTTCACGAGCCTAACGCAATATCGATAAGTATATTGTTTGATATATCAAAGTTGCTAGGTTACCTCTTTTACACGTTGAGCCATCATCTCTGAAGCACGTTCGGCACGGTTCATTCTCGGTGCTCGTTCTGTCGTATTACGCTCCACAACATTTGCCGCAGCTCGAAAAGCGGATGTCTTTGATGAGAATTCTTGTGCATGATTACCATCATCATCAAGCATGGATGATTGTCCCTTTGATACGGATGTCAAACTATGTGGATGTTCCTTGACGATTGGTGTTGTGGGCATCATAGGCGAAGAAGAAGTCGAGGATGAATCGGCATCGCACGAAGATGGTTCCAATAAACCCATCAATGCATCTCGACCCGTTTGCCAGTCCACCACCATTTGCATTAGGTCTTGTTCCAAGGACATGTATTCTTGCTTTAGGCGCTCACGCACATGGTGCTCATCGTTTGCTGATGCGGTTCGTAGACCTATGGCAGTACATAAAGAGAATAAATATCTATATCGATATCATCATTTGTCGCCTTGGCAACGACGTACTTGCAGCAAGTTCTCTTAAATCATCCTTGCATAAATAAAACTTGGCTTCCAAAGTGCGAGCCTGTTGATCCATTAATGATAAACGATCGATAAGAGGTTGGAGTGAGCTGTCGCTAGGTAAAGGTGATTGGTTGTTTGGTGAAGCTGGGTGATGTTGGTTATCTATAAAAGAGTGAGAGTGTATAAATAAACATGTGCGTGTCTTCGAGACCCCCATTTCTGTGACATCCTTACATTGTTCATCCTCTAAAGCTTCCATTGCATCAGCAGCGAACTTGCTTGTCTCTTGAACAAGCGTGTCAAGCACGGCGTTGATGCCTTTCCATTCATTTGCGTAATCACGTCGTACCGAGTCGTGTCGTTCGGATACGATATCAAGGGCAAGAAATTGGACCAAACATTCACGGCGCTTTGCATGCATAGATTGCGCTAATACTTCAAGACACTCAAAGGAAGGTACATCGGATCCATCGACTTCGACACGGTCGACAGCTGATAGGGTAGCAAAAGAGCGCACATTGTACATGCCATAGAGATGGGCAAGGTTTTCTTTGTTGACATGGGATCTCAAGTCAATGATCGCCTCCTCGTAAACAATGAATGCTCGTCTCAATAAAGCTGCAAAGCGGTTTCGCATCAGAGCGCAGGGGGGAGATGGTGTTACGTTATTAGGTTCATTGTTGCTGCATTTGGATGATGATACGCGTTTCTTCATCACCCATTCAATGTCGTATATCAAAGTCAATCCACGCTGGATTTTGTTGTCGAATGCTTCACAATGTTCCATGAATACTTGTAAATGGCTCAATGCAGTATGATACAATTGCCGAATACCGGACCGCCTCTTTTTGCACAAGAAGGTTAATGCATCATGTACGCTCACATCCTTGTACCTTGAGAAAAAGAAACTCAGCTCACCAGATGCCTGTAAACAAAGAATATCGACATGCCTCCAGTTAACAACATGGTCCATGATAATACGGGACTTGCAAGGATTTGCAATGGATGGTTTGATTGTTCTTGACTCCTTTGTTGCTGTTGCTGTTGCAGCATTACAGTTTCTGCTCCCAATGCAATCAATAATCCGGTCATCGTAGCCACGGTTCCGAAACCTGCACTTGCTCCTCCTCGAGATATCCGTGTATTGGAAATAGCTGCAGCTGCAAGATCCATGTTGGCCACAGAGGCCATATGCTGCAAAGAACCTCGTTTTTTCTTCTTTTTGTTGGTGTCGTTGTTATGATGATGGGGTGTGCTAGGACACGATGACTCGTTGATAAAGGATGATGTGACAATGAGATATTTGAATTTCTCCTCAAACTCGGCTTCTTCGGCATGCGGAAGACAAGTCGAAAAAGTGGCCTGTTGCACAATAAAACCAAGTAAGCATTCATTCACCCAACAACGCATCTTCTTTTTCCTCCTTGTGTCAGGGCAACGAGACACAAGGCGTAAACCTTACGTGCAACATCGAATGTCTCCAATAATGATACAATGCATCCCCCCAGCTTGGTGGTCGTCGAGTTTCAACGGGTGATGGAGTCACTGATTCGGTGGCCTTGTTAAGGCCAATACGTAATGATGGCAGCTTCACTGCATCAGGGTCAGTGGTCGTCGTCTTATTGCTGGTGGTGGCTAATAAATAGCAAGTTAGCTGATAAAAAGGACATTAGCTTGGTATGTTTTACATAAAGATTGACGAGAGAAACGAGCTCGTTGTTTATGAGTGTCAGAGTTTGTCATAAGCGAATGAAAGAAAGAGAGGGAAAAGAAGCGATGTGATGCATGTTGGGTATCGGGTGATGCGAATATCATGACCATTTCAAGACCGCTTGTGCAACTCATGGTGGACATGTCATGCGGTTTTTATGTTCATGCATAGACAAGCCATTTGCTGCAGAGGATAACCTTATGATTGTTTTGCACATTTTTATCCATTACCCCCATTAACATGTATGTAGACTTTTGGATTGTTGTAGTTTTATCATTATGGCTACATATGCAGACATCATCTTTTATTGACATGTTGCTATATGATTTACTTGCGCTGCTTTTGGGCAAGGAAGTCGGTGTGTTCCTGGTAAGGAGCCTTGGTGAACTCGGTCTTGGACCAGAGATCTAGGAAGAGAGAGGTGATTTAGTTATGTAATCCCATGTATGCTATTATCCTTAATGCTTACCAGGAGTCAAGAAACCATAAGTGTTACCAATGGCGGCAAAGGTAGCCTTGACAAAGTTACCAAGAGTGCGAGTGGAACCACGCGAGGTAGTGTAACAATCGACGATACCAGCAAGTTGCAAGACCTTCTTGGGAGTAGGAGCAGCAACGAGACCAGCACCACGAGGAGCAGGGATCAAACGGCAGAGAGCAGAACCACACTTGCCAGTGACCTTGCAAGGAACAGTGTGGGGTTCACCAAGAGCAGTACCCCAGTAACCACGACGAACGGGGATAACGGACAACTTGGCAAGGATGATAGCACCACGAATAGCAGTGGCAACTTCCTTGGAGCACTTGACACCCAAACCAACATGACCATTCGAGTCACCAATGACAACGAAAGCCTTGAAACGAGTGCGTTGACCGGCACGGGTTTGCTTTTGAACAGGCATGATCTTCATAACCTCATCCTTAAGGGAAGGAAGGAAGTAGTCGACGATTTGGTATTCCTTGATGGGCAAAGAGAAGGTGTAGATTTCTTCCATGCTCTTAATCTTGCCAGCCTTTACAAGACGACCAAGCTTAGTCACGGGAACCCTTTTCACATGCCAATGTTAATATCGATATCCAATTCCCAACCTTGTTGCCTGCTTACCATTCAGTCTTTTCGTCACCACGGCGTCCACGTCCGCGACCACGGCCACCACGACCACGACCACGTCCGAAACCACCACGTCCTAAAGCAACAATTAAGATTCATATTCATATTCGGTCGTGCATATATACATCGTATACGCGTGTGGTATATCGCGATAACTTACTCTCGGCCGGAGCAGATTCAGCCATTTCTATTCGAGTGTGAGGAAGACAAGTAAGTAATCCAATTTTCTCATAGATCCATCCACATCCATCGATCCATCCATCGATCCATCCCATTCATCCATCCAGGAAGGTATGATTTTAAATGATGAATCAATGCACGTATCTATCACGCATACTTACTTCTATAAATTAAGAAGGGGGGTTTTGTCTCTTCGCCTTGCCAGTTCCCTGTTACCTTCTCCAAGTCTGAACGCCGACTTAAGTCTCTCTCTCTTTTCCCCCCGCTCGCTGCAAGCCCGACACAACGACGACAACATCATCATTCTCCTCTCTTTCTCGTGACCAATCCACACATGTATTACATCCATTCCTTCTATCGTCATCCTTAATAAATTATCTCTAAAGCGGTTTCTAGCTTTATTGCGTATTCCAACCAATCTCTTTCCTTTTGCTACTCTCTAAAGCGCCTGAAGATGATGATGATGATGACCTTGAAGCTGCAGCTGCTGCTGTAGACCGTGTCCAAAGTAATGCAAATGTAATTCCAAAAACAAACACCTATTCCATTTTAGAATGTATGAGTCATTGTTTGTACATCGAACCACATGTCACTCTTACCATCGTTTTAAATGATATCGTATCAAAAAATCCATTGACAATATCACCCAATGTCTCTGCAAGCACTCTTGTTCTATGGAAACCAATAAGATGTTTGCATACTCTCTTTCGTGTGATCATCTACTTACTTTCCTACCCACATGGGGCGATACAGGCATTGTTGCCACCGTCGGCATTGTTCATCCATAGCTGGTAAACGTGTTGAAGGATCACAGCGATTCTTTGCATATTCCATCCGACAATGGTAATGATCCTCAAGAATATCTAAACAAGTGTAAGTCCTTGCTGCCTTGTTTTCCTCTTCCACACACACAGCACACCATACCATCCTACCTGATTCATATATAGCCATCCTTTGAGAAACATCGCGACTAAGAGCAACAGCAAATTGGACAATAACGAATACGGCCAGCGTAGTCAAAGCGATCCGGCATCCGACATGTAACATTCTACATCAATAGGGTAATTTAGTATACGGACTTGCATTGATGATCCCATTCCCACAATTACCCTGTAGCCAAGATGATCCAATTATCTCGATGCTCTTCCTGTGTTGATGGTGCTGAAGGGTATATATGCTGATGAAGATGTTGATGCGAAGGTGGTGGTGGTGGTGGTGGTAGTGGTAGTGATGCAGGAGCTTGGATGAGTGACAAGTCATTGGGGGATGTTGTTGAAGGTGCCTCCACAGGTAGATCAGGTGGTGTTTGTGGTAAAGATGACGATGACATACTCTAAGTTCTCCAATGAATATCCCATTGTTCTTTGTGAATGCATTGTTTCCTTACAGATGATTGCTTTTGTTCAATGTCTTGAATCGGGGATAGTGGTGTTGAAGGACATGGTGGAGGTGGTGGTGGTGATGATGATGATGCTGCTGCCTGTGGTAAAGTGTCGTTCAATGTAATATCATCCAGCTTTGTTGATACATGGTTGATTTCAGGTGGATCTCGTTTGGTCGATCTTGATTCAGGCACATAGAAACCACTTGCTACAGAATGAGCAGCCTTCTTTGCAAGATCTAGGGTGCATCATGTGTTGGTGAGTACAAGAGGAAAAGAAGCCCAAAGGACATTGCCAAGCTTACCATGGGCGACGTTGTTGTAGGAATTAAATACGTTATAGGAGAAATGGGGTGCATGTTCGTACTCAAAGTCCATGGGTGCCTCTCGCGTACGTTGGAAAGCCATGATAGGCAACAATAAGCGGCCCACTGATTTGGAAGGAAGGAAGGAAAGGAAAGCAAAGGCTTTTTCTTGGTCACCTGCGTCGGCATTATCCATGCCACCACCACCACCTACAGCTAATTGCCAGCCACATTATATGCAGCGCTACCCATATTAAAACAAGAAGGATCAGTCAGGCCATGACAAAGCATTAGAAAGTAGCTAGTTTGTATACTTCATCATCATCCAAATATGTGTTCATTGTCATTCGTTTGATTCAATAAAGATCTCCAGGCAGCCACAAACGCAATATGACCATTCATTACGACGATAGAGGATTGTGTCATCATGCAGGCCGTACGTCTCTTTACGATACTTTGCAATCGAGGTTTGGAAAAGGCATGGATCTCCACTTTATATAGCGACTATAACGATCATTGTTGTTGTCAGGAAGAGAGCCTTGCCTACTAGGGAAAATGCAGTGATCTCTTTGTAGTGAAATCGGATCTTTTTTATAGAGCTCCTTTTCTTTATTATTACAGCATCTTAGCTATCAGCAATTATACGTACACTAGTATACTAGTAGTAGAGGTGAAAGGATGGCAAAGGTGGGCATGTGCTCGACTATACAACCAGTGACTCGTTGATGGATAATCCCACATTTTTCCCCTGATTCCAGTCAATAGTAGCCTGTATTTTTGCCCACGTTTGTAGGCTGATAGTAAGTTTGTACGCCATGTTGGTGCAACGTAAGCCGTCTCATCTGTGTGATATAAAATGTGGCTCAACACGCTTGTAGTATGCAAAGACACCTCATCCTCAACAGGCACTGATAACCCACATGGTCAATCTTGTCGCTTTTGCACTCACGTGTTTTTCTTGTATCTTGGTTTTCTGTGACCTGGGCTATGCCTTTCCCAATGGCAAACACAAACAGACTCCTCTTGGTGTCCCTTATCAAGGTAAATACAATGAACATTGTCGATCCATTCAATATTCTAATCGATCATTCTAGGCTCCCCCGTGACTCTTTCGAGACGTATCTATCACAGCTCCTCAATCCCCTTCAAAAAGAATGACGGTAGGATGGTGAAATGAAAAGTGCTCATTGGGGTCAATGGCTAAGTGCATTGGGTGGGTAGGCTGGTTGGGGATGAACCTTGATTACAAGTATGTGGAGCCTATTGCCAACAAGTTGAATAGCACCGAACAGCCATTGTTCAATAGAGGTACGTCAAACAGCCCTTTTCACGTTGAGTGTTGACTGATATCATGGTTTCAACTAGGCGAATCCCACATCACTGTGGTCACACCGCCGGAGTTCAATCTCCTAGCCAACGCTGGTGTAACCTTGGACGAGATCAACAACATTGCCCGGCAACACAAAATTCAAGCTAGCCGCTTCCGTGTCGTATGTCTTGGTCGTGAAGATGTTAAAGTCGACAATGAGCAATACATCGTTTATCAACTTATTGTCGATTCACGCGACCTGCTCAACATTCGACGAGCCATCTTCCGGTTGTATGCATCAAAAGGTGGTAACACGGCACTCTTCAATCCCGATGTGAGTTTAGACATTTGCCTTATTTGTGTGGTGATAACGACGATGGCTTACTCATGTGCTCAAATGTTGTTTAATAGAACTATAACCCACACATCACTGTTGCATTCTCGGTGAATGATTTGTTTGAGGCGAATGGTGTTTCGAAAGGCTACAATGTTTGCTATAGCCCCATCCATTTTGTTCATTAAGTTCACAAGGCACGTTAAAGAAACGATTTATTTCTTTGAAAAAGCTGCACAACACGGATCGGGCAGTTACCTGATCTGTATTACATGTGTGCGTGTGTATGTGTGTGGGGATTGTGTCACCATGCATGCTCGAGTCGAGCTCTCTTTTCTCCCCTGAGTGTGCGAGTAGAATAATCACCAGATCAAAAAGCTGCTCTTTACTGTTCCTGGAAAATTGCAAGCCCAACAGGTATGCAAGGGTGGTCAAAAGAGGTCTTTTTTGAGGGAAATGACCGGTGATGTAAAGTAATGTACATGTCATGCACGCAGCCAGAGCAGGTGCAAATAACGGAGCAACATCCTATTCGGTGGTAAATACGTCTTTCTTTCAATATGCACCATCGAAGATGCAAAAGAAATAGCAACCAGATGACGCCAGCATTTACCATGTGCACAAGAGGGGACGACGTAACTTGAACGCCTTTTTGGCGGTCAACGCGCACAAGACGTCATTGCTGGTGATAAGCAGCTACATTTTGTACCCGTGATCACATTCCTGGAAACCAACAAATTTATTCTCTATGTTTAGGAATGACCGAACAGGTGTAATAGTGTTTGTGTGTGTGTGCTTGTGCTGCTTGTGCTATGGTTCAAAATGAGCCAATGAGTTTGATGCATTACAGGTCATCCTAGCGGATTCTGGTATCCATATATGGCTATTGACATCCACATGGGCTTGTTGCGGTGGTAAATTATTAAACTCCCTAGATCACCTTCTTGCTCTTTATTCGCTTGCCATTCCGAATTAAGTAGTCAAACAAAATATGCAGCTTCTTCGATAACCAATGGTGACCGGCAATGACCCCGATACCCTACCATACTTCTATGCTCGGTTTAGCGTTGAGAAAAGTAATATACATTGAGCTGCGAATTAGATTTGACGCGCGTGCATGTGCATTTGCTCATGTTCACAAGAGGTAGCTAGTATCAAAACCTTATTACATTGCATCGCAGTAACTATGTGGCTGACAAAATGAATAAAGAAAACGATTTGAGAGCTCACACGGCCAATTTGTGTCCCACTCACCATCATAGGTTTTCTCATCCCCCCCACCTTATCATGGCCCTTATGATTTATCGAATCGTTGATTGAAAATCTAAAGTATCAGCTGGGTTGTGCGGTAACACCACAATTACCATCATCCAATTTTCAACTGGCAAACATCGTACAACCGATGTCATCGTGCGTACCTGTACCATGTGAGCTGAACATATAGTATACAACATACAACAGCCTTTTCTGCACAATCCTGGGTAGTACACGCACACGCACACAAACAATAGCATGCACAAACATAAACTATAATGTATTTCAGATTGAGCCGACCAACGCCACTATGGCATCGGCGAAGGCGTTTAAGGTTTTTCGCTATCTAAATAGTAGTTTTCATTGTTGGGAAGTGTTCCCAATCAGTAATTGCGCTATCGTATGTTTCAATTAGTGCCTTCCAATGGTACTCCAAAGTTCAGTCTCCCAGGCGCCTTGTGACGGAGATCATACTACTATCGCCTTCCCAAAAGGAGTCAGCAGATCAATGACGTGGGAGGGGGAGAATATTGTACTCTGAAACGTAGCAGAATAACCTTATCTGTTAACCAGAACTGGTGAAAGCGCAAGCTTGGCTTGTGGCCACTGGTTCAAACGTCAATCAAATATTTTGTACACCATAGAGATCTGAGAGAAATCTTGCTATTGAATTGGGATGTATATAAACAGCGACATTGAGCAATCTTTCTTTTGCCATCCACCACCATCACCATAGTCATCATCACCTTCTCCCGCCTCAATCCACCTTGCTTGCCATGTCAACCACCGTATACCTCGACAACCCACCACCCAAATATGGTGACCAAGCAAGATCCTTTTCTCGTCACTTGCCATCCCATATCAAATCATACTTCAGCGGCTGCCTACCGATAATACATTGGTTGCCTCAGTACAAGTGGAGTTGGGCTACCGGTGATTTGCTTGCTGCTATTACTCTAGGCGCTATTGTTGTCCCACAATCGATGGCTTATGGTATGCAGCATTCGTGCAATGCACATGCAAATACATCAACACATGGCAAAGGACATACGAGCTAATGCGAGCAATAATTTGTATATGCAGCCAAACTTGCTGGGTTTACTCCAGAATACGGCTTGTACTCCAGCTTTGTGGGCACAGCACTTTATCCTTTTTTTGGCACTTCCAAAGATATCAATATCGGTAAGCACCTCATCACAAGCTGCAACACGCACGATACTTATGCACATGTGTGCATTGCATCTTTTTTTTTCCATCCATAGGCACCACTGCTATCAGCTCGTTGTTTGTTGGCCAAATCTTTACGACTATTGAATCGACCCCTCAATTTACTTCTGGAGAATGGACATTACATCAATTTGCTACTACGATGGCTCTCTTATCAGGCATCATCCTATTTGTCGTCAGCGTTTTACGTCTTGGCATCCTTTTCCGGTTCATTTGTCAGCCTGCTATTGCTGGTTTCATGGCAGGTAGTGGCCTTACCATCGTCATTTCTCAGCTGCCAAAGATTCTTGGTGTCCATGTCAACAACCACGATGTCCCATACATGGTCTTTGGCAATACGCTTAAAGCACTCCCAGAAGCGAAAATCGATGCCCTTATTGGTATCCTCTCTCTTGTTTGGCTATACGGTGTAAAGTATTCATGCAAGTACCTTTCTCGCCGATACTCGAAATACGCTCGACCCTTGTTTTATTTCAACATCGCTCGTAACATCATTGTGCTCGTATTTACAACGTTCTTGTCCTGGTTAATCAATCACTTTGGCCACTTGGAAGAAAGTCCCTTTCAAATTCTCGGCCCTGTGCCTTCTGGTTTCAAGCTGATGGGTGTACCAGAGATCAAAACGGACTTGCTTGGGCAAGTGACATCATTTCTTCCAAGCATGGTTGTCTTGTTGATCATGGAACATTGCGCCATTTCCACCAGCTTGGGTAAAAAGAGTGACTATCGCAGTAAGTATGACACATGCACACATGCACATGCCTCATTATGGATGACTGATTTTAAGTTTGTGATGATAATAGTTGAGGTCAACCAAGAAATCTTATCCATTGGCTTAACCAACATCTTTGGATCCTTCTTTTCCGCTTATCCCTCCACAGGATCCTTTTGCCGTTCAGCTGTCAATTCCAAATCGGGTGTACGAACCCCCCTCAGCAACATCTTAGTGGCCATCATCGTGGTGCTTGCACTCTATGTATTCACGCCAGCTTTCCAATTCATCCCTACATCAAGCCTTGCCGCTGTGATCGCACATGCAGTGACCGATCTTATTGTGGGTCCCAAAACATGGCTCAAGTTTTGGCGTCTTAATCCTTCGGAGCTTGTCATTTTTGCAGCTGCTTATATCATTTGCTTGGTGACTCGTATCGATATCAGCGTTTACGTCCCTGTTGGCTTGTCCTTGATTGTACAACTCTATCGCTCTGCTCGTCCAAAATACGCCATCTTGGGTCGTCTTGAATCATCACCAACACAATTTTTCTCGGCAACTCATCCTACTATGGGTCATATGGTGCATCCTGTTGCTCCTGGTGTGGTGTGTTTCCAACCACAAGAGAACCTTGTGTTTGAAAACTCGATCTTCTTTTTCGAAAAGCTGATGGATGAGATCAAGCGTACCACACGACGAGGACATTCACAAGGCTATGATCGTCCTTGGAGCGATACTGCCAAGCCTGATGAAAAGGATGCTGAGAAACCAATGATCAAAGCCATCATCATGGATCTCACACATGTGGACCAAATGGATTATACCGCATTTGAGGAAATCAAAGAAGCTGTACTTATGGTGGAACGATACGCTGGTGAAGCTGTGCATTGGTACTTTGTCCTCAATGACTCATTGGCCGTACGTAAATCACTGCTGCTTGCAGGATTTGGCACTCAACACCGCCGCAGTGGCAAACATGGACCATTCCATTCGGACCTTAATGCCACCGTCAACGATGATGATGATGACGACAATGATGTGGATGAAGATGGTCCCCCACAAGACGGGTCAAGTGATGACGGCAAGAATAAAACGGATGTGGTGGTCATTGAAGATGTACGACGACCTCCTGTTTCTCGACGTACCACTCATCACAGCGTCGTTCCCCAGGCTGGTACTGCAGGCGTTGATGGCAAAGACACTATCGTCGTTGATGTTTTCCCTTACTTTTTCGTCACCATGGCTGATGCTGCTGATGCCGTTGTTGCCAATCACGCGCTCACTCAAGAATCCCAAATCATCACAGCTCCCGAGCTACCTGATCAGGCACATCATCATTCTTCTCAGCTGAATGATGAAGAAAAGAAGATTGGCCAATCCAATGCAGCAGTATAAACATCCAAGTACACTTTTCACACGCACATGTATATATATAATACCCCCACCCCATCTTGTATGCGTTTTTCTTTTCCTTTTTTTGTAAATTTCCTTTGTATGATAGAACCCCATCCAATATAGTTATTTATAAAGCATCAGCTTCTTCAACATAGCAATCCGTATATAATAAGGAGGGGGTGTTGGTGGAGGGACGATGATGTATACACATTCGATTGAGTAAAGGGGGATGATCTACTGCTGGAGGAAGGAAGAGCCGGTCCTAATGAAACACATCCAGTAAGCCCCAATGAATTACTATGTCCAAAAACAAAGCATTCCAATGTACCTTGATGATGATGCGCCAAAAGCTATTGAACATCCCCATGGTGTAAGTAGCCATCCATAGCTTGATGTTAGATCGACGTCATATCATGTGCTTCCAAGACCAAGCAGCATTTTGAACCCGAGAGTACAATCAATACATGAGAGCTGGAAGTGAGATACGCATCAAGCACCGCTTCTCTTCTTCGTCCCTGCAGCATACTCACATATGAATCCTCCAGTAATGCATTGCCGCCTCGACCGATCGACTCTAGATCTCACACATGCCAATAGCCCTTCATATTTCCATCTGCTCCTCCGATCCGATCGCCTGAAAGTAAGCTCTACACGTGGCCATTCGACCTCTGTTCCTGCCATTCTCCAACACGCAGCATGCGTTTCATTTGTAGATCACCTGTGGGTTGACAAGCATAAACCAACACTTGGTGTAAGTATACTATCAAAGATCCGTTGTATCTTCCATGTACTGATATACGAGTATACATGCATGTAGACACTCGCTGTACGACCAGCCAAAGTCAAGGAAGTGAGAGCAGTAATCGATACGCTCAGTCATGTGAAGGTATGTGAATGGGGATAAATATCAATGCGAAGAGCTAGTCGAATGACCAATCCAATCAGCTTCTTGTATTATCAGGACCTGCAGGATCAGGGAAAAGCACCATGATACGGTTATTGGCGGCAGAAGATAACATCCCCGTTGTTGAATGGGAAACCATTTTGGATCGATACAATGAACCAGGTATGTCGTATTTGCATTCATTGTTTGCAAGGATCCTTACTAAACGTATCGATTTACAGAATATCAATCAAGTATTAGCAAGCTGGAACGATTTTTACACGAGGCAACATTGTATTCTTCGCTTGGGAGCCAGCAACATAACAACATGAGTCGACGACGTCAAATCATCTTGCTTGATGATCTTCCTTATCTCGGCAATGACGCACTTCAAACCCGATTTCATCAATTGCTATTCAATTGCCTCTCTTCAACAGAGCCTTTTTTAATCGTCCTCATCGTGACAGAAGCAACCATGCCCATTGAAGGTCGACGCAATGATACGCAATTAACGAGTCTCAGGGACCTGATACCACAGCATATAACGACCCATCCAGGATGCCATACCGTGGAGTAAGTGGTCTTTTTATATGCATTACGAGCAACAAAGTAATTGATCACACCTTTTAATCTGCAAGATTCAATCCAATCACATTATCAGCCATCAACAAAACACTGAACCGGATATACGACCTAGAAAGAAATGCTACACCTGTCGCTTTGGCCAAAGATACAATATCACGTATAGCCGAGTCATCACGTGGAGACATAAGAAATGCCATCAACAACTTGCAATATTACTGCATCCCGTCAACATCTCGATCAAGGGACAATACCAAACGGCGAAGAACTGATATACAAGTGGCAGAGTCAAGGTAAATGTGGATAAGGGAAATGCTACGTCAATTTCTTATCAACATGTGTTTTTCATATAGAGAAGAGCCTCTTTCTTTATTCCACGCAGTCGGCAAAGTGCTTTATGCTAAACGTAAGTAGTTATTCTTGTTGGCTTATACATACATGCTAATCGAATCTATAACAGGAAGCCCTGATGGCAAGCTTGAATCATTACCAGAGGTACAAATCAAGAGGGGTATACCAATCCCGAGTACTAATATGGAAGTATTTTAGGTTATTCTGGAACGACTAGCGGATTGGCACCATTTAACACCCTACATCTACGAGCACTATCTGAACTTTTTTACACACATTGAGGATGCTTCCAAGGCAATTCATTGGATGTGCGAAGGGGATTATTTGGCATCTCTGGATGATTGGAGGGTGAGTATCACACATCAAACGAGAGAGATTGTTAGCAAAAAAGGGGCTCATTGTGATTATATAGGATCATGCGGGTGATGAATACGAGGCGTTGATAGCGATGTATGGAACGATGGCACAAGCGAAACATGGGCGAATCAAGAGTCAGGGGATTTTCGGATTTGGGCGACCACAGTATTTGGATGTTGTATACCAGCAAAGGACCAAAGAACCTAGCATTGGTAAGTAAAACCTTGTGTATGCGCGGCTTTCCGGAAATCCTGATTCCGATTTGAATTGCATAGGGCTTTGGAACCGAGGTGCCGCACTACTTGATCCTTCAGCTAGCACAGAGGATGTAGATGACCCTATTGAAGAGTTTATTAGTGATGAGGAGGATTTTGATCAAGTATTTGGTGATGGTTCAGACCTTGCAGATCTTGATGTATGAAATATAAGAAAAGAGTCATAAATGACACATTTCCTTCTGTCTCTCTTTCATTTCGGAGATTCATAGAACCGATGGTTGCGGGGCATGCCTCTATATCCGAATAGCAAAAACACACAGATACTTTTTTCCACGTTTCTTCTTTCTCCTACCAGTATATCATGCTTCGTCTATTCACCAGTAAAGCTTCTACCGTATCAGCATCCTTTCGAAAGTCTGTAGCCGCTCAACACAACTGGAAGCGCACGATCGCTACTGCACCAGGTAATGGGCAACACTTTTCTTCCATGAATCGATCTACTCACTCAATCGTCTATCCAGTATTGTTGCATGGCAAAGGGGGTATTTCTCGGGGAGAAGGGTGAGTATTCACACTATAAAACGATCAATGTACAAAGCATGCTGATATGTTGTTTATGGTGCAAACCAAAAAAAGACCATACACTGTCCACTTTATTATGCCGGATGGCGAAGAGATCTCGGTTAAGGCTGTAGAGGGCGATTCGATGCTTGATCTTGCACAACGTTATGACATTGATTTGGAATGTAAGGGAGCAAATTGTATAAAGTAATCAATGTGGGATGCTTATGGATGATGGAAACAATAGGTGCCTGTGAAGGATCTTTGGCATGCTCTACTTGCCACGTGATCTGCGAGCCCGATTATTATGACAAGATGGAAGAGCCATCAGACGAAGAAAATGATATGCTTGATTTGGCATTTGGCTTGACTGAAACGTAAGTGGGAGTGGGGGAGGGGGGAGGGTAACATGGCAACCGGTGTTCCTGATTACTTTGTATAGATCACGGCTAGGTTGTCAAATCTTTATGAATGATGAATTGGATGGATTGACGGTTCGTTTACCATCGGCAACACGGAATTTGAGAGTAGATGGTAACGATGGCAACCAGGAGGGTGGTCATGTGATGGATGAGAAAGCTAATCTGATCTGTAGGCTCGAAACCCGTACATCATTAAGGGCAAAAAAGTACATGATAAAAGAGAAGACGATGTTTGAATACCTAGATCCCCTTTCTTTATACGTCATATAAAAAGCATATATAAAGGCTCGTTTTTTGTACACTATATTAGCTGATGGATCTTGTAAAGATGTTCATAATAGATGAGCGGGGCTTCTGGTTCAATGAAAATATTGGTCGTGTCTCAGTAGACATGGATGAACACCACACTTCTTTTCGCCCTTTTACACTTTCAAGATTTCCACATTGAAGAGGCCAATGTCTGACGATTTAAAGGCGTCCGCCGAGACAAGCGTGACCAAGAAAGTCAAAGCCGAGACTCAAGAGCCACGCGAGACCAAAGAGGCACCTTCGTCTTCTTCTTCTTCGTCGTCTTCAACAACACAAAAAGAACAAAAGCAACAGCAGCAGCAGCAGCAGCAACAGCCTGAAGAAGAGCAAAACAAAAAGGACGACAATCAACAACTCATTGTCATTTTGGAGAATGCCTCACTGGAAGCTGCTCGTCTCAATCCATACCGGTTCGACTCGAAAATGCAGTTGCTCAATTGCGACGAACATCAGTCGATCTTGAAGCGTTTGGGTCGTGATATTGCTGACGCTCGCCCCGATATTGTGCATCAGGTAAACAAAAAAGCCTTTGGTTTGAGGGATTTGGTATATGGGAAGGTAAAAAAAAAGCCATGTCATTAACATCATGTATACTCGTTCCAGTGTCTCTTGGCTCTATTGGATAGTCCATTGAATAAATCAGGCCATTTGCAGGTATAGGATTCTCTTCCAATGTCCGTGCGTTCGAATCGATCGGGTCTCTCATATCTATTTTGCTACTTAGGTCTATATCCACACAGCTAAAGGTGTCGTTATCCGCATCAATCCCGAATGCCGAATTCCACGTACCATCAAGCGTTTCTCTGGTCTTATGGGTAAGTGATTGGATTGTATCCCTTTTTTATTATACAAGACATTCATCTTTGGTATGTTCCTAGTACAACTTTTGGAAAAGGGATGCATTGTCAGTGGAGATGACAACAAGAAGCTATTGGAAATCATGCCACCACCTGTCACTCAATATATTCCAGAAAACTCAAAGAAGATTGGTGAGTAAAGTAGGGAGTGGCCATCAATACATGAAGCTCATTTTGGGATGTCATAGCATTGTCATGGAACGCTACCAAAGTGCGTTTATATCCTTATTTCAAGCAGGTACCCAAGGATAAGAAGATTGTAGTCTCAGTCGGAGCAATGGCTAAGGGTGCGGATACTTTTGCCGATGCCTATGTGGAGGAAAAGATTGGTAAGTGGGATCTTTTTGTACAAGATTGGGGTATCGAGATGAGATTGATTGATTGAATGATGGTGGGATTATTATTATCATAGGCATTTCAAGTTTTGCACTATCAGCATCCGTTGCCTGCAGCAAAGTGTGCTGTGCATTGGAAGACCTGTGGGATATCATGTAGCATCGTTCATCATCATCTTTGTTCTTATCGCATATCGTGTTATTATAGTTGTTGAAAAAAAGAAATGAACAATGAATGTGTTTATTGTCTTTTGTGGATTTATCTTCCTATTCGCAACTACAGCCGACCCATTTCTCCACTGTTCGTTTAGCCCATTGCTTTGGTGTGCTGACAATGACGTTGTACGCACTCTTCCATACTGAAGGAACTCTGAATTCATCAAGGATGTCATCGGCTGATAATTCTTCAAATACACGTCGTGTTGGTCCTTGCATCCATGCAATAGCAGCCAATTCATTGTCAGCTTTTGTAGGGTCTCGTTCCTTTTGAGCTTTCTCGGCCCATTGTGCTAATTCTTGTCGTTTCTCAGCGTCGAGTTCTTCCCAGAGTAATTGGCGACGGCGTTCAATCATTGCTTTTATCCTATCATCACACTCTTGTTCTCCTTGTTCTTGTGGTCGATCCTCCTCCTCCTGCTCCTGCTTCGTAACAACGAGTGTCTCAAACATTTCAAACATCTCAGGGAACATGCGTCGTAGATCAAAGTAAATATCATCCCATGTAAGCTGCTGCTTTCGTCGTCCCAAAGTGGTGAGCTCTTGTTCAGCCTGGTGTGTCAATAGCTTCAGTCGTCCCAGCTCTTTCTCTATAGCATCTCGCCAATCGAATGGAGGTGCTGGTAATGTAAGTACAACGGGTGGTGCTGGTGATGGGGGTAACGTGTCAATGGGCTGTTCAGTTGACTATGACGGAATGGAAAGCGAGCTTTTAGGTGGATGGACCAGACCCTGAATCTCCTTTACAATTAGCTTACGGCAAACCCGATGGATAGAATGGTAAATAGCAAGATGAAAGCACTTTTCATTGGAATAAAGGTGGAGATAAAATGTGAGGATAAGAGAGTGGATGATGTAGGGAATATAAAAGAGAGGGTGATATTATAGTACAAGTTTAGTGATAGACATGGAGTACGCCAAATGAAATGTTGATGAGCATTCCTGCTACGATACCTACGCGTAATAAAGTCAATACCATCTTCCTCTTCAATGATGAATACGCTTACCCATTTGATGCCTTCGCGTAAAAACAGACTCCCTGAACCAAAATAAGCATAGAATACCGAGGAAGAATCCCAAGAGTAATCCCCACATCATCTCTTTGTATGTACCCTGAATCACTTGTTATAGCGTCAACCTTGGGTTCTTCTATTGCCCTCATCATCATGTTTACTTACATCCATCCGGTAACATCTCGCCTGTATTCTCCATCCATTGCTCTTCTAGAGCCATTGTTTGTTCTGTCGCTTCTATAAAATAGAGTTACTTAAAGCAATCCACAAAGAAGGCGATAGAATGCTTACCACCATCGTAAGAAGAGCCATGTGTTCGATGAAATTGTGCCCGAATATCCCGAATCTCTTCTTCATTGAACCCTGACTCACGTAAACGATCGAATCCCATCAACGGCTATGGAAGAGGAGAGCATGTTGAGAAAAAAGAGTTGCATAACGTGAAACGTTTTTGATCTTACCCTTGTATTGTTTTCTCCATTTGCATTGTCATTGCTATGTTGATCTGATGATCGATGATCTGAAACTGAGCAGTGGATGTAGACCGGTGATGGTGGCGGGATAGGTAATTTGGAAGTGTCGCTTCGCATAAACTTGCCCAGGCCATAGTGACTCAAAGTCTGTTGGTCGTTGTCAAGGATACGGCCTGTGTGAATGAGGCGAATGTACTTTTGACTGGTTCGTTCAGGCACTAATTGTTGAATCTAATACCATAGAATGAGATTGGTGTTGTTTGGTGGAGGAGGGGTCGTCCTCCATGTTGCTCGTACTTTGTGCTTTAAGGTGCCGACCGTGTCTTGGGTAGGTGAGATAGTAATCACTAGATCAGTGCCATCAGCCCACCGAACATGGACGTCCAAAGAGTCGTAATAGTCGACGCTTTCGGTCATTGTGTTATTTGGAGATAGAGAGAATAGATAAAGAATGGATCTTGGGTGTGTGTGTGTGTGTGTGTGAATAAGCGGAAGAGGAGTAAAGTTGCAGAGTTGAAAGAGAGCGTCTTATCAGAATTGGCAACCCATGCGACATCTTGTGCAACACCCAATTCTTGCATTGAAGCCTATGGATAACCACCCAAATGATTGGTTGCATTGTCTTGTTACTCGTCATCATCTTGGTCAAGCTTACAACTATCCACCCATTTACGTAATTTGTTGCCAACAGGTGCAGACTTGAGGGTATTATAAAGTAATGTTCGATACGATTCTGCAATCCATATATCACTCTAGAGCCCACATCACCGAATAGTAAAGAAACATTTGATTGCTTGGGTCTCTCACATCAGTACCCAGTATCCAACATAGATGAGACTTTCCCTGAAAGAGAGAGAGAGGGAGATAGAGACCATATAGAGCACGACAAAAGGATGTTTATTGAATAGCAATTGTTTCTAGCTAAACACGTGATGGCTTTAAAGCAAATGTCCTTTTACATACAAAAAGTCACGAGGGTGGAAGCCGACCTGCTGCTTTTATGAGCGGAGGAGTTGACCCAGAAACCAAGTTTGCTAAAAACCTTTACTGCCAATGGATCTATTCAAGCTACTGGGTAACGGTGCACATTTCAACAAGAAGCAGTTCGGTCGCGACATTGAGCTCTTTCAGGTAAACGATCGCCTTCAATGGAAGCGGCATGGTGAAGATACCCTTTGAGAAAAGTACATTGACATACCTTTGTGTTGTGTACCATAGGGCAAAAAGGCCAGCGACAAAAAGAAACGAGCTTCCAGCAATGCAGCAGCGATTGATCCCAAGTTGCGATCCAAGCTGTTGAGCGAGATCGATCCACTTAACGATAAGCCTGTCGAGGAGCAGTCTATGGATGTTGATTCTGAAGACGAGGAGAAAGATGATGATGATGCCGATAGCGATGATCATAGTGATGATGATGACGATGCTGGTCAAGGTATGAAGAAGGGATATTGGGATGTATCATGTGTGTATATTAAGTGATGTGGAATCCTATATAGCAAAGACATGGAAGACGATCAACAATCAAAAGGAAGCTCAAGCATTTCGCAAAGCAAAGCGTATTCGAGTCTATGGCACCGACATTCCCAATCCATTCTGCGCGTTTCAGGATCTTGCATCAGAAGCCTACAACTTGAAGCCACAACTGTATACGAATCTCCACAGCAGCCAATATAAGACACCGACACCAATTCAAATGCAATCCATCCCAATCATGCTTAAGGGCCGAGATCTCATGGCTTGTGCACCCACTGGTTCCGGTAAAACGCTCGCTTACCTCTTACCCATCCTCCAAGACCTGGATGAACCATCCAAAGTGGGCTATCGAGCATTGATCATTGCACCTACACGTGAATTGGCACAACAGGTATAGTTGGAGGAGAGGATCAAACCTAAAAGAATGCATTCTAAATAATACAATGGATAGATTCATCGAGAATTGGTCAAGATTAGTGCTGGTACGGGTATCAAAATCAATGTCCTTACCAAGGCATCGGCTGCATCCAAATCACAAAACCCACATTCACGACAAAAGTTTGGTACGTCAATGAAAAGGATATCCCAGCTGTCTCCCGCTCCCAAAATCTCATAAAATTTCTATTAGATATCCTGATAAGCACACCCAAACGTCTTATTTTCGCTGTGAGGGAGAAGCAGATCGATTTGAGCGAGTAAGTGGTAATGGCAAGAGTCACATATGGGTGATACTGACAACATTTCTTTTTCTATCGAAGAGTGCGGCATCTTGTGCTTGATGAAGCGGATAAATTGATGGATCTTGGATTCTTGGAGCAAACGGATGAGATTTTTGCAGCATGCTCAGGACCCAACGTACGCAAGTACATGTTCAGTGCTACATTCACCGGACAGGTGGAAGATCTCGCCAAAACCGTTATGAAGGATCCTATTGAAGTTGTCATTGGTTCAAGGTATGTGCTAAACAATTGGGGGAGTGTTTATGTGCCTGCTGATCATTCATTCATTATGGAAAATATAGAAATGCTGCAACTGAGACAATTAAGCAAGAGCTTATCTTTACTGGAAATGAAGCAGGCAAAATGGTGGCATTACGACAATATATCCAAAAGGGCATCAAGCCTCCTGTGCTGATCTTTGTGCAGTCCATTGACCGTGCCAAGGAGTTGTTCCATGAACTTGTGTATGATGGTATCAATGTTGAAGTGATTCATTCGGATAGAACACAAGCACAGGTATGGGAAAATAGCGTGTTTCATCGTGCCACGTGTACTTATACTGCTTTATTATGCAATGTACCTAGCGTGACAATATCATCAATCAATTCCGTTTGGGCAATATTTGGGTGTTGATTGCAACCGAACTCATGGCACGTGGTCTTGATTTCAAGGGCGTCAATCTTGTTATCAATTACGACATTCCGCAGACTGTAGCAAGCTACATTCATCGAATCGGTAAGCTTTGTTGACTCCTTTTATCGTGAAAGGCACTAACAATGGCATATAGGTCGTACCGGTCGTGCTGGTCGTGCTGGTGAGGCTGTTACTTACTATACCAAGGATGACATGCAATATCTACGAAGGTAAAAAAAGGAGGAGATCCCGTTTTCATGATGCTAATATTACATGCATAGCATTGTCAATGTCATGAAGGAATCAGGATGCAAAGTTCCGGAATGGATGCTTAAGTTAAAGAAGCCAACGTGAGTTTCAATGAAGGAGGATGGAAGCAAAAGGGTACTCATACATGGTTTATCTAGTTTCCAAATGAAGAAGGAATTCAAGCGAAAAGGACTTGAGCGAGAAACCATCGATACAACACCAAAACGTGAGAAAATCAAAGCAGCAAGGAGAAAGTGAGTGTTAGAGAATGGTGTATATGCACTTTATTAGGATATGAAACTGAATATGCAATTTTAGGGAAATGATCGAAGCCTCTAAAAAACGAAAGAGAAAGCAAAGGCAGGACGCCAAGAAGAAAATGAAAAAGGGCGAGGAGGAGCAGCAGCAGCAAAACGACAGTGATTCATCATAATACTTGGGCATCATCTACAAGCTTGCATCAACTCTAGAGGAGCATTAATTCTACATGTACAATAAGACCTTCATATATGACCTAAAAGCCTTTGATATGAATGTTGATGGGGATGTGATGATTTACAACGTTTGGATGTGGGTGGGCGAAAAGCAGAGGAGGAGGAGGAGGAGGGGGAATCATCATGGTCGCGATATCGTTTGTCACGCGGATGAGATGCAAATGCGCCACCAACATCATGCGTTTGTTGATGTTGATACGCCAACATGTCTCCTCCGATAGTTGCATTGGCGATAGATGCTCCTGCAGCGGCGGTGTTCTTTTTACATTTGGGATTGTAAATAAAAGAGTAATAATGGGATGGAGTAGTAGTAGTATTAGTAGCAGCAGGAATAGTAGGATTAGGCTGCTTGTTGTTGGTTGATATGATAAGCAAATGGGGATGAAGATGATGATGACCACCGAGAAGTTGGGTGAGTTGATACGCAAATTGTCGATGCAGCTGATCGTAGGCCTCGGGTGACACGTAAAGCCGGTATTGACACATTTGCAGAAACACACGTTCGGCCAAGTTGACCTCCTGCACAGGTAGTTGTGCCATGCTAGCCCAGGCCGAGTTGCGATACGTTTTATCATGCAGGAATTTGGAAGCAACAATCAAACTAGCCAAAAACATACGGCGTCCACAGCAATGTATACCATGACGTTGAAATGTGGATCGCTGCTGATTATACTGCTTTATCATCTGAAACAGGTAAGCAATAGCAATTTGTGCTGTCGTATACGTTGTTTGGGATCGTTTCAAAATTTCGCGCACAAAGTGGCGTATCGTTGATAGGCCCTGTTGGCAAACTCGTCGCCACATTATTTCAATCATATTGGTCATGATGTCTTTTTTTGAGGGTCATAGTAGCTGAAATGAGCAAAGGTGCGTTGATGACTTTTGTTGCTATCCATTTACCGAGAAATGCTTCCATACGAACGAGACTATCATGGTGATGTGGTGGAAGAACATGGTGATTCATCGTCTTGAGATATGAGTGCATAAGAAAATTGGGGAGACAAGAGTAAAAGATGAAAGAAAGAGAAAAAGAAAGAAATAAAGAGAGAAGAAACAACAAAAACACAATTGAACAGCCTAGATCACAAGTTCTCGTATTTCTTTCAAGCCAACCTTCCTATGTACTTGATACACAAGTGGTGATGCTGCCCTGGTGATGCGCCTGCAATGATGTATGAAGATCTAAAACAGGATAAAACCCATCCCTTATCTCCCTTTCCATTATCCTGGTTTATTGTATTGTAGTGGATTGTTATCCTATGTACGTACAATAAAAGTTTGTGTGAATAGGGCATTGCCTTTTCTTTAGCAGGCGAATACCCTAGTTGACCCCTACCAAGGTATGGCCTACGTAGGGGAAACTATCAGTGATCATATACCTCCTCAAAGAATGGCTTGTGTAAACATCGGCTGTAATTGCTATCATTGGGGTAATGGAAAGATAATATACCTTGATTCGTTCATTGATAGTAGCACAATGACCACGCACATTTTCTTTCTCTTAAGAACGGGAGATATCAAGAGAGGGAAGGGGGGATAACATAGTGATGTAGGAGGCCGTTCAAAACATTGTGTATACATATTAGTGGAAACCAAAAGGAGGTAGGGGTCTGGAGTGCTTCTTTGTTCAAGGCTGCAGCAGTTGCATACATGACATGCAAGTTGTTTGTGAAATCAATGCATCATTCTGGGAATGGATACATGCAGGGTGACTTTTTGGCTTGTAGATGGTACCATCACTGTGTATATATATTATACTATAGCTGAAGATCCTAGTGAAGTCAACAAAGACATAAAATGATGAGAGGAGCAAAAGTGTGAATGTATCAGGAGCATCTCCTAGGGTAGACATCCTTGCATCTTCGTGTGCATGCAAATCTCGTTTCATGTTTATGTATGTACTTTATGTGTCTTATTTCTTTATACAAATGGGGGGGGGTGGTAGTTGAACATGTTCACAAATGAGAAATCTAATCTAGATACCTCCTCGAACCATCAAAGCATCGATAACAGAAAGAATGGTCCATTTGCGATTCTCTGCTTCGGAGAAAACAAGCGATCGATCAGAGTAAAAGACCTGAAAAAAGAAAAAGGTTAGCATCATCGTTTGTGAAGAGTAGCTCTCTCTATGTATGTACGTACCTCATCATCGACCTCCTCAGGCTTACGGGGCAAGCAATGCATGAAAACCCAGTCAGGCTTAGCACCACCCTTCTTGACCATATCCATAGTCACTTGGTAACCAGCAAATTCTTGGAGACGCTTAGCCTTTTCTTCTTCTTGACCCATACTGATCCTATAATTTCAATCCCCATTAGTATACGCTCAATTTTTCTCATGGTGTAATAATAATAATAATACGTACCAAGTATCAGTAATGATGATATCAGCATCCTTAAGGGCTTCGCTGGGGTTGGTAGTGAATGATACGGAAGCACCCGTCTTTGCAGCATCGGCCTTGGCAATCTCAATGACGTCCTCATCACACTTATAGCTTGGTGGGCAAGCAGCAGCAACGCTGATACCGACCTTGGGGAAAGCGACGAGGATTTCTTGAAGGATGTTGTTTGCATCACCCACCCAAGCAGCCTTCAAACCGGAAAGAGTTTCACGAGGGTGTTGAGTATGTGCAGTGTAGCGATCGGTGACATTGTTCTTGCGATGATGATAGTGTTCGTGGATAGTCATCAAATCAGCCAAGATTTGAGTCGGATGATACTTGTCTGACAAGGCGTTGATAACGGGTACACGAGATTCACGAGCAAGAGTCTACTTTTGATCATTAGCCATCCATCCATCCATCTCCATCTCTTTTGTGTGTGTGTGTGTGTGTCCTACATACCTCAATTTCATCATGACCCTTGACACGAGCCATGATACCATCAACCATGGAGCTGACAACACGCGAGGTATCCAACAATGACTCGTTCACACCCAATTGAATATCTTGCGAACCCAGGAACATGGCGTGACCACCTATACATACACACATCATCATCATCAGCAACTTGTTTGTTGTATCACAATGGCTGGGCGTAAAAATATTTACCGAGATAGGCGGTGGCAGTTTCTGTAGCAACACGAGTACGCGTTGAGCGCTTGGAGAACATGAGAGCAAGCGTCTTGCCACTCAATGGGCGTTCGGTGCGAGGTTGTGGGTGATTGTACTTCGACTCCACCTTGAATTGAATGGCGCGATGCACGAGATCAAGCAACTGCTCGGCAGTGTAGTCAGCGGTGGTGATGAAATGTGGGGGCTTAGGAGCCTGAGTAGAGTATCCTTGTTGAGCCATGGTGGAAAAGGGAAAAGAAAGAGAAGGAGAAAAACAAAAATTGGAAGCTCTAGTGAGATGGGCTTTTGTAAGTGTTTTGCTAAAGCGGAGCATGGGTGAATCGAATGAGAGTGTTCCTGCTAGACTTCTTTTGTGTGTCGATGACTCACATATGTTGTGTGCAGGTAGCACATGTGAGTCATTCATCATCATCACCATCACCTCTTCTACAACAACAACAACAACAACATGGATTCATTGTTTATCATTACGCTTTCTCTTTTATCAATGTAAAAAAAGAATCAATCTATTTTGACAGGAAAACTTGATCTTGGCTTGTTTTCTTTCAAATCAATCACTCAACTGACAGGTGACCAGTTTTTTCCCCACACAAAAAGATCGAGATATCATTTCTCTCCTCCTTTGACATCAAATCCGTGTAACACCAACTCGCCCCATTTGCATGGTTCTACTCCTTTTCCTTTTCTGATTTAACCCTACATTCGAACAAGCTGTACCAACACTTTCACTTTCTTTGCCCTTATACTCATAAAGGCTGCCCTACGATCGACATGGGGGTCTATGACGGACGTTGTTTCGGGCTTAAAATCTGGAAGCATGTCGCGGACATAATCGGTGAAATCCCTGGTATGTGTGTGGAGCAAGTTCTTTACACCATTGTTATTAGCGTAACACCGCGACCCTACATAGAGCAGCAAGAGCCCGTAACAAGGCAAAAATTAAACTTCAACCCACTCGTTGAAATTCTACACTGAAAGCAAATTAGCAAAGGTATTGAATAAAAACCACGTGGCTGATTGAAAGGTTGCAAATGTTGGGGGATGAAAAAAAGGCGTATGATATCATCTTGAAAGGGAAAGAGACAAGTGGGTTGTTGGGCCGCGTGGACACAAGAGTCCTAAAAATGGGATTAATGGGTCGGTCCGAAACCTCCGGATAGTACCGGGATTGTGGAAGCCTAATTGAATAGAGCGCGAAGATACTACTTACGCATGTTGCACACATTGCATTGATCCTTTTGCTCCCAAGTGTAAGCTTACATCAGCTTCATATCATCGTTGATCTAGACGTAATACTATAGCTTACACAGCATGTGGTAGTATCAACTCCGAATATCTCATATACTCAACACCCACCACTACCATCATCACCACATCCAAGGGTTTTGTGCACTCTGATTTTTTTTACCTTTCTCCTCCTTTTCCCCCCATCTATTATTACTTTTTTTTACACACGTACAAAAACACGCATACATACACACCCACGATGATGCGTTTAACTCGATGCAGGATGGCTACATCAGCCGCTTTTCGATTATCAATGGCGCGTCGGTATATGCCACAAACCAAGCGCACCTTCACTGTAGCAACGAGGGTACTAAAAGATGATGGTGGGTCACATTCGCTATCATCAGCAAGCAAGCTGCTAATCCAAACCAAACATTAGCTGAACGCACGTATACTGTACGCCCAACGCATTTTTGGATGGATAAAATCCTTGAACGTGAAAATCAAAAACCAATTGCAGATTCAAAAGCACCACCCCAAGAGCGCCATTTGATTGAGAAAACGGTAAAAAAGACATGTGTGGGTGCATGAGCACAGACGAAAGGTATAGCTGACATCGTGTAACTTGATCACAGATGTCCGATAGTGCCATGGTACAATACTTGCCGTTTAAATCATCACCGGAACTGCTGGATGAGTATATTTTTGTGGATGGACGAATTCGTACGGGAAAGGTAAATGGATCTTCTTATTCGCATTCTGATACAGCTAACATGTAGCATTGATAGCTGCTTGAAGACTTGGATAGAATGGCAGGTGCTGTGGCCTACAAGCACATCGATAACAATGATCCTAATGCACGACCTGTTACTGTGGTGACGGCGAGCGTCGATCGATTGGATTTGCTGCTGCCAAAAGCCGTTGAAGATTACAAGTTGACGGGTCAGGTGACCTATGTGGGAACAAGCTCTATGGAAATCTTTCTCAAAGCTGAAACGGTACCTAGTGGGGAAGATGAGCATTTATCACCCACAGAGCCAACATCAGCAAAAATCCAACATCCCGGTGAGTTGGGTCCCAATACAGTGCTTGCAACAAGGTTTACAATGGTAGCTATCGATTCTGCCACTGGAAAGTCCGTGCGCATCAATCCACTCAAAACAACAACACCAGCTGAGGAACGATTGTTTGAATTTGCCAAAGCTAACAAGGCACGTAAGAAACGTAATGCTGAAAGTGCATTGACGCGTTTTCCTCCCACCCCTGAGGAACGATTGGCCATCCATGACATTTATCTTGAATACTCTAAATACGATCACAGCGATGAAAAGTCGTTTATGATGCAAAATAGTGCTGATAAGCAACCAATGCCTAGCAACCTTGTATGGATGCAAGACACCAGCATTGAAAGCAATTATCTAATGCAGCCCCAAGATCGAAATATCCACAACAACATCTTTGGTGGCTACTTGATGCGTCGTGCCTATGAACTTGCTTATGCAGATGCCACTGTATACTTGGGCTCTCGCGATGCTATTTTGTTGGCTATGGACGAAGTTATCTTTCGTAGACCTGTACACGTTGGTACGCTTCTCCATCTCAAATCCGAAGTCATTTATGCAGAAGGTGCACCCCATCACTCTTTCCAAGTGAGAGTGGTAGCTGAAGTCGTTGATATCGAACATTCAAAATGTGAGACAACCAACATCTTTTACTTCACTTTGGCTGCTGAAGGGGATGTTCAACCTCGACGTATCCTCCCACGCACTTATTCAGAGACCATGTTATGGCTCGAAGGAAAACGTCGTCGAGAAGAAGGTGTTCACGCACGCCACATGTTGCTCGAATCCTTATCACGTAATAACAAGACCAATAGCAATTCACAATAAAGTCAAGAGAGTGGGTTTATGGCATTTTCTGGCTATTACAGTGTACTATGCTAATGGATGAAAACAGCTGTTCTTGCCTTTTTGGTAATCGGATGATTGCTGCAACTTTATCTTGGTGTCACAGACACAGTTACCCTGTTGCCCACCATTCCACACACACGCACCTCTCTCTTTTCTCGTTTATCGCGTCTCGAATGAAACTTGCCTTGGCTTCCATCGTCTGTTTATTACTGGCAGCACTTTCTCTTGCTTCGGAAGAACAACCAACTACTTTGAAAGGAGGTACAATCATATACTCAAAACGCATCTCGAAACGCTTGGTAACCATCGTGGCATGTAGCCATCTTAAGGCCTTCTGAAAATTGTAAACGCACAGTTGGGAGCAATGCCAAGGTTACGATCCACTTTAAGGCACGAGCATGGGGAGAAACCGAGTACTTTGAAGATACCTATAAGACCAATCAACCTTTTACATATAAGCTCGGTAAGTTTTTGTCGTACATCCTCTTTTACTATTGTTGCCCCTGACAACCTAGTACCATTTACCGTGTAGGTCGTGATAAAATGATGGAAGGTAAAGAATGAAAGTGTAGCCTTAAGATATGATTGGGTTAGACTCATAAGCATTCTGTAAAGGATTGAAAAATGGATTACAAGGCATGTGCGAGGGCGAGATTAGGCGCGTGTTAATGCCGGCAGATATGGGTAAGTGATCTCATTCATTCATCAAAAGGTACATTTATTAATGGGTGGATCCAGCTTTTGGTGAACTAGGTGTCCCAGGCAAGGTACCTCGTAAGTAGAGAGAGGATCGATTGTGTGATCTTACATGTCACAAAGCTCACCCACCCTACTATCTTAGCCAATACCGCCGTTGTATATGATATCGAGGTGATGGAAGTCAACGCCCCCTTCACGTGAGTTATTGTTGAATCTTTGTTACTGCTTCCTACATCATCTTACCAGCAGACATTTATGATAGGAACCCATGGTTTTATGCTGGATTGGGAGTGATTGCACTTGTGTATGTATATATGGATCGGATGGCCAAGGCTGTAGATAATGCGAAACTTTCAAAGTTCATGGAGAAGAAGGCTGCTCAGGATAATAATAGCAAGAAGGAACAGTAACAAATTTCTTTATACAATGAAATGATCTACTATAATGGGTTCATGGTTTGTGTGGAGTGATTGTATGGCTATTTTCGGAAAGTGAAGGGGACAATGAAGGAGGGGGGATAACGGGAGATTGTTGTATCTATATTACTTTTGGAATTTGTTCACATATGCAAGCCAAGTTCCTGGTGGTGCAGCTGGTGATGATCTACTACGTGTACTGCGCGTTGTGGGGACTTGTAGTTTGGGAGCATTTTGTTCCTGAAAATGAAATCCATGAGGTTACTAAAAGATACCCATAAAGACGAAATCAAAACAACTTACAGATGATCTCTTTTTCATTCCATTCACCATTGTGTGCATGTTCTTTTCGATTTCTTTTCGAAGCTTGTGTTCACGAACACCTTTAGGATTGAGCCAAGCCAGCAATTTTTCAATCTAAGAAGTAGGCATATATGCATTTAGAAAAAGTCACGTGTGGGTATCTCATTTCCCTTTTATACATACGTCCTCTGGATCATCAAAACATTTCCACCACTCGGAGTAGTTGTTTGTCGTTGCAGCATCCGTATTATTGAGACCACTCATATCTTTGATGCGGCTTTCCAAGAAATCAGCTTCTTTGTCGAGACCTTGCGCCCGCATCAATTGTCCCACAAATTGAAGACCACCACCGTGTCCAGCAGGTTTGTTGGTATTCTGTTTCTCTTCAGTGGCATCCAATGGATCATCTCGAGAACGTAAAACTGTGATATCGGTACTGGTGGGGCTTTGAACGAAAAGACGGCCCGTGCCATGAGCATTCGCTCCACCGATATTGTCAAGATAAAAGTAACGGTTGAAAAACTTGTCGCGGCCAAGTGGTTTCATCCGCAGGATGTCGTATTTACGCATATTCTGTTCTACCTGCTCCTCCTATATGTACATGAAGATACTATTAGTACCAATGTACATTTATGGAATAATAAAAATTTGACAAACCTTCTTGAGCAGCTGTCTTTCATCTTCATCCAGTTGCCTTCGAATGGTATTGCGTGCTTTGAGCTCCTTGCTTCTCATCCTTGCCTGCTCACGTTGCTGATGAAGCAATTTGACCCTCTTTGCCTCTCGCTCCTCTCGCTCGATTTGCTTGCGTTTCAATATAGCTTGTCGCGAAAGTTGTCGAGTCTCTTGTACCGGGGGAGTGGATCCTTCATCAGAGAAAGGTGTGTCTGCTCGATCAGTAGAAGCACTATCATCAATAAAATTAATACCATGCAGTATACAACAATGACCCTTTTCATATCGCTTACATGCTAGCTTCTTCACTCTCCCCATCATCACTGCCATCATCCTTATTGGTTCCATTGGCACTGGGGCTATTTCCATTGCCATCTTCCTCTTCAATTCGGCGTTCCAATTCTTGTCGTTCAGCGTTACTATCCATGCCTATTAGAAATCTCACTCTCTTTCATCGGCATCCACATTCTACTTACATCCGTTTACGTTCACGTCCAATCTCGATCTTTTGCTTCCGTAATTCAGTCATTTGCTCCTGGCAAATATCCATGTATTCTCTAAAAAGATGCAATTTCATAATTAGAACATCAAAGTCAAGCAACTTGATTCGATGTCGCCTACCTGATGAATGAGCACTCGTTGACAACATTGATAAGTAATTCCATCAGCAACACCTTGTCCTTCAGGCTGAGATGTAAATAGGCTTCTTCTCTGTCTGCGAGTGTTGTGCCACTTCTTGGGACCAATTGCATAAAGATTCTGTCAATATCAGCACCCAGTTCTGGTGGAGCGATCTATATTAAAAATGATTAGTCTGATAAGCACCACCGTCATCACACAATACAACTTACATCATGGATACAGCCAACGAGAACATCCTCCCAACCTTCACGATCATCACCCACTGGAATGGCACGTGCATCCCACCCTGAGCCAACTTGGTAGATTTCAGGACGACCCCAAGTAATTCCCACAGGTACTTTACGATCCTCTTCTTCATCCTCCTTATCACGTGATTCGGCGTTTGCAGGCGATTGATTTTCTGGCACATCATCTTCACTGGAATGGGATCGACTAAGGCTGGGTGTTGGTGTAGAGGGTCGTGTGATGTATGTTCCAAAACTGGTTCCTGCTGATGCACCGCTTAAGCTGCTTTGGCTGCTGCTACCACGTGGCTTCCTCCTTTCATTGATGATCGCGTTCAAAAGGCATACATTGCTCTCGATCAAGATCTGGGATTTGATATCACGTGATGAATGTCGTAGTGCGTTTTCAAAGTCGTCAAGAGAAAATGGATATAAACCCAACTTGCGAGCGAACACCATGAGAAAAGAGTAGACCATAAGAAAAGGGCTGATGCATTCGGCAGGAATCGATTCAAGCGTTTTGCTGTCAGGATAGGTTGGCATTCCACCTGTTGGATTGGGTACAGTGATGTTGGCGTGACGCTTGCCAGGAGCCATGTCAATGATTGGGCCTTCGCCGGTAGGTTGACGACGATACAATGGCAAATCAAGATCTTCAATAGGATAGCGCAAAGATGATTCGATTTTACGTGCATCCGACACTTTGGCTTTACGGCCATCCGATAATGCAGGACGTCGTTTGGCTTCCACACGATTCTTGATATTCTGTAACTCTGTTGGCAATGTGGTGTCGATACCATATTTCTCTGCAATTGGTTTCTATAGGATAATCATAAGGCAAACATCCTAAATCATAATCAAAAGTAACCATACCTTCACAGTGTAAGGCGATCCGGTATACGATTCTCTTGTCAAGCAATCTCTCAGGAACTTTTTAAGCAGATTCTTGCTGAATTGTAATCGATCACGTCTACAAGAACAATCAAAGTAAGTTCATTGTTGATTGTAAGTAACAATGAAATGTATACTTGCTTTATGTCCTTCTTGTTGACAATTTCTTTGTATTCGGGTAACCCCGTCAGGTCATCGTCCACCAATTCGACAAAGAAACGAGGGTGCTCGATGCCAGCCTCATCTGCCTTCTTCAATGCCTTTGCCAATTCATCGGATATCTCGTCCATGTCATCCTCATCTTTTGGAATAACTTTGAGAACTCGTGCGTTGTACCTGTCAAATGCATTAGATCAATATGGATTATGCTGATCTCTCTCATTCTTCCTACGTACTTTACACCATCAGACCATCGACATGTGACGAGATCACCGGTATCAAAGCGTTCGATGTAATAATCATAGACATCATCAACGACATTGTCAAGCCGCGTTGTCTCTATATAGATTTGCTATTGTCAATGATGATGGAACACGTGAAAAAAACACGAAAACAACACGTACGAAATTGAGCACGCTCCAATACACGCTTCTGCAGTTCCTCGGGTAATTTATCCTTGACGCGACCTTTCTCGATTCGTTCACTTTCCAACGCTTCTGCAAAGGTGAGACCCACACGGCCAGTCATTTCACACTGCCAAATTGGGCGCTTATAGAGGATCGTGCGTTCAAGATAGGCTCTACAACAAGGTGTATCAGTGGGATAGAAGAACGATCGTGGTTGCATTGTGTCTTACGGGTACATGGTGAATATTTCACCGGTGATTGAAGAGACCCAGACTTGACGATCTCTGGATTCCTTGCGTTCAAGGTCGCATTCGGGTGGTGACAAGAGTGGAAAAGGCTTCTTCTTCAGCAAAGGCATGGAGAGCTGACGTTGCTGTTGGAATGGAATGGTATCAGTGTGAGTGTGTTGTGGCTTGTCAGAGAGAGAGAGATTGCGTATTGTAATAAAGAGGAGTTGTGTTCAAAGACACCGAATGGTAAAGGTGCTACTACCTTGAGGACGTGTAGCTGGCGATCGATGAGTTGTGTGGACGTAAATGGAGCGTGTGCTGTGTAATGTGGATCGGTTGTTGAGAGGAATATGACCAAAGGACACTTTTACACGGCAACTGAAAAATGTGAATCGAAAGATAAAAGGAGAGAGAAAAAGAGAAGCAGCAAGACACATTTAGGTCACTATGCCTCAAAGAGAGAGAGAGCTGACAATGAGGCACGAGCGCCTCGTGACTTGCCAATTCCCGAATTGCATTGTCTTGATCAAAACCCACCCACCCAACCAACCCCCACCTCCCAACTTCCTCCTCCTCCTTAGAAACATGAACTCATCCATAATAAAGAACCATGGTTCTTTCTCAAAATAGATCAATAACGTCCTCACCATTTGATTGTCATTGATTAAACCCGATCCATTGGATTATTATGCATTTAGGTTACACCATTTCATCCGGTGCATGATCACCCACACATTCTATTACATCTTTTATGGGAACAATGAAATATTGGAATACGCATACTACTCTTAGCTATACTACAAGAATATAGACGCTGGGATGTCTTGTGTTATGCATGCCTTATTGCTAGCGTGCCTATCCTTACTACAGCAGCTGATCCAACTCCGCGAAAGAAAGTAGTAGTAGCAGTAGTACTAATCTTTCCTTGCTCATATTGCAGATGATACAACGCATGTTATCACATGCACTTGAAATGTCAATGAAGGATCTTGAAGATGATGACAGGGTGGGTAGTCGTAGTAGCAGGCCATTGCATGACATGTCAAGGATTATTATCTAGACAGCGACTGCTGGGTCTGTGTGTGTCACAAACGTCCGCTCGATTAGGATACAGTCGCATGAAATAGTAGTAGACTCAAAAGACACTCGACCACACATACACAAAACCACGAACTTCAAATCATGCACGTATACTTAGAAAGGATGGGGGCGTGTGTGTGTGTGTCATCATCAGCGAGTCACTTTAAAGTCAACGCGGTGGATTATGTGTGGGAAAATGTCAACACGAACACCCGTCAAATGTCATTCCATATTCTCTCTCTTTTTCACACACACAATGTTTCGTTTTGCACGTCCCACAACGCGTTCATTAGCCAGTGGTCTTTCTAAACGCTTTTATTCGCACAAGGAAATCAAGTTTGGTGTTGATGGTCGATCGGGCTTGCTTCGAGGCGTCGATGTGCTTGCTAAATCAGTGGCTGTCACCTTGGGTCCCAAAGGCCGCAATGTCCTTATTGAACAGCCATACGGTTCACCCAAGATCACCAAGGATGGTGTCACAGTTGCCAGAGCTATATCGTTGGAGGATAAATTTGAAAACCTAGGAGCAAAGTAAGTACTCTTGTTGACAATAAAGAAAGCATGATGGTGACTAACGATGTCAATAGGCTGGTAACGGATGTGGCAAGCAAAACAAATGAAGTTGCTGGTGATGGAACGACTACAGCTACTGTTCTAGCACGTGCTATCTTTGCTGAAGGTGTCAAGAATGTTGCAGCTGGATGTAACCCAATGGACCTTCGTCGTGGTGTCCAAGCAGCCGTTGATGCCGTTGTTGATTTCTTGAAGGCGAACAGCCGCGTTATTACCACGTCCAGTGAAATAGCTCAGGTATAAAGCACAATGGATGGCTAAAGGGGACGTATCACTGATAGCAAAGGCTTTTAGGTGGCAACCATTTCAGCCAATGGTGATAAGCATGTGGGCGATATGATTGCACAAGCTATGGAACGTGTTGGCAAGGAAGGTGTGATCACCGTCAAGGCTGGCAAAACGATCGAGGATGAGCTTGAAGTGACCGAAGGCATGCGTTTTGATCGTGGTTTCATCTCGCCCTACTTTATCACGGATACCAAGGCCCAAAAGGTGGAATTTGAGAAACCATTGATTCTTCTCTCGGAGAAAAAGATTTCATTGTTGCAAGATGTGATGCCTGCCTTGGAGACGGCTGCCACGCAACGCCGCCCGCTTTTGATTATTGCCGAGGATGTCGATGGTGAAGCTTTGGCAGCTTGTATTCTCAACAAACTCCGTGGTCAACTTCAAGTGGCAGCTGTAAAGGCACCTGGATTTGGTGATAATCGTAAATCCATTCTTGGTGACATTGGTATCCTCACTCAATCCACTGTCTTTTCGGATGATTTGGAAGTGAAGCTTGAAACAGCAACACCCGATCTTTTTGGTACCAGCGGATCAGTCACCATCACCAAGGAAGACACTATCATTCTCAATGGTGCTGGATCGAGAGATATGATCAACCAACGTTGTGAACAAATTCGAGGTGCCATGAACGACTCAAGTACATCCGAATATGAAAAGGAAAAGCTACAAGAACGTCTTGCCAAATTGTCTGGTGGTGTAGCTGTCATCAAGGTCGGTGGTGCCTCTGAAGTTGAAGTTGGCGAAAAGAAGGATAGGTATAAAATGGGCACCCTATTCGTACCGAAAAGGATGCTAATCAATGTCCATTTTACAGACTTGATGACGCGTTGAATGCTACACGTGCTGCTGTTGAAGAAGGCATTGTACCAGGTGGTGGTGTCGCTCTTTTGAAAGCTGTGCATTGCTTGGACAAGGTCAAAGCCATCAATTTCGATCAGCAGCTTGGTGTGAATATTGTTCGTCAAGCCATTCAACACCCTTGTCGTACCATTGTTGATAACGCTGGTGGTGAAGGTTCGGTTGTATCAGGCAAACTCTTGGAGCAAGGCAAGGACAAATTCAATTGGGGCTACGATGCTGCTGCCAATGAATACGTGGATATGATCGAACGAGGAATCCTTGACCCTACCAAGGTACAACGTACGGCGTTAATTGACGCTAGTGGTGTTGCTTCCCTCCTAACTACGACTGAATGCATGGTGGTGGATGCCCCTGAAGCCAACAATGGACCACCAGCCGGTGGAATGCCGGGTATGGGAGGTATGGGAGGCATGGGAGGCATGGGTATGTGATCCATTACAAAAGATAGACGTGTCTTTTTCGATTACACACGTATAGTGTAGTGTCCAAATCCCCGCTCCGTCATGTATCCTTTTTTTCTTCCATTGAAATTTGTATATAAAAAAGTTGTTGTTGTTGATTACCCAATTTGAAGTTATTCCGGATAAGACATTTATAGGAGGTAAGCGTAAACAACAGTATTCGGCAACAACGAAAAAAGCAACAGCAGCCCCATGCATGCATGCAATAGCAGCGATCGGTATGCGCGTGTGCACAGCAGCAGTGTTTGGTGCTGCATGTAAAAATAAGCTCTCCGCCATTTTAAGGATCCTAGAAAGAAGAAACTTCCTTGGGTAAAAGAGAAGCAATGGAGAGTTGTATGTACATAGTGATCAGACCCCGTTAACTTGCTCCTTTGTTTCTGCTTCCAAGAGTTCGTTTCTTCATTGTGAATCAAGATAGGCTCCTATGTCATGATCCCCTAGTGTATGCGTGTTGTAGATCTTAGGCTTATATTTACGCCCAAACATACTACTAAAGTAAGTAGTAAATACCATCCAATCAACTTGACAAAGCCAAGTGCCCTTTTTTACTAAGGGGCAACTTTTTATTTCTCCTTAATCCAGATATTTGGGTGAGTGTGAGTAAACAAAGAGAGAGAGATGAGAAAGAACAAGAGGTTGGTTACTTATGCACAATGACAACTGTAGACAGTTGTAGGGAAAGAGAAAAGGAGGAATGTGATTGGGGGGAGGGGGGAGGTACTAGTGGGAGAGACAAAAGAGTGGAGCCCCTGGTGATGTGCTGCTGCTGCTGCTGCTGTTGTGATGGGGGAAAGAGAGAGTGACACACACTGTGGAGAAAGGACTAAATATGTGGCAATATCGAGATTTCCTCGGATTTAAGCAGTGACTATGTGTGATACTCTCAGGGGTGAATCGAATGTTATTTGCATATCAAGATCGGTGCTATCCGACGACTACTTGCCACATTGACTTTTCTTCTCTTGCTCTATAAACTTGCGCTTCAGCATAGGCCAGAAATTTCAGCCGCGCTGACCAACGACTTGCTTGCTAGCATCTTTCTCTTGTTCTTTTCTTCTTTTTAACCCCACACACAGACTTTTTCCTTTTGTGCGTTTTCCTTTTCCTATCTCTTTCTTCCTCTCTTTCTTCTTTCTTTCTTTCTTTCTTTCGATCGCTTTCTCTTTTACGCATCAAGAATTGGACTTTGCAACATGCTTGTAACCGAGACATTCCATGGCTACATTGAAACGACCCAAGATGTCCTTCTCATCTTTGAAGGCTGTCGTCGGGGGCTACTTCCAAGAATATGCAGACGACTACAAGAGAAAGAACGCAAAATGATTCAATCTGGATCTGTTTTTGTATTTGATGAACGAGAGTCAGGTATGTGTGTGCGTGCGTGTGTATGTAGGAAGAGGAGCAAAGTTATTCAGGGGAAGACAAGTGACAAAGGAGTACTAGAGCTAACATTGATAATGTTATTTAGGCATTAAACGGTGGACAGATGGATTGGTGTGGAGTCCTTCTCGAATCTTGGGCAACTTTTTGATTTATCGTGAATTGGACAAGCGTGCCACTGGCAAACGAGGTTCACTTTCAGGCGATGCATCGAGACAACGCAGCTATAGTGTCGATCATAGCAACGCAGCATCATCATCAGCAGCAGCTATTGCCGCGGCAACAGGAGGTGCATCAGCAAATGTGGATCGTAATCGAGAGCGTCAACTTGTGGGGAGTCTTTCAGATTCATACAAATTCCGTAAAGATGGGTTGATCAAAAAGACAATGTCAATTGTGGTGAATGGCGTATCACAGCATTTGGTGTCGTATTATAATCCACAAGATGTGCTTGAAAATAGGCTACGCACCCCGTCATCTGTGCCTGAACTTGCTGGTTTGGAGATCTCCCCCGAATTATTGGCAAGACAAAACTTCCGTATTCCGCCTATGGTTGAACCTACTTTTGAAGGTGCAGATGCTGCCATTACTGCTGCTGCTGCTGCTGCTAACTTTGGTGGTGGTGGTGGTGGAGGAGGAGGTGGTGGCGGAGGTGGTCCTATTCCAGCTGCATATGCATATGGCCGTAAGTGGTTAATGGATGCTTTACTATTTACACGTTTATCTCACCATGAAAAAATAGATCGTCGTGCTCATTCTTTGCGTAGCATGTCACTTGGATCGATTCGTTCATCAACAATGGATCAATATCAAAGCCGTCACCATGACAACAACGTCATGTATCACTATGACAACAGCAACCAGAAACAGCAATCACCCACCATTTCGCCCTACGCCCATCAACAACAACCCACCATGATGTACGGCGTTCCACCTGCATATCCTGGAATTCCTTCACCTTCCAGCTTATCTTCCACACCTGGCACACCGTTGATGTCTCCTGTACGCGCTCAACATCAACAACATCATCAACGACATTATTCAATTTCATCGACCTCGTCGATATCAAGAGTGGATACACGAGATATGCTCGCATATAGACCAGAACATCAACGCCCATCAGATGCTGCAGCAGCAGCTTCCTTTGGCCATCTCGCTGGCGATATTGGCTTTTTTGATCGTTCTCCACATCAACAACAACAACACCATCACCACCACCAACAACAACAACATCCTGATACCGTGAATCATCAGCAACAGCAGCAGCAGCAACATCCTGACAACACTAAAGGAACCAACATAGGGCAATTGCTTAACCCTGTCCACCCATTGAACTCGCCTACTACTACCACAGCCACAACAACCACACCTACTACCACCTCATCATCATCACCGCACATGTTTTCTCAACATCAACAACAATTACCTGGTTCTCACATGGTAACATCCGCTTCATCCTCTTCCACTTCATCCTCCTCGGCATCCATGGCACATCCATATGAAGTCAACAACAACAAGGACAACAAGGATGATTTGGTAGATTATCGACATCATCATCATCATCATCATCATCATCAAGATGCTGGTTTATCAGCCAACAATTACAGTGTGATGCATCATACCCCTCCACAAGCTTTTCCCAATGCTGTTATTCACCCCGCATTTACCACTGGTCACCATGATGAATTGACACCAGGTCATCAAGATATGGCAGGTCCCCTCATGCTAAAGTGAAATACACTACAAAAAGCTATTGCTCTCCACCGCCCCCCTTTTTCTCAATCCATCCGCTTTATTTACCCATCCATAATATTCTTGTTTATAGTCTATCGTTTTCTCACTCTCTCTCTCTCTTTCTCTTGTATACAAAGATTCTGCTTCCTTTTGTTCCCGTTTCACATACTTTGTGTAGAAATGATGTGGTCTGTGTGTCTTTCTTTTTATGTTTCGGGATACATCCATTCGTGTTACTTGGCAAATGCAATGCGTGAATAAGGGAGAGAGAGAGGCCATGATCATCGTGGTGCATCTTGAAACCTGTTTTCTTTTCGATGTAAATGAGATTATTGGCTATCATTTGATGCAGGGGAGATGGATCGTCGAGATGTTGAAATGCATGCTGGGGGTTTTTTTATACATAATAGAAGAATCAAATAGATGCGATATTCACTAAGATAGATAAAGATGTGGAGATGATAACTGCAAAAGATAAAAAGATAGAGAGAAAGAAAATGATGCTGTCAATGTCTACAAATGGTGTGTGTGCTGTTAAAGAGTCTCGTCATCAATGGCTTGCTGAGACTTGAAGCACGGGCCCATTACTACTACTACTGCGGCTGTTGCGTTTCGCGGCGGTTGAGGAGGAGGATGTTGATGATGGCGGATGCGGGTGATGTATGGGTAGTCCTTGCGTTCGGTTATGAAGCGGTATCTATATAACGAATTAGCTATTTTCAGAGTGTAAAATAGTAATGATAGATTTACCTGATTATGCATCACAGCGTTGTTGTTAGTAGTAGAGGAGCCATTGCCAGCCGATGAAGTGGTCGTTGTTGTTGTTGTTGATGATGATGGATACGAATTCTCAACATGATGCGATCGTGTAGTAGTAGTAGTAGAGCGACCATACGTATTAGATGCCGATCCTGTTGCTGGTGTTTGCATATAATAGTACATGGGTTGTGGTTGTTCTCCAATCCCTACTACTGGGTTCACAAAACCTCCTGGTGACGCCGTTCTGTACGAATACGCCGCGCCTTCATTAAACTCTCCCATCGACGTGTAGGATGCTACATTCGTATCATGGTTCATTGGATGTCCTTGTTGCACTTGTGATGATGGTCGAAGAGGATACGAAGGATGCGATGCATATTGTTGGGTATCAACGGGCGATGGTGCAGCAAATGATCTTTTGTTATCGGTTGTTGCAGAGAAAGGAGGCGGAGGATGACCTGTTGACATGACAGCTGAAGATGATGATCGCATCATATTATCGTAAATGGGTTGATGAGGATGATGATGATGAGGATGGTGTTGAAATTGTGATGGCGGCGGTGGTGGTGGTGGTGGAGGTGGAGGTAACGGTAATGGTGCCTGAGTACCATGTTGAAGATGGGATGATGAATGGCCTGCATTCATATATACGGGATGAGCAGGTACCCTTAAAGGTACTCGCATCAGGGGTTGATTGATTCGTTGCGTAGGAAAGTGTGGTTGCTGTGCTTTTGACAAGAGATAAAAGTATTGTGGATGAGGATATTGTTGCTGCACATCAGCCTGTTGTTGCATATTCCATGGCTGCTGCTGTTGTTGTTGATCTTGAAGCATCGATACGCCCACGCTCTTCAAAGATGCTTCAATCATCTTTTGTCGTTGTTCGAGTTCTTGTGCTTCGTACACTGAATGCAGCTGATTCTTAAAGTTGACTAGTGCCATCTTCCATCGTCCAAACTCATCCTTGTCGACAAACAATCCAAAATCCAACACGTCAAGAAATTCCAACTCCATAATGTTGAGATCAGTCACTTTCATGCAAGAGATATCTGCCCATGTCTTGTTGGTGAACGTGTTATCATCAAGGAATTTGTTTGCTATATATCGATTGCATTAGCATCCTTGCATGTATAATACGAATAGCGTCATTGTTATTACCGAGCATGAGCGCCACTGTAAACAATCGATACTCTGATCCTTCAGCTCCTTGAATGTTTGGATTCTTTTGCAGCAGCATTGCAATGTACTTGAGTGATAGCATGACTACCGATTCGGATAACTGAGTAGCGTACAAAATCTAATGTAAATGCCATAAGCCAAAGATGGACTAGTAATAAGCTGATGCGATGATGATGATGATGCTTGCCTGTCGAGAGAACTTTTTAAAGGCATTGCTAGTTCCATTGGCAATATGAGCAGTCTCACGATGTTGTGTCTCTTGCTGCTGATTAGAGTGAGATAGTGTCGTATCGTCATCTTCAGTGCTTTGCTCTTCTTTTTCAGCTCCTGGTTCGGAGGATGATGTAGGAGACAAGGATTCACTATGCAATGCCATCACCGAAGGACGTCTAGCATGCCACATTAGGTATACCATGGATGATGCAAACTCGGCCAATTGATGTATCGGTAACCCTAGTGTCTGTGGTACATCGGTTGCACTTGGCAACGGCTCAAGCGGAGGAGGAGCAACCACACATGGATATTGTTGGATCGGGTGTGCTACTGCCGCTGCTGCCGCTGGCTGAAACGACGCTGGAGTCTGATATGAATACTGCAACGGTGGCTGATGGTACATTGCACCTGCTGGAAGCATGCCATGGATCGGATCAAGAGCAGGATGAGCGTATTGTGGATACATTACGGCGTAGTGTGTGGTGCAAATAGGAAGGAGTTGGTCCGTAATGGTAAGCTGGCGAAAGCTGCAAAGAGTGGAATCGTATGCGAATCAGCAGCTGTTGAGAAAAGCATAGACGAGTCGAGTATCTTCTCGCTCGTTAACACGTTGCCGTTCTTCGTATGTGCTGTTGCTAAGATATGTGGTGTTGCTTAATCCAAAAGACTGTACGACTGGCTGAGAAAGGGCTGTTGTTTGTGTAAGAAGGTTAGTCAGGCGCTTTTGTTTTTTGCGAGGTCACACTCACAACCACACCATTGGATGCATTAATTGCAAGTAAGCTTTTATTGCTTGAACCCTGAATGGCTTGGCAGCTTCTTGAAAAGGAATGGAATTAGATGAAATAGAAAATCACTTATAAAAGATTGATCATCGATGTAGAGAAAGGATGAAGAAAGGAAAGGATATCGTAAATGTTGATGCCTTGTAATGGCATCATTAGCAATTTTGTATCAAAACCATTATACACGATCCGACAACAACTTTAAGCTTTCAACAACTCGCCTCTCTAATAATATTCTTTGCTTAGATATGTCTCACCACCAGCTGATATTACAAACAACAGACCCGGGTCACCATTTGATGACTGAAACGTCGTCTGGTTCCTTATCTAAACTATATGCTCTACCACCAATCATTTCCTCTCTCGATGAACCACTATGCTTTGAACATGATGTATATGAAATGGACATATAACTCTATGATGGTAAAAGTGGATTGGAGGAAAAATGCAATGCTACTGATCTTTATTTGACATTCCAGGATTCGAAATATGCATATGGTGCAAGCCTTCCGCCACACTTTCACGAATATGAGTATCCAACGATCCCTGTCTTTCTTGAGCCGTTTGTAGTTGCTGTTGTTGCTCTGATACCTCTTGTTCTTCTTTTATTTTTTGCTCCTTTTGTCTCTCTTGCTCTTGCTTTAGTAGCCTGGCTCTATGCTTTCCATGTGCGATTCTTGCAGGTCGTTGGAACCTATACCAAACAGGATGACTTGCTTAGTCGGATACAGTATTCTCATGATGATGTTGTCGTACATGCACGTATACCTTTGGTAACATCAACTTACATTTTTAAGAGAGCAGTGGAGAAAGGGACGTGGGAATCAGAGAAACAGGGTACATTGGCTTTTAATCTTGTATGGAATAATGATGCAGTTACTTCTTGAGTTAAAGGGGGGTAATGATACACTTTCATTGTCCAAGGCGGAGATTTGAGTGTCAAGGTCTCATCACCGTGTTCAACATTGTATTGTATAGCTTTTTGTAGGGTAGCATACTTAAGATTTTGTGCCCTTCAAACAGAGGCAAAATGCGTATTAGATGTTGATAGGTAGTATCAGAGATCTAGGTCCTATTACTGTGACATCTTCGGGTAACAAAGTAAACCTGCTTCGCCCACATTGGGCAGTAGCGAAGCGTAGATTGCATCAAAAGTATAGAAGCAAGCATATTATACATAGAGTACTTTGCGTTTGAAAATACAAAAGTGGGAAACACGATACAAGATCCATATCAATTATACAACAATAGAAGCTCGAACATGAATGCTCGCTTTAATGGTGTATTTCATGCCTAATAAAACAGCTATTGGTGATACAAAGGGGATACTACCGCAGCAGATTGGATATGTTGTCAAATGAAATGCCGGGGATTGATCTTGTCATTCCTTTCTCTTGATTTGTATTGTCACCCGCTTTATCAATACGATGGATAACGACTCTTGGGCTGTTCATAAACTGAGCGAGTTTCTCGGCTTTGATGATGAAACGCTTAAAACTCAAGTGCTGCCGTACTTAAAGACGTTGAAGACTGCTGACGAATTCTCAAACCATTTGATGGTAACATGGCAACGCTTATTACTCCATTCGACAACAGCTAACTCATCCCTTGTCCATTTAGGAAATGCTTGGATCAGATCAAGACCGCATTGCTTTCATTCAAGAGTATACTACGCGTCACTTTGCTGGACCCAAGAAACAAGCACTATCACAGCCATCATCATCACCGCAGCAAAGGCAACGATCGACACCAACACCACCACCACCACAGCCACAGCCACCGCAGCAGAAGCAACCAAGTACTGGAGTACAGCATTTCCCATCACTTCCAGCAACCGAACGACAAGAAACTGAATGGCCAAGCAACATCAATGTTTATATGAAAAAGGAGAATGAAGGGGATTATTTCCGTAGGTGAGTCCACTGCATGCATAAACGAATGCCGTAGCGGGATTGGATCGATGGTATCTAATACTACGACCTACCATAGTTCTCGCAAATCACAAGCGAAGCAGAAGACGACGTCTCAAAATCAATCTTCATCCACTGAATCCACCAACACCACTGAAAAGAAGAAGAAAAAGAAGAATGAAATGACCTTGGAAGCTGCATTGAAAGAGTTGCACATCAAAGCATCCACCACAGAGAAGAATGGTAAAAGACGTGTCTGCCATTGTCAAGGTATATATGAAAAGAGAAATTGGTGATGTTATTCGATGCTAACATTGGCCATTATTATCAGCGACGAAGCATCCTTTGTTGACAGTGGCACCAAATTGTCTCAATTGTGGCAAGATCATTTGCACTGCTGAAGGTCCAGGGCCATGTACGTTTTGTGGCACCCCGGTTTTATCCAAAGAGCAGCAGGTTGCGTTGATTGCAGAAGCCAAGCGGAAACGTGCAGAGCAAAAGCAACGTATGAATGCTACACAACAACCTCGTAAAGCGCCTAGTGCAGCAACACCATCAGTCGGCTACGCTTCCAAAGTTAGTGGAGATATCGTTCCAAAGAATGCATATCAAGAACCAGTTTGGGATGAGAAGGTTGAAGATGAACGACGGAGGCGTGCAGAGGCTCATAAGGAAAAGCTGCTGGAATTCCAACGTACGAGTGCAAAGCGTACTACAGTCATTGGTAAGTATAACCCATCTATCTCGTTATGTTATGGGTGATATTGATTATCTTTTATAGATCAAGCTACGGATTTCACTCTGCCGTCGGATCAGCTGAATCCCTGGTTGTCACCTCAAGAAAGAGCTCTTTTGCTTAAGAAGCAGCAGGCCAATCTCAAGAAACTTCAGAATACCGATTCACATCGTCGTGTTATGACTATCGATGTTCAATCCCGTCAAGTCGTTGTCAACGAGGAAAGTGCAAGTTCGGATGAGGACTCGGAGCCAGAAGAACTACCACAGCCATCGAAGATGGAGCGCCCTAAACAAGATGATGGTTCAGCAGGGACCTATGCACACAATCCCTTGCTTAAAGGTGTTCATGCTCCCAAGTTTATTGGTAAACAATCAACAATCAAAGGAGGAAAAGCTAGAAGGAGAAAGGAACGGGTGCAATTCGATGATATGCTTGATGATTACGAATATGCAACTAGTGTAGCTGACGATCGTGATATCCCTGTTGAGCCAAATTCATGCATCAACAATTATTAGACTTATTGGACAATAAAACGTTGGCTTACAACCTGTCTATTGCATTCAGTTATGCAAAAGTAATGTAACTTGCAAAGTAAGGCTGCCAATAGCTATGCCATCATCATGTATGTTTTGAAAGTCTCTGTCATCGTAGTATACTAATGAAGTAATTATCCTATGAGAGTCCAAATCACGCATGTTACGATGTATCGACAAGGTCTAATCAAGAAAAAAGGGAGATGTGTATACTATTGAATGCAGCGTTTATTCAAGAAAACAATGAATCAATTAGACTCTTTCTCCTCTTGTGCTCTTTTTCCTCCATCATAGCATTTACAGGTGGATACAACAACCTGCATCTATCATATCATACATCTTTCTAAAATACAAGGCATCAAGTACCCACACACACATAGGTAGACCAGCTCAGCAAGAAAGAAGGTCTCTTACACCATAGAAACTAAGAAACGATCAGCCTTTTATTAACCCAACATTAGTCACAAGAAGAGTTAGATTGAGGGGTACAACGAATTGCTCCAATAGGGAGATAAATCTATCTAGGAAGTTCCTATGTATCCTTTGAGTGTGCATTGCGTAAAGGTCGAAGGATGTATGTGAGGTGACACTTGATGCATGGCGTGTCTAAACATGGTGTTGGATGATGATGGTTGACATGTCGCACAAGTATGATGAAAGTAGCTGCCATGGGGTAGCGTGTAGAGTACGATAATTGGATGCATCGATCGTTCAGGATGATAGCACAAAGAATAAGCCCACATTGGATACACTCTTTCCACGCGTTGTATATACCCAAATCCCCTTCCATCCCATGTAGCCATATCATATGTATAAGACTTCGTTTGTATTAAAGCAAGTTGCTACAGGTAAATAAGGCTACGTTCTATCTGCTGTTCACGTAAAAAAGGCTGCAAGGCAAGTTGCGGCAAGTAACTTGAGACAATTGGAGCGAAGACTTCGCTAATAGCAATTGCTAGAATGAATGCTGTTACGATTGATCGTGGCAGAGAAGTGTGCAAGAGCGTGTGTTGTGTCAAGAGACTCGTGTGTTGTAATGGGGGTGCACACGCCATGGACTTGCTCATTCAGCCAAAGGCATTCGGATCAAGACACCTGTTGGATCGACATGATGGGCTGAAGCAGGACAATCGTTCGCAGGTGGTAGTTGTACTTGAATGGGGTCAACAGTTGAGAATGGGAGGAAGAGGGAAATACGCTGAGAGTGGAAGAGGTGGAAATTAAATGAGTTGATTTGGTGTTGGATGATACTTCTGTGTTTGAGCGTTGCTCAATCAAATCCACTCGGATCAAGAAAGTTGAAGGATGGAGATGATGGGATGGAGCAGGACAATCGTTTACATGCATTGTATTGGGCAACAAAGATGAATGGGAGGAAGAGGCTATTAGCTGTAATTTATGAATGGTTACTAAATAGTGTAAAAGTATCATGCATGAACCCTTCAGGTTGGTCCGATCGCATGTGTTACACAAAGAAGTCCGTCTGCATCTTTTGCTCTATTATAGTCATACTACTTTACATTAAACAAAGACCACTCTTCATATAGCATCACGCTTACAAACATGAAGGTGCCTGTATCTCCAAACTTTACAATCAACTGTGGGGTTTTTAATAGAGCAAGCTGCTCGGCGGGGTCAAAGCGATCTTGTGTCAAAATATGAAGTTGATCGTGGCCAATCCCAGATTTCGCATTGTCGCTACCAGCCAAACTGGATCTGGGGGTCGACCTCTTCGACGACGACGACCAAAAAATATTTTCTGGGCTGTTTGCGACATTGAACTTGAAACTTTCACACAAGGTGCTGTTGGCCAAGCCGAGCACATTGCTCTAATAAAAACCCCACGTTTCATTGTAAAGTTTGGAGATACAGGCACCTTTATGTTTGTAAGCGTGATGCTATATGAAGAGTGGTCTTCGTTCATTGTCAAGTAGCTGGACCCTGGCAGAGCAAAAGATGCAGAGGGACCTCTTTGTGTAACTCAGCTACTTTGCATGACTGGAAGGTTGGAAGGATGATACTATATACTGTTGACAAAAGCCCGTACATTGCGAGCTAACAGCCATTACCTCACAATTGGCAATGTTGCCCGTTCTATGACAGTGGAACGATGCTCCTGCTTCAGACATTCATTTCCATGATTGGATTATGTTGATCCGAGTTGATTTGACCGAGATACAGCCAAAGAGGGATTACATCAATCCACACATCTAACCATGCTCTATGTTGCTCAACTGAAGTAACCTTGTATGAGCGTAGCTCAGCCAAATCAACTCGGATCAACATAATCCAATCATGGAAATGAATGTCTGAAGCAGGAG